GAACTCGATTGACTTCCTGTAGCAAGGTCTGAAAAGGTAATCCTATCCTGGCCAGTTGCAAGATCGGCTCTAGCGAGTAGAGAGCTCACCCGTCGAGAAGTCTTGAGGGGAACTCCAATATCACCGAAATCTTGGCCAAATTTAGAAGCAAGGTCATCTTCATCTGGTTTTCCATCAGTAGAGTACTGCGAATGAGACAGGCCCGGTGTATTCCAGTTATCGCCCCTAGGACCAAAGCTCTCTCTAGCAGCGGATGGGCGAGCTCCCGGAGTTGTTGTTCCCGTTGCCATTCCAAAATGTGAGCTACGTCGCTTTGACCAAGTACCACCTGTCTCACGTCGTCCTTTTTTTTTAGACGAGGGGTTGGCCTCATCTTCTCTGTAACGTGCTGTCCAGATAGTGTACAGCCCGGTATTAACATTGACGGTTACCACGAAGATTAGAGGGCCGCTAATCAGATTCCTATTAGACTCTAAGAGCTCATCCTTGGGGGAGACATATATGATCTCATCCGCTGCACCCAGAACATCCAGCCCAGAAGGTCTGCTGGTAACACTACTGTGTAAAAAGCGAGAAGTCTGATTCGTCACAACAAGGCCCATTTCAGAATACGGGTCCATGAGGGAGAACACTCTAGGCAAGTCGGGCTGCTTACGCGGTGACCTCAAACTAGTGCCCGGAGCAGGAGATACCGTCAATGATGGCCTCTTTCCCTTGATAGAAGGGATTTCTAGAGATTGTGATGCACGGAAATCCACTGTCGTAGGCAAGGTTGACATGAACGAATTTGGAGGCGCCATTGGGCAGAGATTCGTGTCCTTTTTGTCTTCCTCATACATTTTTCTCTGAAACAAAAGACCCTTCGGGGTCGCGAATATTGAATCCACCTCAAATGGTAGCGGAACGACGTGGCTGTTTCCAGCTAGGAAGAAGATATGAGCTTGAGACTTGAGGACCACAACCAATGCTCTTGTCGAGTCAGAGTCATTTGCTCCTTGGGCACCTCTATCGCGTATATTTAAGGTCACGCCGGAGGCTTCCAGTCTCGATTCTTCCCCATTCTGTTGGCCATGGAAACCGCGACTCCGACCAGGGTCATTGCTCGTTCGGAACAAACTTTCCTTAGTCGCCTTCGAAGCATTACCATTGGTTCTTTTAATCTGACCGACTGAGAAATTCGTCAAAAGCGCATGCCTAATCTCCTCCTTTTCGAGATCCAGCCGGTACACCCTCTGGACAACCCCAGCTCTAGACCAGACCACACAGCCTTTCGTCCAGACGATCTCATCCTCAACGGGGCCATTTGGGCCTATATCGACACTAGATGTCCACGCATAGTGATCGTCGGACGGATCGGCAGGTAGTAAGCCCTCTGCAACGAGAAAAGGTATGGCCGAAGGTTGGTGGAGGCCAAGGGATCGGACAGTAGCCATTATCGGCGCAAATAAATAGATGTCGTGGTAGAATCACTGGCAATGGCAGCCAGAAGCGAGAACATGTTCATTGCCCATCAGCGCTATCAAATACGAGTGAGCTGGTGTCAAACCGGTCGCTGTGTCAACATTCAACAAGCAGCGTGGAACCTGCCCGGTGGGTGACGCGCTGGACGCGGCGGAGCTTTCAGACCATTTCTTTAATCAGCTGCTTTTTTCACTCTTGCAACACACCACAACAACTTTATCTTTCCTCCACCTTGAACCCATCACCCTTTGAACTTGGCTAGCCTTGAGTGTAATATCGCCCTCTATTGTCACTGATTGCTCTCTCCAACTCAAAGGTTGAATTTCCTCATTGCTGTGCGGACGAATTTGAGCTCGCCCTTGGAAGCTGTACAGTCCAACAAAAGACCTCGATCGCATATCAAGCACCATGCCATCCTTTCCCTCTAGGCCTCTGGCCCGGTCTAGAGATGACGGCCTACAACTAAGGTAAAAGGACTCCTTTTCATTCAACTACACTATCAGCACTTACAGTAATCTTTTCATGCAGCTACCAACTTCCTCATCGCGTCTACACCGCCAAGGGCTATCCTGTCCTCGCCCCTAATGGCTCATCAATTATAATATATGGGTATGAAAACGGGTTGAAGGTAATTTGGCGAGGTGGAAGACCATTTACGGACAGGAAGCCGTCGGCCTCTAAGGACCAACCGCAAGAGAAAACCAACCGCAGCAACGACGACTCCATCATGATCATTGATTCTGATGATGAGAGCTCTGTTGAACCCCAGAAAAACGAAGAACCAAGTTATGGGTTTGAAGAAGACGAGCCCGAGATTGATCCCCTTTTCCCATACGAAAACGTGCTGCGCCAGATTGATATACCTCTTGGGACCAGGGTTGTTGAATTGGCTGTCCCTCGCATTCTGCCTGAGTCCTCACGTTCATCGCTCGATCCTTTCCCGCCCATTTTGAGAAAATATATGGTCATCTCGGCCGTGTGCGCTGATCTTTCCACCCAAGTTGTGACACTACCCCTGGCTCCTCCGCACCCTACTCAATTCGAGATCTCCTCGTGGGTTCAGACGTTGTCGATTAGCGGCGGAGTATCACACCAAGAGATCCCAAGGGGGGTGGGGATTGCTTTCACATATCAAGCGAGTGAGCCGCAGGGAGATGAGGACATGACTCAAAGTCAAAGTGGATCTAATAGACATAGGCCAGGGAGATGGGACCTTCTTGTCGCTACTCATTCTGCTGAGTCGTCGGGCCTACTTATAATACATCGGATCCCAGTTGTGGAAGAGACAGATCACAGTGAAGTGTTGTACCGTTTAGGCGAGGATGATATCGAGTCGAAGCGCCGTTATCTGCCGGCCCCAGCCCAAAACATCGCTTTCAACCCATCACCATATCCGTCACCACGACACTCGACACTACTTGTCGCCTTTCATAGCGGATGTGTCAAGGTCTACTCGTGCTTCTCGATGAAACCATCCAAAGCGTCGCGCAGGTCATCCAGTCCTCAAAATGATTTTGAAACGTCGGAAACAGACGGAAAGTGGCTGATCAGTCTCTATCCTGGGTTTGAGCAGTCCCCCTCAGGGCTCCCCCGGCGTAAAACTATAGTTAATGCAGAATGGGTGCTTGGTGGACGGGCTATTATGGTTCTCATGGCGGATGGTGAATGGGGAGTGTGGGATCTCGAAGGGGCAGGCCCAGGAACCATAAAGGGCCCACTCCAGCGTCAATCCAGTGTACAGGGGGTGACTGGCGGATCCTTGACTGCTTTTTCTGTCAGTGGTCGGATCTTGAGTCCGCTGTCAGGAGCCCGAACTGAAACAGGTGGGCCTATCGCGGAACAGCGTCCTAAATTCGCACCCTTGACGCCACATACTAAGCGTGTGCGTGAAGATACTTTGCTGAAGGGCGCCATGGTTGGTTCAATTATGCCATCTTTGTGCGGCGAAATCTCCGTCTATCAAACCAATTCATACCGTGATTCGCTACCTGACGAGTCGATTCTGTTGCGACACGGCAACCAGAGTGCTGTCATTCCAAGTTTGCTGTCCTTGTGGCGGAATGCTGTCAAAGCAACCGGAACCTTTGATGCGTCTAACCGCTGCCGAGTTTCCGCCATCCAAGATATAACCTTAATGGGGGAACATTTGAAGGGCATTGGCCACCTTCCTGCCGCTTCTCGCCAGACTCGCCAAGCTGAAGGTGGAGATCATGATGCTCTTCTCGTTGCAGAACACCGAATTATAGTCCTTACTCCAAGACTGAATGAGCCGGATGAATCTCCTGCACTTCTTGGGCCAGTGAACGAGACACCGACCGCAGAAACTGATCAGCTCAAGCTTCGGCGTGGTGAACTTGATGTTGAAGGAATGGATCGACTACTGAGTGGGATGGCCAGCGGTAATCAATCCCTCCGAATGGGGAGTCCTATTAAGCGGGCGCGGATTTTCACCTGAACAAGGAATGCTTCACACTGGTGGAACCTAGATCTTGGAGAGTATGGACCTCTGATGCAACCGCAAACCCGTTGTTGGTAGTCATGGTTTCGTTCTGGTATCGCATCATCGACTACATAACCTGTTCGAAGCTGATGTGCGGCGCAACTAAGTTGGAATTAGTTGAACATATGCTTTGTCATCGACCGATAGAGAGACTGACGCAAAAGCGGTCTCAACACTGCCATATTTAACGATCCTTGCCTAATACTGGATACCCATCTACTCTGCTATTAAAAAGCCGAGATTTACGATGTGGTTGCTCATATAAATTAACGATACCCAATTGAACATATCAACGGTTCATCTATCTGTCTCTCTCTGTTTCCTTTTCTTTTCTTTTTTCCCTCTCGGTTTTTGATATTGAGGGGATTCGCGCTGCAAGGTGGAGCGCAAGGCGAGGACCATGCCTTGAAATCCTTTCGTCACAGAAAGGATATGCTCTGTATCAGCTGCGATATATCAAGAGGCCTCCGGCCATTCCCATCGAACCAGTACGCTGGACTTCGGTTTCTAACGGTGGCATTTCTTCGGCCACCACCCCCCACCAGTACGGACTGGGTTGACTGTTTTCTTCTTGTCGACCTATACTGTGACTGATCTGTCCTGCTTGTAGCAAGACCAACGCCTGTCAATTGATACGGACATGGTTCTGGACGGCTCCACATCAGTTTCGGTATGGGAGACGGACAACAGCCAGGCCAACTGACGGGACGGTAAAAACGAAGCCGTGGAAGAGAATGGGTACATTCTAGGTAGAGGTTGGCACAAGTACAAGCGTAGCATTTACAGCGTAAAAGACAAGAGGATCACTGTACGTAGGGCATTCAGTATGTAGATGCAAAGGCGGAGATAAGATCAAATCGGATGACTAATCAGCACCTGTCACTGATAAGATTTAGTTAATTAAATCCGATAAATGATGAACCCCACGATGATCATCGTTTCCAGAGTTGACTCTCACTAATTGTACTTTAAAAGCCCAGTCGCCTCTACTATCTAGACAGAAGTACCCCGCAATTGAACCCACTTTAATACATTCATCATGGCCCAACAACCGAAACGCGGTAAGCGAGCTCTCAATGTATCCGGAATTTGCCCTGATAAGAGCTACACGACCACTACGGAAACAAAGGAGCCAGGTTGCACGAGGCTAACAACACTCCAACTACAATAGAGAAAGTCTGGGCCTCCCTAATAACCAACCTCTCCTACCTTCCGGGCATCCTCACCCTTTCACACTCCCTTCAAGCCACCGAAACAGCCTACCCCTTCATCGCATTCTACACCTCCACGTTCCCCGCCGAAGGCCTGGCAGCGCTTCAGGCGCGCGGAATCCGCACCCAAGCCGTCCCCAGCGTACAACCAAGCCAGAACAGAGTCTTCCTCCAGGATCCCCGCTTCACCGAAACATGGAACAAGCTGATCGTGTTCTCGCTGGTGGAGTACGACCGCATTGTCCTCCTGGACGGAGATATGCTGGTGCGCAAGAACATGGATGAGCTGATGAGTGTACCACTGGACGAGCCACCGAGCAGCGAGGAGAAAAAACAGGAGAGGGTATTCGCAGCGAGTCATGCGTGCGCCTGTAATCCGCTGAACAAGCCACATTATCCCAAGACGTGGTATGTTGCAATCCTATCGTACCCCATCCTCTGTGTTTTTTTCAATTGTTCCCAATCCTAAGGATGGAACCCGCATGGCGTTCATACCGATGTGATGTATGCATAACAGGATACCCAAGAACTGTGCCTTCACAAGCCAGCATTCGGATCCCGTCCGAGCGCAGACATCCGGCGCCCCTGCCGCGGCCGGTGTTGCCATGCTGAACAGTGGCCTCTTGGTCGTGCGCCCCAGCATATCGGCCTGGGCGGAGATCCAGGCTGGACTTAACATGCCGGATCGCACAGATAAATATGATTTTCCCGATCAGGAACTCTTGTCGGACGTGTTTCGGGGTCGATGGGTGGCATTGCCGTATGTGTATAATGCGCTGAAAACGTTACGCTGGGCTGGAGTGCACGACGCGATCTGGAGAGATGAAGAGGTGAAGAATGTGCATTACATCTTTGCTAAAAAGCCATGGCATGAAGATCCCGATAACGGGATGGATGAACTAAGTCATTGGTGGTGGGAGGTGAATAGGCAGAGGCAACAGTTGGAAGTGAAGAAAGGGATTACGGACGGTCATTGAGGCGGCTGTCAGGACATGCTCTCGATTTATATTGGTTTTGCTCGTGATTCATGGTCTTTTCACACATCCAATGTATATACAGTACATATACCCTAGCTCCCCTGGTAGGGGTGGATAGAACGCCATAGATAGACATCAGATGATAGAAAGATCGAAATAAAGCAAAATCAGCCACGTAGACTATATTTACACTCAGAACCAATAAACCAACCAGAGTATGAATCGCATTCAAGGTGTTCGTGTGATCCACTGATCTAGGGCTTCAATCGCACATCTATCCGTTGAAACCCAGCGATTCCAACTCCTTGCGCACCGATTCCTCGGTCTGGATCTTCTTTAGCTGCGTATCCTCCAACTTCTCTCCACCCGCAAGGCGCATTTTCAGCTCGTCGATCGCACGAATCTTCTTCAGAAGTCCGCGGATCTTCTTCTCTTGTGCGGTGGGTGCACCTGCAGCTTCTGCTGCAGCGTTATTGCTCGGCTTGGTCGAAGCGGGCGATGCGCCATTGGCCTGGTGGGCGTTCTTGCGCTCAGAATTGTTGGCCTTGGAGCGGCTACGCTCGTGGTGGCCCTTGTCTCCATGGGATTCCGGACCGCGGGTAGGCTGCCCATCCTCACCATCCTTCAGCTTCTTCGCTTCACGCTTCTTCTTGTTCCTGGCGGCGGACTTGGATAACTTCTCGGGCTGATCCGCACCCGGGGGTAGAGCAACTCCTCCTCCAGGAGCGGCTCCCGGAGGAAGATATTCCTCGACCGGATCAGCACCAGGAACTTCACGTCTCCGTGGCTTGCCCAAGCCGTTCAGGGCTCCACCGTTTGCCCCGTCCCGGACAAAGGCAGCACCGCCCTGATCTTCTCGCTTGAATGCAAGTGGCGTAAGCTGACCACGAGCGCCCGGTGGGCGATAGGCACCCGCAGGCTTCACAGGAGCCTTCCTCGTGCTCAGGTACGCAACAGCAGATGGATGGGGCGTCGGGAGCGGATGGAACGGATCACCAAGAGGGTGCTGTGTGGTGGATTGCGGTCTCCAACATACGTCGTAGAGCTCGTGCATGTCTTCGTTGTACACCAGAGCACCGCTGACATGCCACAAACGAACACCGTTATCCACTCTGAGGCGGGGACTCGTGGTAGCCGTCAGGATAAATTTTCCATCGGGAGACCATTCGCAAACACTGGCATTCGACGCTTCCACGGTAGCGATCTTAAAGTAATTCTTCTCCAGATCATAGATGTCCATTTGGCCGGCCAAGTTGCCAAAACCAGCAACTAGGACGAAACGACCGTGGGGAGAGAACGAGATGGTGTTCCGGGGGGCGAGAGGGAAACTGTGCTGCGGTACTCCACGGAAGTTAAAGATCGTGGTCTTGGTTGGCATATAGCCGTAGACAACACCAAACTCTCTAGAGTTGGGCGACCAGGTAACATCGTGGATCGGACCTTCCTTGTCTACAGAATGATCACATTAGCATTTGCTTTCTGGCGATCCGACAGGCACTGCGATGCACGTACCCAAGTCAACACGAGAATCAAAACCACCCGTAGCACCGAGTAGGTATAGCGTGGTCTCTCCATAGTAACTCTTGCCTGTCCGATCAACTTCGGTCTGGGCAAGCACAAGCAGAGTAGTTCCCGAGGCATTCCATTTCAACTGAACCTTGTCACCTTTGAAGAAAGTCTTCTGCGAGACAGGAGCCCCGAACTGAGGCACCATGAACACCTTGACTGCAGCGGGTTGACCCTGTGATAACAGCGTCAGCCAATCAATGATCCGAGCAACAGAGTTTTAGTTTCCCTAACCTTGCGTTCAGGCACAAATACGGCAACAGACTGACTCTTTCCGGGTGAGAGCGCGAAGTCGATCACCCCCTCCACATGCAGCTTATTCCACGGCTTGGACAGGTTGTCGCTCTGGTAAAATTGAACCTCGTTGGTGACAACCCGAGCACAGTAACGCTCATCAGACGTATACTGAAGGTTCCAGCCCGTCTGCGACTTCTGGACGTAACTGCCCACAATCGCGTGTTCATCTCCGTTGCTCTCTGGTGCCGTCTCCACGATCTTCCAAACCTTCAAGTTCTTGACTGCATCACCATTCGCATCCTTCGACGGACGCTGCCAAGTGATCAAGTAGGTCCCGAGGGGTGAGAATCCCAGCTCAAAAACGTTATCGGCAGGGATATTCGTGATGATGTGTCCGACGGAAGGATCAATAATAGTTACCCTGACAGCCAGTTAGCAGGCACAATACTTTCCTCAAGATAAAGAGATAGCATACTTCTCGGGAGATGCCCATGCAAAATACCGGCCACAGGGAGAATAAGCGCTACAGCGAAGGTTCCCCTCAGGTCTGCGAGCACGATAAAACATCAGATCAGCATAGTTCAACGTGGACGATTAGACAAGGTAAGACAAATATTTACCTCTCAAACCCCGACAATGGCTCATAGACAGGGTCCGCATCGAGGATGCCAAGCCCTTTAACTGTCCGGACTGCATGGAGTTAGCGGATGGTCATTCATCGTACCCTTCAAACGTCTATCCACAGTGGCACTAAAAGACCAAGAAGCAATGCAAATAAGGAATACCCACAAGCAAGCTGTGTAGGAGCTGCCATGTCGACTCTCTAGCTTCTGTTCTTTATGCAAAAATGAAGAATTTGTAAAATGCAGCAGAACGGGCGCGCAGATGCAATGTCGCAGTGATTAATCCAACGAAGAGAAGCTGAATGGAAAGATTTCCAATAGGATTGTGTAACAGACAATTATAGAGCAATGATACCAGAGAAACCCAAGTCTCAGTGGTTCTCCGTCGTCGGTTGGATGGAGGCAAAAGCGAAGATAAAGGTGCTGCAACTATGCGTGGCGAGATGTTGTTTGTCTGACGCAGCGAGACACACAGCCGCCCACACACAAAGGATCCGAAAGCGAATAAGTTGGCCGGTCAGAATAGCGGTCGGGTCTCTAAGCTCAGAATTCCTCGGTGCTTGACAAGTCAATGCCAGCAACAAATGGGACAGGAACACTGTAGGGGAGCGTGAGTGGGAGGTGGTGGTAGTGGAGGAGGACGAGTGAGGAGAGAAGAGTGGATTGGGGCGAGGGAAGCGGTGGAAGGAAGAGAAAGCGAGGGAAATTTGTTCGGGGCAGAAAAAAAAAGGAAAAGAAAAAAAAAAAGAACCTGCGGCGGCAATTCTGCAGAGAAGCTCAAAGCGCCAATTGAAACCCGCTAACAGCGAGCTAAAATGCGATTTAGATTCTATATCTTTACCTGGTATTCTTTGGCCAAGATCAATGAATTTGACCCTCTCTACGGAGTGTATTCGCTAGACAACTTCGCCGGTTGTGCATACTACTAGGTAATCTTCACTACTCTAATGTGGCGACCAATCTCAAAGTTTATTTAATAAACGCCATAAGCCTCTCAATAGCACAGAAAGAGGCCTATTCAATAACCTGCAGCTTCTGGAGTATGGAACACACCTTCCGAAATTATTGGATATGACTGGAGAAATCGGAGGGGGGGTGAGAATGATAAAACTGAACGTTTCATTTTCATACTTATACAATGCCAGAGAAAAAAAGAAAAAGGACAGAGAAACGAAAATATGAGTCAAAACAAGATGAGAGAAGGAAAGAGAGACAAAAAAAAAAAACTGACGCTGTTGAGAAACGCCCATTTATCGTTTCATTGATTTTCCCTACAATAAGCCCGAACTCCTATCTCCCTAAAGGTTACTAGAATCATCTCGACCTAGAGGAGTGGCAAGCCGAGGAGTTCTCACAGTGGTATCAACCACATCCGGGTCATAAGTCATCCCATCGACCATTCGAGCGTCCTGCACTGGTTCGGGTGTGGTTGATCCAGTTGGCGACAATGCCACTGGTATCATTCCGCCATCACCGGAGTGTTGAGATGATGTTGAAGGCATTAAATTGGCGCGGGTAATACTAGGGCTACCTAAAGAACTTGGCCGACCTGCCGATGATGTCCGGTTCAGATTTGGATGTGAAATCGGCCCGCTGATAGTGCTAGCACCCTCTCCAAACCCGACGAGGCTAGCGTCGCCTTCATCACTGAGATCACCAACGCTAGAAGTTCCATCGTCCGGCTCCTCGCTCATCTTGTCGGCGTCAAACGCATCACTGCCGCTCGCCCATGTTGTACGAGCGCCCACGCTGCCCGTAGCGCTGGCGCTACCCACGGTGCTTCTCTCCTTCAATGTGGAGCTGGTATCAAAATAGCCTGGGGTATGCGACATCGGAACTGTGGTGTTCGACTGTGACCCTCCACTAGTCCGGGCGGCTACCACCCGTTCCAGCCCCGCCAGACGCGAAATGCGGTCGGCCCGCTCTGCCTCCAGAGTTGTGGTAGAATTCGTTGATGCAGAAGATGCGTGGTGGGCATGGCGACCATGTGGCAGTGGATGGCCTGTATGGCCGTCTTTGATGGCGGTGGTTGACAAAGCTGAGAGCGATGTTGTGCCAGAATTTGGGGTTCCACTGTAGTAAATGTTAGATCGCTCTCGGTGCATCATATAGACCAAGTAGTCCGATAGGAAGGGCAAGGAAGCTTACGGTCCCATATCTGACGGGGTCACTGGATCAGAGGGAGGGGGTGGGAGGTTGATCAAAGTCGGAGTCGTCATTTTCTTCTGCTCGGGAAGGAGTAAGTAAAAAGGAGGAGAAATCACCCAAGGATGCTCGCGGTTTCAAGACTTAGGGGGGTTAATGCGGTTGAAGATGTCTCTAGACGAACAACTGGAAGTGCGACAAGTTGGAAACGCAATCAGCCGAGAACAGAAAGGAGTCTTTACGGCAGAAATGGCCGGTGATGAAGTAAAAATAAGGTGAATATGAAACGATAGTGTAGGAGTTTCGCAGGAGCATCAGACTCCACCGCGGCTTAGGGATCAAAAGTTTAGAGGACACTGGAGGATGTATGATTGAACGTTAAGCGGTGGAATGACGGATGAATTGGGGGGGTAGAACTTGAAGGTGTGGGAGGCAACTTGGGTTCCAATAGGAGTGAATCGTCATGCAGACGGGAAGTTGGGGGTAGAGTACAATGCAATGAGCGGGTTCGTTTTACTCTTAACTACTACATACTAGGTAGGTCACTAACTATGTATGAAATGAAAGTGAGGCTAGATGGGCTGCGTCACTAGTCATGATTTAACCCATATTCTTTCTCTCTCTCTCTCTCTTTCTCTGCCTCACTATTTTTTGTGTAGAGTATATAGAAACATTAGTAATTTATTGATCGAATTTGATTTTGTCTCTCTCTTTCTCTGCGTGGATAGGGGTGTATACATATGTATATATAGAAGTTCAACCAACTTCCGTCGTAATGCAACCGACACAACCCAAACGGTCATACTTTGGGAAATCCCCTTTAGGAGTTCGATGATGTCATCGCCATGGAGTTCCTCGGATCGACCAATCATGCATCACAGTGGGGTAGTGTGGGCCTGAGGATAGCACTTAGCTGAAGATCCTCTGGTTTGACAGTCAACTAGTACTAGGTAGTAGGTGTGCTTTGTGTCAACTGGAAAAGAGGCCTTGTACTTCGGGACTACATACTTAACGACCGTGGTTTTCTTTTCTTTTCTTTTTTTTTTTTTAAACATGAGTGTCAAATTCCAATGCAATTGTCTAGTAAATGAACCCATATAATACTCGATAGCACTTGGACATTATAATTCATTCATCAGCCGATTCATGGAATGGAACGAGTTATATAGAATCAGGTAGGGGGAGGAAGAGTAGTGGTGGTAGAAGAAGAAGTAGTAGTAGTAGTAGCGGAAGAAGAAATAAAAATAATAACATCAGCAGTAGGCTTCACACGCACAAACCCCGTGTCCAATGGTTCCATCACCTATCAGACTCCAGCTTCCTTCCGGCCCAGATATATATTAATGACTAGGCTTACGGGTCTCGTAATGAACCCGTAGGTCATCCACCTCCTTCTGTAGACGCGATAGATCAGCCAAGATATCATTGGCATTGGACGGATGAGGAATATATTCTTCGTGCACTTCCGGCCGCTTCTCTGAATGGAGACTTGTCGGTCGGGTGCTATCATTACTCTGACTGCTGGATCCTCGTGTGCGTCGTGGAGGCGGAGGTGGTGGCAAAGGGTTGCCTATCGACGCTCGTTTCATGGAAGGCGTCCGGGAGTTGGACTGAGATGATGGAGCCGAGGTATCTGTGCCCGGCGTGGATATCACCGCACTAGCGCTCTGGTGCTGTATAGAAGGTCTCCGGGGGCTCTCCTCAGACGAAAAACCTGGTCTGGTATCCCGAGTTCGCGAAGGGTTCAAGCTCCAAGAGCTTGGACTAGGCGGAGGGGACTCAGTGCCCTCCATCTTGACGGCCGGCATAGAAAGCCTGCTAGGATTTGGCTTGGACACGGTGGTCTTGGACCTTCTCATCTGGCTGTGCCGCCTACTCAGCGGCGGTGTCGGTGGTCGCTTGTATTGAGATTGGCTGCGCTTTAAAGGCTCACTTGGCTTTTTGGCTTCGCTACTAGCCGATCCGGTGAAATAATCCACTCTTAGCTGTGATGGGTTGGGTGACGATGACGACTCCGGGGGGAGGCCATGAAATGAAAAGCGGTTTGTAGGTTTGAAAGGTGCGGGGTGAGGAGAGGAGGGAGTCGAGCCAGGGCTAGGGTTGATCAACTTCCCATGGTGGCTCTTGGGCGGAGGCGGCGGTATCTTCTCCCTATTGCCTGAACGACTGACCAGAGGTCTTGCCTCTGCATCAATTGCTGGCATATGGTCTCCTACTATAGCTCGTTTCGATGCGTCTGTTCGTGAAGTGCTTCGAGAAACATCCGTGGCGGAATTCTTTGCGGCACGAGTACCTGAATGATGGGCCAGCAATTGGATAGAGCTTCCAGACGCTATGTTGCCAGAGTCTTTATAGTTTTCACTCTCGGGGAGGGATTCTTCGTTGCTTGCCCTCCCGGTCTGTCTTATAGATGGCGTTGTCGGGATCGCCGGAGCTGGTTGACTAAGGTATGGAGCTGTGTGTGGACCAGTGTTGTGGAGGGTTTCTTGGAGATAATCACCGCCGCGAGACTTGGAGACGTCAAATGTTGCAGACGATATACTTCCGTCTCGATCCTCCATGTCATCCTCACTCATGTGTATGCCCTGATGAAAGGGATCCGATACGGATTGATCATCGGAGGACATCGTGTCATCGAGGTCCGGAACGTGGGACGTGGGCGGGGCTCCGGCAAGGCCATTCGGCTGAAAGAGGGCATGCTGAGAGGCCGTAGTAGATGATGGGGGTGTAGAAAAGGCTGATTTTGCGGAGATCGAGGTAGCGGGTGAAGAACGATGAATTGAGGGGTCTACAACGGTCAGCACTGAGCGTTGACTATCCCAAGATGCCGGAAGCGGCGGGTCGAACTCACTCTCTGTCTTTCTAGGGCGGAATGGATTTAACCCAGACATCGCAGAGAAAGTGGGAGGCACCAATCATGGGAGCGATGGGAAATAAACTGGAAGAGAAAGTTCAGAAAGAAGAGAATAACAAACATCATCAGTCGGCAAAGAAAGTCGACGGCCGCTGGCCACTCGCGCGGCTTCCGGAAAGCGCAACTAAACGGCCAATGGTTCGCGCCACGAAGTGTCGCCCCGGCTGTGCGGTCAATTAGGTACCTACACTACTGCCTAATTAAGGTACCTTTGGTACTTAGTACCTTAGGAGTCGCCAACTTAACTGTAACCCGGACATATTTGAGGTAGTACTAGCCTTAAGGAGAGACTCAAAGTGAAAAGCATCAATGACTTCTGCGTGTGCGTTTAGCCTGTCTTGCATCCCCGCCAGGGAAAATAAAACAAAACAAATAGTGAAGTAGAAAAAAAAAAGGGAGAAATGATAAAGAATAGGTATATGTTACAAGAAGAAGATTAACCCAAAAAAAGGGGGAAATAAAAGATCGGCATGAAAAAAGCAGACTACCCTTCCCAAACACCAGGGTTATACAATACGAAATGATAAATGGTCGTCACAGTATTCCTCCCTCGAGTTCCATTGTCCGAGAAAGGAGGGTATCAGCTCGCCCGTTTATTAAGAAAAAAGCAAAAAGAGAGAAGGGTGAAAAAATGAAACGTGTATCGTCCTTCCACAGGACGGTTTTTCTCCAGATGTTAATGATATGCAAACTTCGTTCAGCTTTCCTCGTATACATGCCACTCCTCATCCCCAAAGAACGACTGCGCCAAGGCTCTACCACTTTCGGTAGGCTGGCTAAATGCCATCTGCTCCTTAGGAATTTCCATGCCGTATATAAAATTGCTGACCACGCAGTCCAAAAGATCCATCGCGATCCCTTTCCGTCGCGATGACCCGGATGTCCATATGCGTGAAATCCCCACGATCGCCGGATGGGTCTCGTTGCGAACCGTGACTGCAGAATCAGGGCGATTGGTCTGGCTAGCAGGCTTCTCAACCGGTCGTGATTCCCAAATTCGCTCCGTCAAACAGGCACCGACACATCGACTATCCTTCATATGCAGGAAAACTTTGTAACGGTCCACTTTCTCCGATACACCGTTTTTGCGCAAGTGCCTCGGGGGTTCCGTCTGGCTCCATAGGACATCATCTTGGATCTCGGGGGAAGACAACTCCTTATTGATAACCTCAAGAACCTTCTTGGCCTGATTCTTCGCGGTCGGAGACGCTTTTCGATCGACAATGACCACATAGCCCTCATCGAAGCGTGTAGCCTCATAGACCCAGCGCGAGGCATTTGCCCTCATGAATGCTTTACCCAGATCCACTCCTGTTGTATTCATATCATGAAACTTCTTATGTAGAGCTGCATCCTCCGAGTTCGACGGCACGTATTCCATTCCACAGGTCGCGCAGGTTCTTCTCACTTCGTGCCCTAGGTCAAGTTGCATCTGTTTCAAGGCGGGTTGCTGCGACGTTGCCTTCTTCTTGGGAGGGTCTACCGATGGGCGTACACTATTGGAGTTGACCTCAGTGAGTGGGGAGCTGTTGCCGGCTTCCTTGTTCGCCGATTGTTTGCGTTTGAGAAACGCGAAAGTGGGTTTTCGCGTGTTGGCCGGAGGTGAACTCAAGCGCGGCGGCGGTGAGGACGGAGGTGTAGAGAGGTCATCATCCTGCGTTCCTTCAGAGAGAAGGATGGAATTGCGACGCGACGGACTGGACAGGACAGCGGCGGACGACTCGCGAATGGCGTACTGGATGCTGTTCTCTGCCTCGTCCGATTCATTCCCCGATTGGACGCGTCTTTTCTTCGCCGCTGGACTTAGGTCATCATCGTAGACGCGCCATACGGGTCTACCGTACGTTTTCATCATAAGGCCTCTAGATATTCCCTTGTTAGCTGGAGTGGCGGAATCCAAGGGGTGGGAAAATCAGGCAACGAATCACGTACCGCTTGAATGAATTTGTTACAGTCCACGGCATCTCCCTGTTTCAAATCATATATTCGAGCGAGCCAAGCATCTATGGCCTTCCGAGTTTATGCGATAGAGGGTAGGATGAACGTTGTAAGGGTGAAAATCCAACAAAAGAAAAGATGTTGACAAAAAAGGTGGGAGGTGTTTATTATGATTTCACTGATGATGATGATTTATTTTCCAAATTGACGGAAGGCTTCGGCGGCCAACTGATCGACGGGTGACGGAAACGCGTGCCCAGGAACTAGTCCCCATTTAGTCATATTGCTCGCCGGGCGCAGAAACGCATCGTGAGGGACTAAAAACGCCGCCGTCTCCTGATGGACAAAAGGGAGGGTTTCCTTCACAACTTACATACTTCTTGACCCAGGGTTCTCAAACGGGTGACCAGATAGTCAGTCTGGATATGGGATCACGGCGATATATGTGTCTGCGTGAATCCTCGCAGAAGGAGAAAGAACGGTGACTAAGTATCAAGGGATGGGGGGTGGACGTAAGAAGATCCGCAAGAAGCAGGGGAGGCCACTCTTCAAGCTGAGAACCCAACACGAAGTACGGAGTAACTGTTACCTAGATAGGTTTCGCTGGATTCTGCCGGTTGTTGGAGGAGACTCGATTCCAGGAGAATGCTAAGAATTCATCATCTAATATATACATCCATCAAAGGAATCCACTAATGCTTGGAGATTGTGGAACTCTAGACACGGCATCAGCTCCTCCTGTCTCTCTTCGCTGTCGTGTTATGTTTCCCAAACTTATACTTGACTTCGCCTCCTGAAATAATGAACGACGATACGGCCACCAACCATATCAGTCGTACATGCGTTGCAGCCTGGAGTATGTTAGGATCCTGAGTAGGAGTCATTCATATGTTGCGTAGTAGATAACTTAGGTACTGTGATGATGTGGCAAGCTTGTTTTTGGTCGTATGTATTTTTCTTTTCTTTTTATTATGATTATTATTATTATTATTATTATGATTGAAGGACATGGAAGTAAATCGAAGAGTCCTTCATGGTGAAGTGATTCTCTCTCTGTATTACTACTTAATTTAGATTAATCGCCGTTGGTTGACTGGAATTCCAAGTAGGTGGACTAGACGACTCCCCCGGTGCATCCTCCATACATACCGTTCAAAGAGTGGATATTCACAGATCTACTGGAGGATCAAACCAGCCTCGTCCATGCCCTTGCTGATGGATCTGGCGACCTTACTGGACAGAAGAGCTGTGACGGTGATTGCGCCTAATAAGTATTCAAGGTTTTTTTTTTTTTTTTTTTTTTTTTTTTTTTTTTTTTTTTTTTTTTTTTTTTTTTTTTTTTTTTTTTTTTTTTTTTTTTTTTTTTTTTTTTTTTTTTTTTTTTTTTTTTTTTTTTTTTTTTTTTTTTTTTTTTTTTTTTTTTTTTTTTTGTTTTGTTTTCTTTCCTTTCCATTTTTATTTTTATTTTTTTATTTATTTTAGTTTTCTAGTTTTCTTTCCAGTTATTTTATTTTTGGCCAAATTCCAAGACAGGGGTACTGAATAGACATAACCTCGACTCTTCTGTTCTGTTCCCTGCAAATGGCATGTTTGTGATTCGTAAAGGGATGTAATACATTCATCTACTCCGTACTCTGTATATTCCCTAGATGTACCACGCAAAAGGTTCAAATAAGAATCATCAATAAACCTCTTTAGAAATTGACTGCTCAGGCCCACCCCTTGTTTAGGTTCCCCCTCTTCCACCTTCTTACTGATTATGGTACTCAGTAGAACTGCACTGAGAAAGTAACTGACCAGTCAATCCTAGTGCTATCCCCAGGATCGAGTAGATAGTTTGTACCTGTACCTCTGACCGCACACCAATATATGACTCTGGGTTGCTTATCGTGACCAAGTTGTATCAGTATTACCTTCTGACCAAGTGGAAAGTGGTAAAACTTAGCCCAAGTGGGATTCCATGGTGGCAACTTGTGAGGCGTCTGATCATTACCCCGCTAAAGTCCATCACACATGAATGGAGGCCGAGAGAGATCGGCAGAAGCACATTCTAATTTAGTTATCATATAGAGTCCGTAGAACGGCAGGTTGGTTTATCCTCGTTTCATCACTCCTCGAGCAGTGTGCTGCTGCAGGGTTCCGATGTTAGAACGCCATCAGTCAATAGACGCCAGGTTATGAACAGATCCTGTGCATAGAGATAGATCTAAGGCACTCCTTATTTACCACTAGTTCAGTCAGACTGTGTTCCAATTTCAAAATGTCCCGGAGTGGATCACGGCTATGGACACTCCGTCGCATAATGGTTCCTCCAGAACCCAGATACGTTGAAGAAGTACAGTGCATACGTATCATCGAACACTTCCAAAGTTCCAGCCGCCGAATAGATGTGCTCATGGTAAACTCTGCAGGGTGTACTTTGTTCTAGGTGGTAGAAAACAAGCTCAAACATCACAGGTGTAACCTTAACATGGAAGAGGTGGTTGCCATGCGCCTTTCAATGGCCAAACTGCTGCCTTCGTGTATGTACGGGGTGGTACATCGAGTCATCTGAAAGACACCAGGTCGATCCTCAAACTTGGCAGTGCTTCCTTCCCAGTTGAGCTCTAGGGTCCTTGTGTCAAGTATGCCTTGAGAACCCAAGTATAGATTGGTGCATACGGCCGGCCAAGGGTCTACAAGAAGCCGTGCCGGTTACTGATCCTTAGGCTTTTTCTCACTACAATCTCAAAGACGAGATGAGATGACATTGAAAATGACCCCTGGTAATCAGGTCTATGATGTACTGTATTGTTGATAACTGACAAGTGTTGAGGGGAAATGAGTATGGCTTCATATAACATAGTAAGCTTATGTGATAGAATATTTAGATTAGACATAGGAGGTTAGGTCAGATCAATGGAACATACTCGGCGAACAATGGCGCTGTCAGACAGACACTGGGTGGTGAGCGAGAACTGGGGGAGTCGAGACATGCATACCTCCTTCATCACTCATCCGTTCTCTAGAGTCTAGAAGGATTGGAGGTTTGAGGAGAGTGGAGCAGGGTGAGAAGACTGGATGAATGGGGATTCAGTCTGACTGGGTTGACTATTCCACTTCAGTTTAGCTGTCCCGAAGCAGCGTTGATTCCTAAGGCGGGCCCGAAGTAAGTCTGGCAGTTTGGCTTTGGTTTGCTCTAATTTTTTTTTCTTTTTCTTTTTCCGCTGTCTGCGAATCAACCCGCCGGTCCAACAGTCACATCTTTCAATCTTATCACCTTCTCAGATCCAATATTCTGTGGTCTCCAGAGAACCGTCCAAAGCCACGGAGCAGGTAGGTAGGAAGAAAGAAAGCAAGAAGCATTGTGCCTTGTAATTACATCCACACTTCCTTAAAAGTCCTATCTCCAGTCCTTGGCTCATTCTCCCTGTTCGGGTCTTTTTTTTTTTTCTCTTTTCTCTCCTCGTGTCAATCCTCACCCCGAGGGAAAGCGAAAGAGCATTGTGAAAGCTCTTCTAGTTCCCCTTCAGTCACCACGAAATTCGATCGTTCAAATCCGACATCATGTCACAAGATATTCAGGCAGCAGGGAAGAGAAAGCGTGCGAGTACGTATACCACTTGAGTCCCCATTATTTACCTTATATATCATATCCGGTCGTAACTCAGAGCCTGTTCTTTTACCTTTTTTTTTCCCTCTTTTTTGTTGCCCTCCCCATCCAAAACTCTCTTTTCTTTTTTTGGTTATCGAATCCCTTCTGCATCCTTATTTCATGTCTCGAGGCACCAATTCGAAGACATCGGTCTACTTGGACTTTTTTCGAGTGACCGTCCGTCCTCTATAATATTCTCTATCCTTCTTCGTTGGTTCCGCATTCCACGGCTGTGTCCAATTTTGAGACAACGCCCGTGTCACCCCGATTTCATTACCCCCCGCTTTCATCAAACCAGTTGTGGTTCTCCCAAGCCAGCCCCGCAACCATCAACCCCTCCTTTAATATCCCGTTCAACATGCCATCAGAATGCACTGTAGTGTATGCTAATCGCAATCAAACTTCAGGGACTCAGTCTTGCCCGCCCCCGGAATTACCTCAACTCGTCGCCGAGCAACATGTTCCCATTGCCGCCAACGACAAGGAAACCCAACGCCTAATTGTTGTTCTCTCCCATGCTAGTCTGGAGACCTATCGTGCCTCCCACGGTGGACGCAATGGCGCCGGTCGTGATGAGAAATACTCCTTGCTGAACAGTGATGAGCATATCGGTGTGATGCGCAAGATGAACAGAGACATCAGTGAAGCTCGACCAGATATCACTCATCAGGTATATCTTTCCTTGAGTTGTGGCTCCTATTTTATGAGTCTTCGATGAGAGAAACTAACCGGACATGGTGCAGTGTCTTCTCACGTTGCTCGACTCCCCTGTCAACAAGGCCGGCAAACTCCAAATTTTCATCCACACGGCCAAAGGCGTTCTGATCGAAGTGAACCCAAGTGTTCGAATTCCGCGTACGTTCAAGCGTTTCGCTGGTCTCATGGTCCAGCTCCTGCACCGACTCTCGATCCGCTCCACCAATTCCCAGGAGAAGTTGCTCAAGGTGATCAAGAACCCCATCACCGATCATCTGCCCCCGAATTGCCGCAAGGTGACCCTCAGTTATGAGGCTCCCGTGGTGCGGACCAGAGATTACATTGAGTCGCTAGGCCCTAAGGAGAGCGTGTGTATCTTCGTCGGGGCCATGGCCAAAGGTCACGATGACTTTGCCGATTCATTCAAGGACGACACAATCAGTATCAGCAACTACAGTTTGAGCGCTAGCGTGGCGTGCAGCAAGTTCTGCCATGCGGCCGAGGAAGTGTGGGATATTGTATGATTCGCACGTCTCGGATACAATATTCCTTCGATAGGAACGGCCAAAGCTTGACGAGGTAACGAATTTCCTTGCGACTATCCACCCAATTTGAGATGCCAGGAGTGCAGCAAACACCAACTTTGGAAGGACGTGTGTGCCACATCCTATTTACCGTTCTGGGCTCACTACCTACAGTCTCCTATTGTTTTTTGGTATCTTTCGCGTTTCCTGTTTTTTGTGCATCATGGCAGCCTTCAGCGCCGCGCGATACCGAAGGTTACACGATCACTATATTAAGGGCTCTTTTAAAAGAGCTATCAGATTCCGTTTGGATAGCTCGCCCTTATCAAGAAGGCATCAGGGATATCTGCGATAAGAAAGTGGTGAGGGTGTGGTCTGGGTTCTTCCAAAGTTCTTCTGCCACTAGTCTTTGCAGTTCGACCAACCCCAGCGAGGTTCTGCGTTCTTCCACAATCTGCATCTCTTCAGTCTCCTTTGCGCGAACAGAGGTAACTGTACAGTGCTGGGGCTTTGTATTGCACCTGAAGATCAAGAGATGACGTGATTGTTAATAATAGAATTAAGTACACGAACATAATGGGGAAATCAACTATTGGCAATGTCTTTGGGACAAGACGCTCCGCGCTCATGCTTGACATTGACATCAGTCAACATTTGCTTCTTTTATTGGTAGGAGTAGGGTAGCACGTTGTCACGTAGGTATGTAGGAGTACATGCATGCTTCGGAGAAGCGAAACGTGTATAAAATATTCAGCGGCCTGCATGTCAAAGACAGTAAGTTGAGAGGCGAGTCGCAAAGCGGCCATAAAATAAGATCACTAATGATATCAAGATATCGCGTGGTTTGGTGTAGCCAAAAGATAGTTCAGGGTGGAAGAAGAAGAAGAGGGAAAGGGAAAGGTGAACAAGACGAACCATCGTGACCAAATGCCTGAGGCCATGCAACTCTCTCTCACAGCCCTTTTCGTTTGTCCCCTCCATCACTACACTCTGCCTCCTTTCCCTCTTCTTCCCCCTTTTTCTCTGTGACTCACTTCTATCTGTGGGGTCTAACAATAACTGCACCATTGACCCAGAATGGAGAATTGCATTGACTCCATATGCAAGTATCGATCGGGGTGGTTCGAGTGGCTGGGAATGGAGTCTCCCTCTTCAACGTGGCATGCAGACATCGCAGCAATTCCTTGATGTGGATCTCCCGCTTCACTTGACTTGTGGACGGATTGATTCGTGTGGCATTTCTGGAGGGGGGCGGTTTGGTTACGTGCAAAACCATTCATCCTAGTTCATTACTGGAGTTAAGGATCAACGCTGATGCCAGATCCTCTGCATGGGCCCAGTCTCTTGAAACCAAGTGAGGCCTGCCCAGTGGCCATTTCATTTTATTTGCTTTCGTTCTCCTTCCTTCCGGAAAACATGACCCTTAATGTTACAACCCCTCATTCGTCGAATAGCCATGACACTTGATCCACGACACCGAAACCAAGTGGGTGTTGTTTGGCGGTCAGACGGCGCCATTCAGCGACTAAGAGCAGCAGAAGTGCCCAAAGCAGGAACAAAACTCCCCATCGGTCAGGGTGACCAAATGCCCCTCAGTGGCCCCCCCAGACGGTCCTTTACGTGAAACTATTCGTCTTTGCCCTGTCTTTGAATGCAAGAGCACCGAGGCACCCTGTGTAAGTTTCTTTCAAGACCAAAGCCCAACTACCCTGGCTGGGGCCTATCGAGCTAGAATCTTGAATCCCCTTCTTAGCATCATTTCCTATCACAGTTCTTATGGCTACTATTATGATTATTATCGTGATTACTGAAAAATAGTAGGAAGGAGTACTGTGTTGTCTCTACTGACTCCACCACTACCAATCACCATCCTCCACCTCAACCCTGGTATCGTCGCCTCATTCACTTCGACTTCTGACATGATGCGGTTTGATGCTTGGCCCATCTGCAGTATCCACCGTTTCCTGATAGGCGCCCCATCCGATGCCGACAGGGCCACCTACAGGACCGGCCGCCAGGCTTTCCCCACGATGACCTGGCGGACTGTGAGAGCGTTTTCTTCCCCTCGTTTCTAGCTTCACCGATAGGTAACATCATGGGTCTCTTGACCGTCTTCCGACAGGATTTCGTCTTTTTCGGTAAGAGAACGCAGAGCCAGTCTAGGTCGACACTTCGTCGGGATTGGTTTGCTTTCGGACGCATTGCGAGCTTATGCAATAATACCTGCTATGCTAGACCGTGTTTTGCATCACTAGAGCAGATTGTTTCCTTCGGGAACAAATCTTTCTTTTTTGTTAGCTTCCGATCAGTCTGATTGGATATAAGTTGGGCACTCTTGGGATAACCCCCGTATAGATAGCTTGGCCTCGAAATAATATATCTTGTCACCCTGTTGCTCCTTCCTTTACGTCCCATTCTACTTTTCACTTGGTCATTACTGTTCGTACATTCATATATCCTTGTTTTTCTCCAAACGTCTTTTCCCGTTTCAACCTCAGTCAATCTTCAGGTTGGGACCCTGTACTTGTGAGGACGAAGTCTGAAGCATTTGGTTATTGCTTCCATCCTCTATATCATACTTCCTCCCCTAGGATCAACCCGTCGCGTGCGTACTCGCTGACAACCCAGCGAGTCCTTCTCCTCATTGGACATGCCTGTATCACATCTTACCTTGACTGTCTCACACCTCCCCACCTCAACATCATTCTTCCTTTCCTGTCTACAGCCCCTGGGCTATCAGTTTATTGGTCGTCATGACGATTATATTGGCTTCGGCCAGAACCCCGGGGAACCGGCAGACTTTTGGATAACGGAGCAAAAACCAGGGTAAGTGAAAGCGCCCGGCCAATGCAAACCCAAGTTCATGCATGATTGTGTGCTGAATCGCTTTTTAGAGTGCCAGCTGGCGCCGCACATGTTGCATTTCCTGCCCCATCAAAGGATGCAGTAGGCCAGTTCTTCATCCACGCATTGAAGGCTGGGGGGAAGATTCACGGAGAGCCAAAAACCCGTGATTCTGAATCTGGCTACTACAGCGCAGCCATCATCGATGTTGATGGTAACAGCATAGAGGCCGTTTACCGTCCGAGCAGCTCATCAGCTAGGTCGGAGGTTAGCAGGTCAGCTTTGGCTCTTCTCGAGAATGGCTCGGTTGTATCAAAGACAGCTCCCTCGATTGTCTCGAAAGCGACAAGCAAAGCCAGCTCTGTCAGGCCCGAGAGCGTGGTTCCTCCCAGATCTGAAGCTAGATCCTATGTTTCCAAGGCGACGACTGCTGTGGAGCGAGCTGCGCCCTCTGAACGTGGAGTGCCATCAGTCATTTCCCGCGAAGTTCAGCCGGCGCCGTCACCAACATATGTCGTGCATCACACCACCCAGAAAACCGACGACGGCAAGGCAGCGAAGACCATCGTTGGTACTCTTATCGGAGCTGCTGCGGGCGCGGCTATTGCATACGCAATGTCAAAAGGCGATTCAGAGCCTTCTGAAACTACAACACCCCCACCCCAATACTCGCCCCGAGATTTTGCGCAACTTATATCTCCATCCCAAGCCTCATCTCCATCCCAGGAACTGCAAGGCTTCAGAGCCATCGAGGCTCCCCCGGCCAGAAGTGTCTACTCTCAGTCAGAAGTACGTCCGACCTTGACTCGCAGTGTCACCTCAAAGAACCCTCGTGCAAGCACCATCTACGAGGGCTCGGAATTTTTTCCGCGAGGAGGCGGGGGCAGTGTGTACCTTGATCAGAACGGACGCCGGGCCTCTGAGGGAAGCATGTACAGTGGTAACGACTATCCTGTCAGGGCGATTGAATACCCACCATCGGTTGATTCCCGGGGTTATGAGGCCACTCTGATCAGCAGCTTCCATGACAAGTCACGAGCGATGGACAACGGAAGCGTGTATTCGTCATCGACGATTAGGCCATCCAAGGCCAACTATCAAGACCATCACTCTTCACACAGCTCACACCATTCGTCGCACCATTCTTCTCGTCATTCTTCTCGCCATTCAATTGCAAGATCTCATTCCAGCAGCACTGTCTCAGCGACGCGTAGTGCCTGCAACGTCCCACTGCCCGAAGGCTCTATAGCATCATTTGCTTCCAGCCGCAGCGGTGCTAAATCAGGTGTTTCTGCCCGCAATATCCCGCTTCCAGAGAGCGTATATGACGATGTTGACGTCGAAACCAATGTTACTCCCGATGATTCAATCAGCCAGGTTGATGATTCGCGGAGATCCTCTGTCTCCCATCGTTCCCACGCCTCTAAAGCGGCTTCCCGGGTTTCTAGACATTCCAGCAAATTTGATGAGCCCGTCAAGCCAAGTGACAGTGTGAGCCAGGTTTCGAGCCATGCTTCGAGGGCATCACAGCGGACCATCAAGGCTGGCGGCAGCGTAGCAGGGGGCTCCAAGGCTCCTTCCAAGGTCAGCAGTCGGAGGGGAAGTCAAGTTGCATAGGGAAGATTTTGCTCTCTTCTTCCCCGCTACACCGCTACTTTTTTTTTATCGCTTCTTGCATCTCTTCTCATCTTCTTCATCTCTCTATATGCTGAGTCTTTCATCATACTTCAATTTCATCATGGCATACAAAACTAAGTATGGCATGTTCACAGCATCACCATTGGCGTTATGTTATGTATACATTGGAAGAAGTTATTGCTATTTGGGATCGATTCAACAATCAGTTTATTTTTATATCGACAGAAATGGTATCCGAGAAAGAGGAACAATCTATACCACAGACTCGGACAGGAGGTCCAGATCCTTAGTTCTGACAACATACAACGTGGACAGGAAAAATGGGCTTGATGATTCCATCTTCAAATTTGGGTCAGTTTACACATAGCGTGCTCTGTTTTCATATTACACGCGAGGTTCAGATATCGATACACACATATATATATATATATACGCATCACTGTGACACACCTTCAGCCTTGGGCGACCGTACTTCTATAGACATACAGTTTTATACTATTATGAATTCTAGGCAGTTGACTGCGAAAATTACGCACGTACGACGAGTTACGAAAGAAACATGTCCGTCACCTTGAAATAAGATATCATCAATAGACTGGTTTGATTGGTCTTTGCCTCGATAGCTGCTATCTGATACAAACGCCAGCACCAGTACACCATCGCCACCTGATTTCCTCACGCCATCTCACAACCATCACACCTCAGGCAAGCCTTCACGACCGTACCAGCAACATCCTCCTCCATCCTATCCCCGGCCCAAGGACGGACCCACGAGCCTTGGGCTATATGCTCATCACGTAATTTGCCCGACTCCATTGATTGAAACAAAAAGATGCCATGAATGCATGAGTATTGGTCATAATGATCGTTGGATATGACATTTCCCGCCGACAGGGAGAAAACGATAAAGAAAATGGGTAACAGGTAATTTAAGACACGCAAATGGAAAACAAGGAAAGGATCTACGATCACGGTACGCCAGGCTTCGGATCTGATCTAACGGGACGAAAGAAGACGCAGAAGCGATTTGGAAGACCAAGGTGGCCGTGTTATATTGGGATTCGAAGATCAGATAGCATATTTCCGGGTCCATTCGCGGGCGGTCGCTTCATACCGAGGGCGGTCAGTCTTGTACACATGCGCAATTTCAGGCACCAATGGGTCGTCTGGATTGGGGTCTGTAAGCATCGAACAGATAGACAGCAGCACTGCGAAACAACGGTTAGTCTTGAAAACGGCGATCGCGGGATACGGACGACGAACCTTTAGAGATTGTGAGAGCAGGACTCCATTGATCTCTAAGAATGTCGAGACAGATGCTGCCGTTGGAGTTGATGTTGGGGTGGTAGATACGAGTGGTGAAGTTGACCTTAGGCGGCTTGAATGGGTAGTCGGTAGGGAAGTGGATTGTTAGGAAGAAAACGCCTCCCGAGTATGGAGAGTCACCCTGATAAACCAATCGCATTAGTGATAATGTTCGCAAGTATATGAAAGGCGAATTGGCAGGCCACAAGGTCCCTATTTGTTCAGGAAGGGCGAGCCCTCAAGGCAGCCAACAAGGTGTTATGATTCGGAATTCACTCACAGGACCCATAATAGTAGCTTGCCAGTGGAACTGCGAGAAGATTGCCTGTCAGTATTTGATTTTTGGGGCTTTATATAAGTTCGCGATCGACGGGTGCAGGGGACAGGGGATCGAAGTGCTGGTCCCGCGACACCGCCGTCAACGGGAACGGATTGATATGTAGGAACCAGGAGGGGGGATTCAGAAAATCATACCAGGTCTTCACCTAGAGGTCCAGCGGAGCAGGAAGAGGGGGGATCACTATAAAAGAATGGAAGCGTTAGCATTTCTGGAGAACAGCGATTAGATCAAAGGAGGGCATGGTTTAGGAAGTGATTCATGAACGCCCCGCGGGAATAGTGGGGTGTTTCGTCCAGTGGCACGATGGAGAAGAGGGGAAATCATGGAGATAGAGATATAGATATCTTACCGGCCGAGGTCAGTGAGTTCCTTGTTAATTCTCTTAAGAGCCATTTTGTAGGTGATGTGAGGTTTTTTTTGTTTCCTTTAAAAAAAAGAAAGAGGCTTTTGGAGCGACCACTCAGTCGAAAGAGCGGTTAGTATCGAATTTAAGAAATCTGCACAGCACAATCCGGTCAGTACTCTAAGGCGCAGGGAGAAGGGGAAAAGAATATAATAGGATGTAATGGACAGGAAGAGAAGGAATACGTCAAGAATCGAAGGAAAGTTTTTTGGGGGAAAGGAGTGTTGGTGGTGAGGTACTCACAGCGAGATTGATTACGTCGGAGGGGGGGGCAAAAAGAGAGGGGGAATTTGGGCTGAAAGAAGAAAAAGAGGAAGAGAGAGAGAGAGCGAAGAGGAGAGAAAGGGAAAGGCAAGAGTGGATGAGCGAGATCCAGTGACCGTATTACGGGTCATAATACCTTACCATACGGACCTTCCTCAGCCACATCCCCTCTAAGCCACACAGAGAGTCTCTAATACTAAGTAGTAAATTTAATATACAATTATCCATACATGTTCCGGACAATAGTACGAAATAGGTAGTACCTACTCTGTAAGTTTTTCAATTGCGCAAGTGCCAAAGATGACCAGGTTAAGGTATCGCCACTTTCAGTCATGATTCTTGTCTGTGACTGGACACTGGATCCTATGCCTGTAATGGACCCTCTTTTCCCTTCTTTTTCTTTTTTCCTCAAGGGCCTTCTTACCTTGACAATTGCAAAAGCGGAAGAACACTCCCAGAGGTACACTCTGGAGTACAATAGAGACCCATCTTGTCGGGATACTTTGTAACATCTACATACGGCGTACATACAGCGGACAGCGTAACAAATGGTTTCAAGTTCGTTTCTCTCCAACACACAAGGCAAGGTCTCAAATACACACTCACTCATACTCTCTATGTATATCATATGTCGAATGATCTATCTCATTCTTGAATTTCAGCAACTTCCCGTTTTATTGTATTTTTTTCATCAATTTGTCATTCTTATCAAGCCTCGCGTGTCCACGTGGCGCAGTCCAAAATCACGTGCATATAAGGTACCGATTCTCGAAGGCTCTACTACCAAGTAGATGTACTTACGACTCAGCGCCTATCGTGTAGTGATTGAAGCTAGGTCGGCAACAGACACGGGGCATTGGACTGGCCGGGTTAGACATTAAACCATGTTATATGACTAGATGCACCGTTTCTTTCTGTCCCGACCTGTTCAACTACTATATTTATACACATTACTGTTTCCAAATTAGTCGCAAGCCATTCTACGAGGATGACAGTGGCAAGTGTCCTAAACAAACGCCTGGACTCCAGTGATGGCGCGCCCCAGAATCAATGCTACACCAATCATTAGCACCGGGCCCCTTATGCCGGAAAGGACGGCGATTTTAACTCGGTCTAATACTCACCGTGAATGTCGCTCTGCCCCTCATATGTTTGCACCACAAACAGGTTGGCTACATGCCGGCCGATATGGTATTCATCGCTGGTTGCATTTCCGCCGAAAACTTCTTGAAGTCTATCGCATGGTTAAGATCAGTACCATAATCCAGACTAGGAAAGGGGAATGAAAGTGGGACTGCTTACATCCGAGAGTTGGCCAGGGCGCGGTCACAGTTCTGTCTTTTAACCATGGAAATCATTTCAGGGGTAGATTTGCCTTCGTCCTTGAGTCTAGCAACCTGGGTCGCTGCCAGCGTTCCATAAGCAGCATCTGTGGCAGCATCCGCCAACTTCTTCTGGATTAATTGATACTTCGCCAGAGGGTTGCCCTTGAACTGCTTCCGCTCCAGGGCATAGGTCCGGGCGCGGCTAAGGCAGTCCTCAAGAGCCCCCATGGCTCCAAAGGCAATTCCTAGTCGAGCACTGTTAAGACAGGTGAAAGGCCCAGTGAGACCTTCAACATCGGGGAACATATTCTCTTTTGGAACCGGGCAGTCGTCCAACTGAATCATACCGGTGATAGACGCCCGTAAGGCGGTCTTATTCTTGATAGCCGGAGTCTCCACGGTGCCTGGAGGGCATTGGTCACGTTCCACCACAAACCCGCGGATCTTACCTGTGCTCTCCAGTTTGGCCCACACTATCATGATATCGGAGATGGGGGAGTTAGTAATCCAAGTCTTCGTGCCGGAGAGCGAGTAATAGCCCTTCTTAGTAGGATGCTCTCGTGCAACCGTTTCCATAGAACCAGGGTCTGAGCCATGATTAGGTTCTGTAAGACCAAAACAACCAGCAATCTTTCCCTTGGCCAGCCCTGGTAGAAATCTATCCTTTAGCTCCTGGGTTCCAAACTCGTAGATGGCCGTCATCGCCAGCGAGCTCTGCACGGACATCCCTGATCGGTATCCGGAATCTACCCGTTCAACCTCCTTAGTGATCAGGCCCGACGCAACAGTGCTGGCACCTGCACAACCATAACCCTCAATGCTGGCGCCAAGAAGACCCAGTTCGCCCATTTCTTCCAGTATTCTGCGATCATAGTTCTCGTTTCGATAAGCATCTGACAGATACTCATAAGTCAGCATTCATATCCATTATCCCTCTGCGTAACGTATGGAGCCTTTCATAGACCGGTGTCGGCCCTGCCCAAACAGGGAGATCGCATACCGAGAACTCGGGGTAACAAGCGCTCTTGGCAATACTGTCGCGCTGTGTCCTGAATCGCCAATTCCTCCTCCGTATATAGCTCCGATGCAGCCAGAGGATCTTCCCAGTTGAAGGCGGTCGCGAAACCGCGCATTGGCGCATTAAGTGAAGCTGTGGGCGTCTTGTGCACGTGGCTTGCCGACTGGAGGTGGCGTGAAGCTGCACGGAGCAATGATCGATTCATGATGAGTAGTATAAGCCGCGGTAAGAGATAGAAATTCTTCAAACAAAGGTGGAAGCGACGTGGATAAGCTCTTTCTATGGATATATAAACGTTTTACAGCAGAATTGACAGCTAGTACGGCATACGCGAACATAAATAGTAGTTGTTGCGGGGAAGCTGCTTGAATCGCCCGAACTAGAAAAGGACGATTTTCCCTCGGCAATCGCTCCGGGTGTCGGCCTCCCGTTTGGAGACTTCCGCATCCACCTTCCGCAACCACAAGGTACAGCCGCAAGCCCAGCCCGTTGATACTCAGATCGGGTAAGAAGGATCTCAGAAAATAGGGCCCCTGTCGTTCAATACATCCTATGGGTAGTGCAGGCGGATATTCGGCATTTCCCCACCCACTATTTATCAGTTTCGGCTTGTGTTCTGTTCCCTCGGCAGCGTCGCCCAATGAACTGATAGAACTTCGTATCTACCATATTCAATGTAAAACACAAGAGGAGGGAAGAAAGGGGGAAAGAAATCAATGGAAGCAAGTCGCCATTGTCGAGCCTCTAGTTGTATCGTAGAATGGCTTGTGGATATGTTGCCATCCCCATTATGCCACGCACTACGACCTAGCATCAAGCTAGATCGTACACTTCTCGATTCTTATGTACGTCAAGATTGTTATACAATTGGCTCATTGGCTTGAGAAATTTGAAACACGACTCGCATTAGGTGGTTCTTCGTGTAATGCCGCAGCAATTTGGTTTCGTAGACGAAGACTCCTTGTCCTCTAATGAGTGAAGCTAAGTGTACCGGTTGCAAAACTTTGCAGTGAAGTCTGCCATCCTGCGGCATGTTGAGGACAAGTTGCAGCCCCGACCCTCAGAAATATCGGAGGATTCGTCTGTGAATTATAGGACACGGTCTCCGGTATGGAGGTTCTTTCAGTTCATGTAGCAGCATGCCGAGCGAGACCTCTCCCCATGTGGAAAATCCCGGTGTATAAGAGACCAAGTAAATTAGGCTTCACCACCTCATGAAGATCCGCCCCAAAATGCTCTAATGCTGTATAGAAACTAATCAAGGCTATAACCAGGAAAAGGTGTGTATAACAAGCACAACCCTGTCACAATTTGCAAAGGTTCATGGAGGCAGTGGCCTGAATCAGGCGGGCATTTGGGACTGAAGGAAGTCAAAGACCCCTGTAGGGAAATACTCCTCATCAAAGCCCCACAGATCAGCCATCATAGGATCCACAGAGCCTTCCGAGAGACCTGGCTGTTGCTTCGATTGTGCCGCAGCAGATTCAAATCCACTGCCTCTCTCAGCAGACAAGGGAGCTATGCCCAGTAGCGGGGGCGGGTGGTTTAATATAGTATCCCGCTCACCCAGTGGCTGTGCCCCAGGAATGATTATGGGTTTGAACATAGAATTCTGAGAAGGGTCACGAAAGCTTTGTCCTGTGGATTGTCCGTTGTAAGAGTTCCTTTTCTCCCACTCCTCAAGTCCCGTAAGCATTTTTCTCAGGCCACGGGCTATGTGGTGACTGAGGTGACGCTCGCTAGCTCGCCTACTGCAGGACACCATCAGCTCAATAATCCGTCCAACCAAGGCCCGCACGTATGCGATATCGATGGATAGACCCGCTGATGCAATAGAATTCTGCTTGCCTGGCTGACTAGGAATACAGCTCGAGCAGCTTCTTGCTGCGATCTTCAACAGAAATACAGCGGCAAAGGTGATCATGCTATGTAGATACAACGGGACACCGACCAAAGCTCTCTGTATATCAGGTTCATCCAGAACGACCAATAGAGTACCAATAGCAGATTCGATGGCCAGGTTTGCTCGTTTTTTTCGCTCGTTAGATAAGGGGCGGGCTGACAGTGAACAATGATATGTCCGCAATGCAACAGAATTGAGTTGTAGGCGGGAGAAATGGTAGTGTAGGTAGACAGCTTTATAGGGGTACGCACCAACATAACGACTCCCGGCTATTCAATCCAACATGTTAGATCGCAGATATTCAATCAGAAGGCTTAAGGACAACTATACCTAGGCGGGGTAGCCATCCAGATTGCCACTCCTCAAGATCGGCGTCAAATTTGTCGATTGTAGTAAACTCGTTCTCGGGTACCTCAAGGTCGACGTCGGGGCCAAAAGCATGGTATATGCGAGTAAGGATGATAAACAAATCCACCTGGCTATGCAAACGCAGGTCGGATTGTGTTACTGTGGGGGACATAGTAAAAGTATTATGATTGGTGATACTCTTGTCCTCATGAATTATAGGTGGTCGGCCATAAGCGATGGAAAAATGGTGCTCTAGAGTCTAGTATCGTTAGTTTCTGCAAAACAAAACTTCAATGGAGAAGACTTACATAGAGAAGGTACCACAATCTTGCTTGTTCTTGGTGCTCAGGTGAGCCTTGAGTAGCCTTTCTATATGATTGGTGTAGATTGCGCTCGGTTGCAATACGTACTGCATACCCCGATAGCTTCCAGCTGACATCTGCAAGCCAAAAAGCGCCTATACATAAAGCGCGTAAATCGTCCAAGGTATGGTGTCTATCAAGCATTGACTCTGATGCCAATTTCGCGAATTCAGTGTAACAGGTATCAAAAAGTCTTTCTTTTTGGGGCATATGCAAAGCTGTAACAGTGAGGATGGCTGCAGCCAACATTGAAGAAGAATTTCGGACTGATGTGAGGTCCTTATGCACAAGGGCTATACCATCCCATAGATAGCGGTTGAGTACCTGGTCAAAGAAATAGAATAACTCCTCCGCGTCTTGTAAATCCACAGTCCCTCGCGAGATCAGGTCAGTGTCGCGGTCCGAAGTATGATGCCGTTCGGGAGTACTTTCTTGAATATCACTCAGCTGGGTCACTTCATACAAGCTGCCCATCGGAGCTGTAACCAATAGTTTTTCTTCCCTGTCAATAGCAGTTTGCAATCGTTGCTGGGTGATGTGGGAAGGCGGGTGGGATACTCCTGTTACTGATTTGGCACCACCATCGGTCGCATCTCTTCCAATATCGCCTCTCGAGGTATGTATGTCTTCTGTAGATACTGTAGATCCCCGTCGATCGCTCTTCTTGTGTGGTGTTTCTGCTGACTTGCCAACGGCTTGATAGTATGAGAGCTCTGGTAATTGTGCCTTTCTGAGCAAATCGGTCATGGCAAGCTCTATCGTTGTCTTCCATCTACACAGCGTGTATTACCGGGTTAGCGAGGATACATGCATGGTGGAATCCGGGTTCAAACAAAGCAAAGCGCACGTACTCTGCTTCATCGTCGAGCAAAGTTTGGAGGCTCTTGTTTACGACACATTCCAAGCCCATGCGCCGACATCTGGAGCAGACCGATTCCCCTGCCTTCATATCACAGCGGACTTTATGCCTTTTGCATTCGGTGCACGCACGTATTTTTCGAGAAATCTTGGGTATATGTATTGATTCACGTCGAGAGTTAGCCTCCGGCGCAGGATACGGCAGAGCACCTCGGGGAGGTGAAGCGGACGACGCATCGCCATTGGCTTCGAAATCAAGGCGACTGCGTTTCATGGTATAGAAAAATTCATCGTTAAGGTCTCAGATTGCAATGGGGCCTCGTTTCGTTTTATAGATATTGTCTACGGCCACAGGAGTGGATGCCAAGTGGAAAGAGGGGGGGGGGTTGCGGAAGATACTAGTAGTGATGGAGAGAATGCGAACTCCTCACTGCCTTAGGCTATACTGTTTAAGCTTACTCCGTACTCGGTACTGAAACCGTTCCTTTTCACTGGCCAGACCTACAGTAGAGGGACCCTAGAGCCTTAGGCGAAGGGGATGGGGATTATTAGCGGGGAAGTCACGTGTGAGTTATGTCCCCAGAAGCTAATCCCAATACGGTCTAATGATGTATTCCCGCCCGTCGCGCGTTCTACAAAGCTCGGCGCGTGTTGGGTCGCGGCACCACTCTAGAAACCTTTTCTGTGATCTTGTTTAAACCAAAAAGTAGTCCTGACTGGCTTCCCTCGCCGTTTTCATCGTACAACAGCAGGAAACTCATCATGGGTATTAAGCGTAAGTTATTCTCATACCTAACTACCTGTTGCAGCACTGCCGTAGAAGCTCATTTAGTACTAACTTTGAGTTTCTCTACAGACCTATACCAGGTAATCGCGGAGAATGCCCCTGATGCGGTCAAGGCGGGGGATATCAAAAACCATTTTGGCCGAAAGGTTGCTATAGTATGTGATGTCCTTCCTTCCGTTTATGAGCTGTGCATTAGGGCGCTGTCTGGCTAACGGGTGGTCCCTGGAATCTAGGATGCGTATGTAACTTGATCGTTTTTGGGAAACAAAGAGAGACTAGAAACTAACATACCACAGCTCCATGAGTATCTACAGTTTCCTCATTGCCGTGCGCTCCGAGGGCCAACAACTCATGAGCGACACCGGCGAGACCACGTCGCATCTAATGGGCATGTTCTACCGCACTTTGCGAATGGTCGACAACGGAATCAAACCCCTTTATGTCTTCGATGGAGCTCCGCCAAAACTCAAGTCGGGCGAGCTAGCCAAGCGTACCGCTCGAAAGGCCGAAGCTACTGAGGCTCATGAGGAGGCCAAGGAAACCGGCACAGCGGAGGACGTTGAGAAGTTTTCACGGCGTACGGTACGGGTTACGAGAGATCACAATGCGGAGTGTAAGAAGCTGTTGAAGCTGATGGGCATCCCATACATCGATGCCCCCACCGAGGCGGAGGCGCAGTGCGCAGTCCTTGCACGGGCGGGAAAGGTCTATGCTGCTGCTTCCGAGGATATGGACACGTTATGCTTTGAAGCACCCATTCTTCTCAGGCATCTTACATTCAGCGAACAGCGAAAGGAACCGATCCTAGAAATTCATCTCAGCCGCGTGCTGGAAGGACTCGATATGGACCGAAACCAGGTAAGCCACAATAGTTCCTCCAGCAGCGCTTAGTTTTGCTTATGGCTTGCGGTATAGTTTATCGATCTTTGTATCTTACTTGGCTGCGATTATTTGGAGCCGATTCCCAAAGTTGGTCCCAATACTGCCCTGAAACTGATTCGGGAGTTTGGGAGCCTCGAGAAGGTTGTTGAGCATATGGAGAGCGATCCGAAGAAGAAATACGTTATTCCGGAAGATTGGCCGTACCAGGATGCAAGAGAGCTTTTTCTCAATCCAGACGTGAGGGAAGCTAGCCACCCAGACTGCGACTTCAAATGGGAGGCACCAGATATTGAAGGCCTTGTGGAATTCCTGGTGAAAGACAAGGGCTTTAACGAAGATCGAGTGCGCAACGGCGCAGCCCGGCTCCAGAAGAACTTGAAAACTGCCCAGCAGTCACGTTTAGAGGGCTTTTTCAAACCTGTGGCCCGGACCGATGAGGAGAAGGCGACCCTCAAACGTAAGCACGACGAGAAACTTCAGGAACAGAAAAAACGCAAAAAGGAGGAGGCTAAGGCCAAGAAGGAGGCCAAGGCAAGACCCCGCGGTGCCGGGTAAGGGACTCGCTCTCCTTATTCAGCCAATGTTTTACACGACGAGGAAGTTCTTGAAAAAGCAACGGCTAAGTAGGGGGGTCGTAAAAACCATGAGATGGCGTTGGCGTTGCGTGATAAGCTCACTGGGTTGTCGGATTTGCTTTCTGTTCTGAGATGCGGCGTTTCATTGATGGGGCGCAATCACTGAATGTAACTTTTGGATATCCTATGAATAGAACTAATGGGTTTCTCTGGGTAAGGGGGCAGAGAGATGTGATCGTCTCTAGCGCCTGTTATCTTCGAGAACATGCCCTGTTGTTATCGGAGAATTTGCCATACTGGGTCGGTAAAATCAGGCCGCCATGTGCCGAGAGACGCTCTCTCTGAAACCCAGCCTGAATTCTGTGATCCCTCGGCGGATAAGCATGAAAAAGGGAAAGATAACTCTGGATCACATGGACATACTCATTCTTCACTGCCAGGCATTAGAATGAATTGTTTCGCTGGTTGTAGCGGTTCGTGCTAGGGTTGGGCATTGTTGTAGTGGCGGACCACCATTGCACGTTAATACAGCGGATGTTGATTTCTCTGGTTATATTGGGAAATACGACCAATATTCGCTCTAGATGGTGCAGCTGCTAGAATATTATCTCTAGACGACGAGGAATCACTGTTGTTTCCGTTGTGGTTGGGGAGATCAGGTTCAAAAACTTCTGGTCGAGTATTATATATCGTGGGCGGGGAAGTGGATGGATCCTGTATCACTGTAAGTAGTAGGGCTACCGAGTGATCAAAGAGATCACAACGCTGGAACCTCAAGACCAACATATATAAACGGCGTAGTAATGAATAGAACCCATAACTTAGATATACAGGCACATTAACCCAGCCAGAGGAGCTATTTATGTCGTGCCGGGGATCCCATCAATAGCCGCCATAGTGAGGTTGACACCGGGTCTGAGCCGAACATCGTTGAGTTATGAGCTATCAGACTTAGCCTGACCTATCCAGGGTACTAGAAGGAAACAGGAAATACATATCTAGTAGGAGGTATCTTGGGAAGATGTGAAATCATGATACGAGGTGGGGGTTGTTTGCTTGGGTATGCATGCCCATTTTCTAGAACCAAATCATGGTCACGATCCTGAGGATCAACCACCGAGCGTGCACCCACCCTAACACAAGTGGGTTTTAGCTTGGTAGACTACAAATTAAATCCCCCCCATATTACTATATTTGAAGCACAGGTCCACCATAGGCAGTAGTCAAGGGGACATGGGTGGAATGTTTCTGTCCAGTGCAAAACACATGATTCATACATGCCTATGGCCAGCGCATCTGTTCATGCCTTATAGTCAATCATCGGGGCACCAACCATGGATTGCGATCTATATTCTTCAAGCAGAGGAACCAATAACCACACAACCCGTCAGCGTCTCAAGTATGGAATTCCCCAAGTTAGGAGCAAACTCAAACAGGCGATCCATACATCATCCCCCCTCGTGACCTAAACGGCACGAGGCGGCCAAATGGAAGCCTCCACTGGGGTTTCCCACCATCGACAACATGCAAGGGACAGACAGCCCGACACCTTCCGTCTAGCTTAGACTCTTACAAAGTATAGTCAACCGGCAAGCTGCCAGGAGACCATGAGCTTGACCAAACAGCAAATTCCAATAGCCGATCTCAATGGATGTAGAACACCCCAAAATAGGTCTAGTCAATCCGGAATTGTTGATTCTGATACAGAGCCAACCAGGCCGTAAGGTAGAACGGCCAAAGACAATATTGATGAATCATCAAGCTTCAAGAATTAAATACCATAGCCATGATGATTGTGACGCACGATGATTGTCCATGTCGTTGCGAGAGCCATCTGTGGATTGGGAAAAGATACGGGAATTAGGTACGTATACATGGAAGGAAGCGCGTGTCACCTTTCTCTTCTTTTCTTTATTCCATCAAAGGAAGATATGAAGATAGAGAAGCTGACCATATACATGGGAATAATTCCCAAGGGATTGCTAGCTTAAGAATTATCCAGAGAAAAGAGAAAAATCAAGGAGAGAGGGGGATGGGGGGGAGGAGGTGGAGGCAGAACGCGTAGAAAGACTGCGCGAGGGAGTGAGGATGTGCGATCTGTCGATGAATGCAATGGATATCCACTTCATGACCAAGAGCTAGCAATAAGGACTAACTCTTATCAGAATATTGATCACCCGAGAATACGGCCCTACCAATAATCTACCGAGAAAATGCACAAAGAAAAAAGGGAAAAAAATCGTGGGAAAAAAAAGAGGAGAAACAGCAGAGGGACTTTGACGTGTAGGTGCTTGGGAGTGAGTGATCTTGTGTCAACACCCGCTGCCCTATAAAGCGCGGATGCCCCGCGGCCTTCCACCCCTTCCGTCGTCGACTGCTTTTCCTTCTGCTTCCACCAACGATTCACCCTTACGCCTGTTGAACTTGTATATCATCTCTTAGACTTCGGTCTCCCTTATAACTTCGACTTTAAAATCACAAGTCATACTTACCCACCCTAAAGATGCCTCCCAAGAAAGCTTCCACCGGCGCAGCCAAGAAGACTGGCTCGACTCATGCTTCCTACCGTGGTATGATTTTACTGATCTTCCCTCACCACCACATCGCGTCGGGGTGATCTTATTATCGTTTTTGTCGCGAATGAATGCTGATTCATTTGATATAGATATGATTAAGGATGCTATCCTGAATGTGAGTTGATCACGCCATTCCCGAGGCGCTTTGGGAGATGGATGTTGGGTCCCAACTTCTCCGACCGTGACACGTCTGCACGGTGCTGGATCACCCCAACGTCACGTCGGAAATTCTTGAATATTCCTTCAAGCTGGTCGCTAACATTTTGTCCTCTAGCTGAAAGAGCGCAATGGTAGCAGGTATGTTAGTTTTGTTTTTATCTCGCCGTGCAAGGCCCCGTTCAGCGACGTGGCAGCCGCAGCACTCGTCCAAGTCGCGTATTGGGCTAACTTGATCTCCCCATGACAGTCGTCAGTCCATCAAGAAATATGTTTTGGCAAACAACAAGATTGCACCTGCATCTACCAACGCCTTCGATAGCCAGTTCAACAAGGCTATCAAGGCAGGCGTTGAGAAGGGTGAATTCACCCAACCCAAGGGTAAGTCTTGATATATCGCGCGCGCATTTAAGAGTCATTCCCCCTGTGGCCACCGAACTGAGCATGCTATTACCTGTGCCCTCTAATCTGTTACCGTCGCGTATCCCTTTGTTTTGATAAATGGTGAGCTGACGCGTCTTATCTCTAGGTCCTTCTGGACCCGTGAAGCTCGCCAAGAAGGAAGCTGCTCCTAAGCCTGCTGCCAAGGTAAGTGATATATATCCTCTCATCTGTTTAGACTTCAACATGATTAATATAATTATCAGAAGAGCACCACCACTGCCAAGCCGAAGAAGGCTACTGCCACTACTACTAAGAAGGCTGAGAAGGCCGAAAAGGCCGAGAAGCCTAAGGCGACCACCAAGAAGACTGGCACTACTACTGCCAAGAGGAGTGTCGGCAGACCCAAGGCAAACACTGCTAAGCCTCGCAAAGCATCTACTGCTGTACGTATCACCATCGGCCGCCCTTGTCCCGGAACTGTATTCTAACATCCAAGCAGGCCCCTGCCGTTGTCGACCAACCCAAGGTCATCGGCAAGACGAAGTCCGGTCGTGTGACCAAGACAACGGCCAAGCCTGAAAAGGCCACCAAGAAGTCTACCAAGAAGGCCTAAAGCCAATGTCTGGCAGAACATATTTTTGAGCGACTAGTTGATTTCCTGTTCGATTTGGTTGACTTGACGTGGGCTTCGGACTGTATCTTTTTCTTTTTTGGGTTGTATCCCTTCTTTCTTCGGCTGTAATTTCTTTTTTTATCTCTATCTTTTGTCGATGCGGTGACTGCTCCTGGGATATGTTGATGGTTTATTCTTTCGTTATTGGTAGGGTTGGCGTCTTGCGGTGGATATGGGAAACGTCTTATCTTTTTTTTTTTTCTTTGTGCTTGATATTTATTTAAAGCACGCGCCAGCGGACAGTGCTACGTTGTGAATGGAGTTGATAGCCATGCTTGAACGAGAGGTCCCCTATCCAGTTTCCATGTAGAATTGTAGAAGCCCGGGTTGTGGTCTGGAGTGCAGATAAGTAAGGGATACTGAAGGTTCTTGTTGATCCGACAGCTATGAGAGGCATCTTACTACTGACTGACATGAGCGGCAGCTTTCACAAATTCAAGGAGAGACGGGGCTTGGGACTGTCAATTGGGTCAATGCTCCTAAGTATTGATTTCTCATACATAGTATAACAATGCATATTCGATATTATGTGATCCGAGTCCGGGTTCTCACCTGAGGGGATAGAAGGACTCCTTCAAGCTCGCTGGATCAGTTCCAAAAATAGGAGATAGAAAGTACCCACTCGGTGAGCAGTAGTACTCCGTACTACTAGGTATTCGAAGAATAGCCTTGTAAGCACCTTACTTATATATGGACGCATCTTCAGCAGATGGGTCTGCCACTTCGCAAGGCCCAATATTGTGTCAAGTCTGCAGTCTACACTCTTTCAATACACCACACATGACCTTGTTTAGTACTCTACCATACCAGGAAGAATGATGGGCAATACGCATAGGGGCTCATTGCGTCAGGATAGGACAGGATAGTTTGGGTGTGACGTTGGCACTGTCGATCATTAGCACAGTACCTGTCGCGGTGGAATAAGGAGGATCAGGCTGAGTTTGAGAACCCGATTATGGCGTAATCCTGTTAGAAAGCTCATACTAAATAGTTTGTGAGTTACTCTGGGGGAGGAAGATAGCGACAGAGTAAAAGAAAAGAAGTTGAGTTTAATAGGTGAAATTATCACTATCATTATCATTATCATTATTATTATTGTTATTATTATTATTATTATTATTATCAGTATAATAATAATCAGATCCTTTCTAAGTGACGCAAACATAACTTGGCCGAAACATTTCATTCCATATTTCAAATACTACTTGGAAGCGACAATTGCAGCATGAGGTCTCTAGACTACTTTCACGAGGATTGAATATATACTACTCCAGTAAGGATATACTAAAATTGCCACTAGTACAGCTGCAAAGGTTATGCAGTTTGCCGCCCGTGTCCGTGAAGTGTCACCTGTCATCGTGATACCTCCTCATACACGGTACTTCGGAATGTATGTACCCGTTGTTTCAGTGTGTAGTGTATGAGGCGACGACTCGGGATGGGCAATTTCTAACTGCTCTTGGCGGATATGCTCTGGGAACCGAATCCGATCAATCGGCCTATAGATTTCATGCAAAAAGTGCCTCTGTACTACTAAGGTTCCGTCCAGAGTAAACCTTGGTCTTAGATTTTGTACCCGACATACCGTATGTATGTACAGACACATATCTATGCATAAGTACGCTGTGTGGAATATGGATATCGTATGGCCTAGATAGATCAAATCAATACTAGTACTGTACAAGTATTGTCACCTACTAGATTATCACTGTACATATGATTAGGAGGAGGAATGGAATTAAGTGGTAGATAATGCAGCACATGGCTGACGTTCCTTATCTTCCATGATACAGCCGGGAGCCGTTCCTTGCTTATCTGTACGGAGTACAAACAATTACAATACGTAGAACTTCCCCGTTGCTGGAAGTAATTAAAGCTGACTACTTCATCAAAACTGTGGAGCAAAAGATCCATCCTTACCAGGAACAATAACTGACACAGATGGGTCCTCCGGGTTTCCTAGCACTACGGAGTACTACTCACTAACCAGCCTCCTTTACCTAGTGTCCAGTGAAAGAGACACCTGAAAAATAAGAATGAAAAGGGAGTCACTTTAGTTTTTCTGCCTGCCACGGGGCAAGATCCATCTGTTTCTTTATCCGCCACAATAAAAGTTCTGCATCCATACTTATACTGCATTCTATACCCACGACAAACTACTTGGGAGGTTGGACGGAGTGCAGATACATACATACAGTACAAGGTACCTCACCTCATACATACCCCATACAAGTCATACAGTGTAATACCCCCCTTCTCCAGGCACCCTCTTTTTTTTTCCTTTGGTAAGGATTTTCTTTTCCTTTTTTTCCTCCCCCGTCTGCCTGCCCAGACCTAGAATTACATTACCAGTCCATACCAAATTGTGAGGTCTTTTTTCCCTCCTTCCCTTCTCTACCTAAGAATAATACCGTCAGTCTTGGTTCCTCGTCCAAAGTCTCCCCCAACCCATCAATCATCCCCATAACGCCCGACTGGTGTCTACTTTTCACACACTCTCTCTACTCGTCCTCCCTCCCCACCTTCTCTAATTCGCCCTTTAATCAACAACTCGTCCTTTCTACGTCTTTTGTCCGGCTTCTCTTTCTTTTCGCACTCATTAATCGTCTTGGGACTCGAACACGTTTGCCTGTGCCGGTATTGGTCGACGTACATTTCGCCATTTTCCTTTCGTTTGATGAACATGCCAATCCGTCGCTAAATTTATGCCACGCCCTCCCCGGCTGGTGGCTTCAGCTCGATTCGGGGACTTTGTACTTGCATCTCGAACCCTGCCATTGATCGGTCGCTGTCACCCTTGTCTTCCCTCCCCCTTCCTTTCCTCGCTATCTTCCCTCCCGTCGTTGGCCGGAGACAGTCGACCCCGGTTCCCGCCCAGCACGCTGGCTGTTTTGCTGAGCTTAATAGGCCCACGCAGGTCTCACGTCACCGTTCTATCCCCTCCTTTATATACACACCGTTTGGCGTTTCGACTTTGCGCCGGAGTCGAAACCTAGCGACCATGCCATCTTTTTCTAACGACAGCTCTTATCAGACGGCCACTGCCACAGCTACCCACCCTCGTTCTTTTGACTCGCCGCCAGGGAAACCACACGATAAAACTCCCGTGGGTAACACTTTTTTGTGGACAAACTGGCCCAATGGCGACACCAATCACCTTGACACCCCCGGAAACGACCGCCAACCGCTCGCGAACGGCAGTGTGTACTCTTTGAATGGGCCTCGGTCAAGCGCTAGTTCTTACACTCGGGATCTGTCACACTCGAAAGATGGAAGCATGCATTCATTAGGCCATGTACCGGCCCGGGACCCCCGGGATGGTGGACGGCCTTCCATGACGCACGAACAGGATTTCGCGCGGAAATCTACCGATGCAGGTGCCGGGGCAGGTTCAGCGACGGCGTCGATAGCCAGCCAGCAGCCTAACGCCACATCACTCAACTCACGATCACCAAATGGAAGACCGCTGATGAATGGGGATTATGCTCGACCTTCTGCCGATGGACTGGTTCCTTCGGAATCTATGGGGAACGTTTCGGAAACATGGCCGTCAACATCGCAGCCCATCGACACAGGACGCCTCTCACCTGACCCTGATTGCCTATCCCCGTCGCAGAAAAGCCCCCATCGATATTCTTCTCCACCGCTCCCATCTGGCACAGAACAGCCAGAACCGGCGAATTCCGGCCTTCGACATCGGCATACGCTACAGGTTCCAAGAAACACTAGCGGCCGTCGAAGTAGTCGCGACCACTCCGAGGATGCGGCATATAACAGCGGACGATTGTCTCCGACAGGAGGGGTTCGTCGTACCTCTTTCAGTCTTGGCCGCCGGGCCAGCAAGACCAATCGCTCAGATACCTTACTGGACGAAGCTAATCCTGATGAAGATGCAGCCAGATGGGCAGAAGCCATCAAGCAACGGCGGGCTTCAAAGCGGAGACGCCGGGATGACGACGATGACGACCGTGTCATCGTGGGAACAAAGGTGGATCAAAATCATGTGAACTGGGTTACAGCGTACAACATGCTCACAGGAATTCGGTTTACCGTCTCGAGAATTAATGCGAAGATGGACCGGGAGCTCACCCCTGCGGACTTTGAGGCGAAACATAAATTTTCTTTTGACATGTATGCTCTAGTGCCCCCATCCCCTATCCTATGGTCACTCGTTCTTTCACTTACACTGGACCCGTGGGCAGCACTGGCAATGAGTTAACACCTTCTGCCAAATACGACTTCAAATTCAAAGACTATGCGCCTTGGGTCTTCCGGCATCTGCGAACGAAGTTCCGGATTGATCCTGCTGACTACCTAATGTCTCTCACAAGCAAGTATATTCTTTCGGAATTGGGCTCGCCTGGGAAAAGTGGCAGCTTCTTTTACTTTTCGAGAGACTACAAATACATCATCAAAACTATACATCACTCCGAACACAAGCTGTTACGCAAAATTCTCCCAGAGTATTATAAACACGTCGAGCAGAATCCGAACACGCTGATCTCGCAGTTTTATGGCCTTCACCGTGTCAAGATGGCCTATGGACGCAAGATCCACTTTGTGGTCATGAACAACCTCTTCCCGCCTCATCGTGATATTCATCAGACATTCGATCTGAAGGGCTCGACGATCGGCCGTGACTTGCGCGAAGAGGACCTTGAGAAGAACCCGCGAGCCACTCTGAAGGACCTGAACTGGGTCCGGAGAGAACGTCACCTCGAGTGTGGACCATCGAAACGGGAATTTTTCCTGGCACAACTTGAGCGGGATGTTGAATTATTGAAGCGGCTCAAGATCATGGACTACTCTCTATTAGTGGGCATCCATGATCTAGAGAGAGGAAATGAGGAGAAGCTTCGTGACAAAACTCTGCAAGTTTTCCAACCCGGTGGTGATCGAGAAGAAGAAGCGAACCCGAACATGCTCATGCGCACACCGTCAAAATTGGAAAATGAGCGCAAGGCCCGTGAACTACGAATGTCCCTCAAACGTGAACGCCCAGTGCCTCTGGACAAAGCAACTGCAAAGATGCCGGAAGAAATTCTCGACGAAAGAAAATTTCATGTCTTCTATTCCGACGATGGGGGATTCCGAGCCACTCATGAGAATGGTCAGCCTGGAGAGGAGATCTATTACCTCGGAATTATCGATTGTTTGACACACGTAAGTCAATACTTGATGGATGCAGACAGAGTATTCTGAATACAACGCTGACTTTAGAAAAGTATGGCACGGTGAAACGATTGGAGCACTTCTTTAAGGGCCTGTCACATGACCGGCATCAAATTTCACCAGTTCCCCCCGAGGGTTATGGTGATCGCTTTGTGAAGTTCATCAAGGGCATCACCATGTCTAAAGAAGAAGCGGTACGTTGTCGGGAATCCCGGCAGCTAGGCAGGACATCTGCTGAGCGTACGCCTTCCGTTGAACGGACAATACAGGCGGCGGAAAAAGAAGCGGCCAAGGATGTATCTTTTACACACCCTCGGACGTTATCGACAGTTAGGGACCCAACGGACAGCGGTTCAACGGGTCCAACTTCGACACTACCGATCGTAGACGAGGCCGGCGAGGCCAGTAGCGTTGGTGGACAAAGTCAACATAGCCGACACGGCGCTCCGCCAGCGACGGAGAAGAAACTGCCACCACTCCCCAATCAAGACCATCTTCGACCCGACGGGAAGAGAATGGCGATCGCTTGAAACGTGTTTTACTTCTCCCTTTCAGCGAACGATCTTCCCTAACCCCAGGGCGATGAAATTCGGTTGATTCTCATGATACCCTTTTTGCAGCTCAAAATTCCTTCTATCTATCCTATTCCTGGCGCCGTGGGGCCTTTCGTCCCTGCCTGCGTAACGCATTTCTTCTTCCATCTACCTCCATCCAATCTCCGGAAGAAACCACTCTTGTGATACTGGCCATGTTACCACGATTGATGTGAGTTTCGCTCTCGGGCACCCTGTGCCTGTCTTCACAGGACATCTCCTTTTGCCCTTCCATATCATCTCAGCTTCTGTTTTCGACCGACTTGGTCTCATTTTTGAGACCGTACTTTCTTTAATCAGCATGGCAAGCGGTATTTGATCATGTGTCTCATCATTTTTGAAGTATTTACCTACCCACATTCCTCTCTCCTTATCTCTTCGAGACCCTTTCCTTTTTGTCTGTGTGTACCTGCGTGTTTATTCTATCACCCTCCTTTTTGAGAGAGCGACTAAAAAAGTCGCCGCTTTGAGTGTTGGAGTCTAATCCACGCTGACTGGTTCTGGCTTTGTCTTTAGCCTCCCCTCGACTGCTTCTATATTCACTGTACCATCTTCTCCTTTGTTTGAGTCTAAGGTCGGCCTTTCGACTCTGCCCTTTCTTTGTTTATCTCTCCCTTTCTTTCTGCTTTTCTACCTCGTATGTCTCTGGCTGAAGGTTGTCCGCCATTGTTCTAGCCGCCTATTTTTTGCTGTCTTTTGTATACATGGATGGGAGAAGCGAATGCTTTAATTTTTGCATGAGCAGGTCTGAGCGGTTTAATTATGTGTGTTTTCTGTGTTCTTTTTTTTGTTAGATTGATAGAAGACGCACAATAGGCGCTGTTCCTAGAGAATTGATACCAATCCGCTTTTGTTTCTGGAAAAAAGGGTGTCATAGATCCCGGTCCTGCTATGTGCTTGTTGTAGAACTTTAAACCTTTAACCTGGTATAAAAATAAATAGCTACAAGGCGGGCTTTCCAGCCGTAATATTCCAATTAGAACCCTATTGAAACCGTTCCAAATGACTTCGTGCCGCTTTTTTTTTTTTATTTTTTTTTTTATTTTTAGCCTCTTTTCGAGCCCATACCCCAATCCATCCAACTCTCCCAAGGTGGGTATAGCATTCGTTACTTGAAAAACATCCATGAAAGAAACGCCATTCTACATGCCAGTTCAGTGCAGCCAGAACCCAGTGGAACAAGTGTAAAACGACAAAAGCAACGGCAAGCAGAGCAAATGAAGAAAAAGCCACCCAGTGACGCCAACTACCGAATTGTAAAGTGAAAAGTTGGGGGAATATATGTGAGAACGGTGGTGTTAAGACAATTTCTTAGAAGATTAAATAAGTAGGGTAACTGAGTGAGGAGGCGTTTGACACGTAGGTTATCACTGAAGGTGCACAACCCCGATTGGAGACGATGACTGCGAAGGCGGAAAGAGGGGAAGCGCAGTAGATGCAGAAATCATTCAGCCTTGCCTTGTGTCACTTTGGCAGCTTGGATGGCGGACATCTTCTGGGTCCAGCCTTGTGTGGGCTGAGGCTTCTTGACGGTGCGAAGATCATCAGTCGAGAATCCAGAAATGCGCATGTTGTAGTTACGTTCGAGAACAAGCTGAATATCGCGGATCTCGAGGGTAGATGATGGACGTAGTTTGGCGAGACGGCAGGCAGCGGTAATCACGTCGTCAACGAAGTCATCGGCCATTTGGAGGATGAACTGATTAATGTTAGATGAGCTCATATAAAAGGCGACCGGGGTTTATTAGTGACGTTCAAGGGGGTAAACAACGTACGTCTTCAGCATCTGGAGTGAGTCCCTCACCCTCTCCTCCCCCAGTCACCTGGCGAACCAAGATGTCAAGCATTTTCTTGCTCAGGACTCGCTGGCCTTCGCCTTCAAGGACGTACCCCGGGTGTTTTTGAATCGCAGGCTGACCCATCATACCCATAGCGCCGTGGCTGGGACCACCTGACATGGTTGGCCGCGCTGGCGCCATAGTGACAGGCTCCGGAGGAGGGACATTCAGGGTTTTTGGAATGGCCATATTGATGTTTCGTGCCGAGTTATCAGTGGCTCTGTTGGGAATATAGCCCTGAGGATGCGCATGCGAGTTGGTCGCAGGCTGTGGCATGTTTTGCTGTTGGCCCATGTTGTTGTTTGCGTTATTATTGGTATAGTTTTGAGCAGCCTGAGCCATAGCAGCTTGTTGGGACAAAGGACGTGGGGGCCCTTGCACATTCACTGGCTGAGCTGTAGTAGGCGTAGGCGTAGAGCCGTCCAAGTTAGGTACTTGCGTGAAGGTGACCTGTGAGCCAGGTGCTCCTGGCTGAGGCTGGGCCTGCGGCTGTGGTTGCGGATGCTGCTGCTGCTGCTGCGGCTGCGGCTGCGACTGCGCTTGGGGAGGAACGACTGGTGGTGCGGCAGGAGCGGCAGGAGTGGCCACCGGGGCCGCCTGTGCAACGGGCACTTGGCCTTGTTGGGAGACTGACGGTGACATAGCTGTCTGGCCAGCTTGGCTTCGTGCGGCACTTACCGCAGAAGTGATAGTATGAGGGGCAGGTGTTGGGGCCTGTCCAGGATGCATTGACACGGGTGTGTTTGCGGGGCGACCATCCGAACCAGCAGGGACAGTGGGAGCTGGTGTGACACTGGCACCTTGTGGTTGACCTGTAACGTTCTGTACGCCTGCCCTCTGTTGCTGCGCCTTGAAGTTTTCTTGTTGCTCTTTGAACTTGGTCAAGAAGTCACCCCCTTCTCGGTAAAGCTTCTCTGCCGCAAGCTGCCGATTTTTGAATTCCTGTAGCTCCTCCTGGGTCATATTTCCGGCAGTCTGGCGCTGGCTAAACTGCTGACGTAGCTCCGCTACGCGCGCCCTGCCGATCTCTTGCTTCTGCAGCGCAATGCCGTATCGTAATCTGGCCTCCGGAAGCCATGACTGCGCTTGTTCCTGGCTGATATTGGGAGGAAGAGAGAATTGCAGACTGTTGACTTTTTGTTGGATCTGAGGTAGGAGCTGATTGAAGGTCTGAGGGTTGACCGACTGCGGCCGCTGGCCGGGCTGACCAGGCTGGCCCTGGAGCTGTTGTTGCTGGAGCTGGCGGTTCTGCTGGAATGCTCGCATACCCTTCATCAGACTTTGTGATATCTGGGTAAGCCTCGAGTGCGCGTGCTGATATTCTGTGCTCTGAGGGTCGCGGTTATTGAGGACCTCCCAAAAGTTGCGCACCAGTTGGGTGTGTTGACTCTTCTGTTGCTCGGTGAGATGAGGGAGCTTCTGGACCTGATCGGTCCGGATTAAATTCGAGTGTTGGGTAACCATGGGCTGAGCCGCAGGAACCTGTGAGCCGTCCATCCTCTCGATAATAAACCTGACACAGAGCGGAAGCGAACGTATGGGTTACTATCGATATGGGTGGGCCGAAGGTCGATGTAACCCCGAAAACAAGGGAATGATGGGTTGAATCCGCGCGACAGTTGAATCGTAAAGCTACGTGGATGAGGCCACGAAGCGACCGGGCAGGCGTTGGCAGAGGTCAAGTCAAATGGCGTGAGGGGCGATAGCTGGCAGAAAACACTGCAGTCCCCGTCAGAAGGGAGAGATTGAACGAACGATTCAGGCTCAGAATCAACGATGGATGGCGGAGAGTTTGGGAGCCTCAGGTCTTCACGTCTTGGCAGTCAGTGTTGCTCCCAAAGCGGTAATCTGGGGTCCAGTGACTTGGTATCACCTGTTGCAGGCGATCATCATATAATCTTCCTTCTCCCTTTTTCCTTATACTAGTAGTACCGTTAAAGATTTCTGCTTTCTCTTTCCATTGTGTCATACATTTACTCGAATCCTACTTTCTAAGACCTCGGACCCAGATTCTAAATCATCCAAAATTAATTAGCAAATACTATAAATGCTCCTGGCAACAGAAGTGAATGTGCTATCTTTCGATGTTCGTCTGCACAATAATTATTGTCTTGTACTACAACCCTCATGGAGATAGTTGCATTGGTGAGACTACCAGGTCGTCAGAGATGGCAACACTAATGTAATAATACGGACTCCACAAAGCGGCTATCAACCCGAGCTCTTGATGACGAGCACAGTAGGAAACCCTCTAGAGAGCACGATATTCCACTGGTCCAGCAAAATGGCAAGGCTACCAAAGAACAGATCGGCAATCACCTTGCTATGAATCACATATCAGGGCCAATAGGTAGGAGAAAGACCCGACAAGCGGTGTATCAAAGCATCCCATTCGTCTCGCAAGCCTGACGCGAGTCGTCATAGGCCGGGCCTAGCACTGAGATTGGAATGGGAATCTCAGCGATTGGGCAAACTGACAATATGATTTCAAGCAGATTTGACACTGCAACCCGCGCAACGATCGCATCCCCATGGCAGCCGAAACCTGTAACGCTGGACAAGTCGTTCAGGGAGTTCGTCTGTGGCATGTTTGCCAGACCCAGAATGAGTTCACCGGATTAAAGTGCCGTATCTTGCTGATACCGTATGTGAACTCAACGTGGAACGAGTCCCAGAGGGAATATCGAACCGTCGGAGTCAGGCAAGGTTCACTGCAGGGGCTTGCAGCTCGTGGCAGAAATTTGACAGAGATCATCGGTCGGCTAAGACTTACGATCTGTCTCCCTTGCATGATATCTGAGTCATAGAAACAGTAGGTAAAGAGCCAATCATCCAATCAAGCCACCCAAGTCTCGTTCCATACCGCTAACGCGGGTTTCTAATGTTCTCTTCCTTTTCTCTAGCTCTCGGATCTCATCCATTTCCTGCTGAATATCGGCATCTGTTACATCGGCTATATTTAGTTGCAGTGTGCCTGAAGAATCATAATCGTCAAAGTCGCTTCCGTATGAGTGGCTCATCTTCTCCAGCTCTGCGGTATTTCTCGCTACCCGATCCTCTAGGTCGAGAATCGAGTCAGTAATCAGTTGATGACGATAACGGAGACTCGCGATCTTTTCTTGCGCCCCCGAGACCGGGCTTCGAGGCAGATCAGTAAGCATGCACTACAAGCCAGAAGAGTGAAGCTATAGCTACTTACTAGACGTTGCAGAGGATTTCTGCGCCTCGGAGAAGCACATCAACATCGACTTCGCCGCGCCCTCTAGATGAAGTGCCTGCTGAGCGTTTGATTTCCTCCATCATATCCGACCCCAAGACTCTTGCAACAGCGGATTGGTTTTTGTTATTCCTGGCTGCATAAATCCGACTGGCCATTGACTCTCCCTCTGTCTCAGATGGGAATACTGTTCCTCGGCGGGTTGACCGACGTTGTGAAGCATTGATTGCCTTCACAGACGGGTCTGTTTGGAAAAGAGCTCGTTCGTGGGTCTCTGTATCGCGAATAAGGGCGGTGATGTCGTGGGGGCCCAAGAGAGCGTTTGTGAAGATCCGTGGTGGGGGAAAGCTGGAGGGGATCGATTAGCAAGTTGCTGGAATCCTGGGATGGAGGGTACTAACGGTAGTTCAGCAATGGCATTGGAGGAGAGCAGAATCTGCTCCAGATGACTATCAAGCAAAGACATCGCGGTTGTAATTCTGATGCTATCTCGGCGCTATGCCCGCGTACTTTGTAAGTCGTATTTACGGAGTGGAAGTAAACATGCCACCGAGTGCGGTTGCCAAGAGGACCTGCCGAAAGCTGCTTTGCTTTGCTGGATGCCTCAGGCGACGGCCGTGGACAGCGAGTGGCAACTCACCAGCAGCGGTCGGCCATGGGAAAAGGGAATTCGTGACAATCATCCTTGATCATCTGTTACATGGGAAGCCTTAAGAAAAGCAAAATCATCCGACCACCATCTAATTGCGTATTGTGAGGCGAAGCTTGTACCTTGTGCAGGTGACCTGCTGCTTCTGAGGTCGTTAACTAAGCTGCTGATACTGACTAAGCCTGGTTGGTTCTCTCGCTGTCCATCATCATCATCCCAAAGCCCAAACCCTTGACATCACATCAACCACCTCATCAACCTTCTTCCCACCCCCAACGATCACCACCCTTCATCATCCTCACCGTTCCACCATTCTCCTGTCCGCATCCCCCTAATTCTTTTGTTTTCCTCAAGTACTTTTTAGTGTCGTCCCCGACCTAAGGTCTATTTCATCACCCCCCTTCTTCTGTTCCCGGTACCGTGGTTCTCGTTGCTCGGCTGAGCTTACAGCTGGAAACCGAAAATATGCCGGCCGAGAGGCGTTCCTTGAGATCAAACAGCAAGTCGGATAGCTCTTCATCTGCTAACGGTGAAAAGGCACGCTCGGCTTCTCAAAACTCAAGCTCCAATAAAGACAAGGTCGCGCCCACCCGCGCGACTGCCAGTAAGACCAAAGGCACAAGAGCTGCTTCTTCCAACAACACTTCGAACTCCGGCATGGGTGAACAGCGGGATCAGCCACGCACCAACGGCTCGGAGCCGACGGAAAATGGTTTGAATGGCTCTGAGGATGTTGAGATGGGAGAGGATACGGCAGGTGCGCCTACATCCTCATTCAACGCCAATAAGGATCGGAAAGGTGACGAGAAGATGACTGTTGTAGTGCCCCCTACCAAGGGTTCGAGGTTATCCGGCGATAAAGGTCAGGACCAGGAAGGTGATGTCGCAATGGAAGGTGCGGAGGGCGATGAGTCCCAGAAGCCCGAGCCCGAGGTTGATCCTAGAGCCAAGGCCATCCAAGGTCGGTGTTCTTGTATATCTTCTATGTATACGGTTCCATGGGAGCCTGCTAACGACCTCGCCTTCCGTTTAGACATCAAGACCAACTTTACCCTTCTCGAGCGAGCCGTCGCCCATTTCGACCCCAGATTTACCCTCCGTGTCTTGCGGTCGATATCCTCGATGCGCAAGCATATTACATCTGATGTGCTGGCAGAAGTCCTTGTCGAGAGCTATCCCCCATCGAGTCCGACTGCAATCTTCTTACTTGAAGCTATCGGTGAAGCCGGTGCTTTTGAGAACGCGGTTGCTAGTTCCAAGATGGATGTCGAATCGGAGAAGACCAAGTCGAATTCCAAAGAGATTTTGCCAGAGATCGATACTTATCTGTCTATACTCGTTCAGATCTACCTTTACGACAACAAGGAGATTCAGCGAGGTGCGAAGTTTTCAACGAGCTTAATCGAGCGTCTGCGGACCATCAACCGCCGCACTCTCGATTCCCTCGCAGCTCGCGTATATTTTTATTACTCCCTCTTCTTTGAGCAGATTGCTCCTCTCCCCCCGTCTCCTGCAGCCACGGTTACCACGATTCGCCAGCCATTGCTTGCAGCTCTCAGGACGGCCGTGCTTCGCAAGGATGTTGACACCCAAGCTACCGTTATGACATTGCTCCTGCGCAACTACCTGTCCACGTCCCATATCTCACAAGCAGATCTACTCATCTCGCACAACCATTTCCCGCAGTCCGCATCGAACAATCAAATTGCCCGGTACTTGTACTACCTGGGCCGTATCCGTGCTATCCAATTACAGTACACTGATGCTCACGGACACTTGATCGGCGCTACTCGAAAGTCACCCTCCAGCCACAGTGCGCGTGGGTTCTACCAGGCCTCTCATAAGTTGCTCGTGGTGGTGGAGCTTCTTATGGGAGACATCCCCGACCGTGCGATCTTCCGTCAGCCTGCTCTGGAACGTGCCATGCACCCTTACTTCTTGCTTGTCCAAGCCGTAAGTGTAGGTGACCTGGATGGCTTTTTGAGCATCGTAAATACGCACAGTACGACATTCCGCAAGGATGGCACGTACACCCTCATTCTGCGCTTGAGGCAAAATGTTATCAAGACCGGAATCCGGATGATGTCGTTATCTTATTCTCGAATCTCGCTACGGGACATTTGCCTCCGCCTGGGTCTGGATAGTGAGGAATCAGCAGAGTACATCGTCGCTAAGGCGATCCGGGACGGTGTGATCGAGGCGACTCTGGACCATGAGCGAGGATTTATGAAGAGTAAGGAAGTTGGAGATATCTATGCGACTAGGGAACCTGGCGAGGCATTCCACGAGCGCATCAGAGCTTGCCTGAGTCTCCACGACGAGAGCGTCAAGGTTAGTTTTACCCTGGCTCATTCCTCTGTATCTGTCCTTGTACAGTGGACTAGGTAGAGCAGTTACTCACATTATGTACTTATAGGCTATGAGATTTCCCATGAACCAGCACCGCCTGGAACTGAAGAGTGCACAGGAGGCCCGGGAACGCGAACGGGAGCTGGCCAAGGAGATACAGGATGGTGATATGGATGATGAGGATGCTGGCGCCGATTTCGACGCCATCTAATGCTTACGAAAATATCACACGGCGACGTATAATCCTGCCATGTGTTGGGACTGGGCCAGATGGCCCGGGGGTGGGTTTCAAGTATTGTGTTTTATCTGCAAATCTGTTGTTTCGGGTGCGTAGGAGGGGAATATGCAGGATTGAGCTTTGCCGGCGTGATGTTCCCTGTCTCCTATATCCTTACCAAACCATTTCCTTTGTGCAATAGGGCGCGATCATCTTGTAGCTGTTCTCCGATCAACTCGTCCATATTGGTCTTGGGGGGCATGTGGGCCTAGAGATCTTGGTAATTCCCGTTAATATTTTAGACTAAGATTTTCTCTGGCTTCTTTTAATTTGTCGCCTAACTCTCTATCTTTTCTTTTGCTCCGTTGGTACAGAGTGGACTTGTCTGTCATGATGATGGAGATGCGGATGTGAAGGCCGCTGTATCTGCTTTCAGCGATCCGTTCCGGCCCGAGCCAAACTCCGTCGGCAGCAGCTCTCAACTGAAATCTTTGGCCGGCTGATATTTGCGGACTTCCTTAACTACGCAGCCTCTCACCCCAACAAGCTGCGCCCTCCTTCGACCTACGCTCTTTCCAGCTTCCATTCCCCATTTGTATTATAGTTATTATTTTTTCCTACTCTATATTTAATTTACTGCTGTCAATTAGCGTCTGTTGAGCATGAAGGCTCGAGCGGTCCCGGCCTCTGGTCTCGTCCTTCCATCACGAGTCACGCCTTCGACATCAATATGCTGGCAATGCCTCCGCAATGACCTTATTTCGATCCAAATAAATACGCAGACGCGAGCATATCATCCTACCCGCCGGAAATCTGCTTCTCCGTTTGGCGCCGCCGTCACTGCCGCCCAGACTCTCTTCAAAGGGCTTCCAAAAGCTCCTCCAGGGATTTCAGTGGATCCCTTGAGGATTGTGGGCAAGGAGCTCAAATTTTTGACGAAGAACATTCGCCAATTGCTGGGATCAGGCCACCCTACGCTGGATAAGGTGGCCAAATATTACACCAAGAGCGAGGGCAAGCACATGCGTCCGCTTTTGGTGTTGCTTATGTCCCAAGCAACTGCGCTGACTCCTCGGCACGGTCGATGGAGCTCTACACCGTCCTATACTGTGAACGATCCTATCAGCTCCCCGTCCGTCCTTGCGGATACCAACCCTGATTTAAACCCACTTGTATCCGCTTCCGTGGAAGGCAAATACGACTTCTCTGGCGACGAAAATATCCTGCCCACTCAACGACGACTCGCCGAAATCACAGAACTCATTCATACCGCATCGTTATTGCACGATGATGTCATCGATAATGCTGTTACTCGCCGGTCATCCAGCTCCGCTAATCTGCAATTCGGAAACAAGATGGCCGTGCTAGCGGGTGACTTTCTGTTGGGGCGTGCATCCGTTGCTCTGGCACGTCTGAGGGACCCTGAAGTCACCGAGCTTCTGGCAACCGTCATTGCTAATTTAGTGGAGGGGGAGTTTATGCAACTGAAGAATACCGCCTCTGACGAAAAGAATCCTGTCTTTACGGATGAGACCATCTCTTACTACCTGCAGAAAACATATCTTAAGACAGCCAGCTTGATAAGTAAATCGTGCCGTGCGGCTGCGCTGCTTGGTGATAGCACCCCTCAGGTCGTCGAAGCTGCGTATGCCTATGGGCGCAACCTGGGACTGGCGTTTCAGCTAGTGGATGACATGCTGGACTACACCGTTAGTGATGCTGAGTTGGGCAAGCCATCGGGAGCGGACTTGGAGCTGGGTCTGGCGACTGCCCCGCTTCTGTTCGCTTGGAAGCAGAACCCTGAGCTGGGACCGCTAGTTGGCCGGAAGTTCAGTCAGGAAGGCGATGTTCAACGGGTATGTGTTCTGGAATCTAATGTGAAGTATTGGACGTATGTGACTGACGATGATTGACCTATAGGCCCGTGACCTTGTTTATCAAAGTAACGGTGTCGAAAAGACTCGTGATTTAGCTCAGGAGTATGCTGATAAGGCCAAGGCCGCTATTAGCAGCTTCCCGGACAGCGACGCCAAAGATGGCCTCCTTCAAATGTGTGAGAAGACGATGAATCGGAGGAAGTAGGCGCCTGACATCGCGGTGGGTTGGATGCCTAGGTATCGTTGCGCCAACCGTAGCCATATACCGGGCTGGACTTTCTATATCGGCGTCCCTGTTGATGTCCTTTGTATCACTACAGTTGTTTTTGTACCATTGACTATTTGTGTCTCTTTTCTTCATACTTGACGCGTCTGTTGGATTCAATGACAGTACGCAAGTGTCATAGATGTCTGGGAGAGGGCCCATTGTTTTTAAGATGAATGAAATGTAAATATATCTAGATATAGAAGCGGATTGTTCCTCCAAATGTCATATAACTCAACTTAGGGTCGTAGTAAGATGTGGGTAAAACTGACCCATAAGGTCATCTGACTGAGCGTGATACCACGTTGATACATCAGGGTTGCAGTTAGGAAGTTTCAAAAATATTACTTGGTCGTACTATCGGCGTTAATGCTACCTGCTAGGTACACTACTGCCACACTCTGAAGTACATACAAACAATACAAATCGTGTACTGTCAGTACCGCAGTCATGTGCTAGTTGAAAGGAACAAAGATGCAGACAACTTCTTGGACAGTAGTACTAGTATAAGGCAAGAACGGTTGCATGCAAGTGGAGCGAGACAAACGACATCGGCGGGGCAACTTTGTTCCAGGGATCCACCCGCACTTCGTCATAGGATCGGCCGCCTTGTAACTGTAATGTGGTGAGGTAAGGGGATGGTATTGGTTGATTTCCATACGAGTGAGGTACTGTCCGCTTTACCTCTGCTCTCACACTCTCTTCTTACCTTTTTCTCATATCGTGTCCTTTCCCATACAGCGTCTCCCTTTCGTCTCTCTCTCTTTACCATATACCTTTTTACCAGTTCTACTGGTCAAGGCTTGGTCTGGTTCGGTGCCTCCACAGCTTCTCCGTTGCCGTCATATCCTCATGATGGACCTTTCGATGTTGCTATTTTGATTGACCGGCTCCTAATGGGTTCCCTCGGCAGCTTCCTCTTTGTATACATCCTCGGCGGACTGACTTTCATTCCACTGGTCCTGTCGTTAGTCCTTCTGCATGCTTATTTTACCCTCCCGTCGCCTCCGCCAGTCGAGCACAGATGCGAACTGGCCAAGGATCCTCTGCGGCGCCCCGGGGACGACCAATACAGCCTGAAATCCGGCACGGATGAGCTAGCAGAAAAGTTCCATCGTACGCACGAGTCGGATGTTGCGGCTGGCTATTTTGCCGTATGTCGCGAATATGTGCCCGGTGGAGTCAATGGAAAACCACCCGAGAGAACCACGCCGGCGGGCGAGGTGATCGCCGCGGAGAGCCCAAGCGTCTACCAGACGATGTATAGAAGCTTGTTTGATCGGAAGCAAACGCCAACGATTGAGCCAGCCAAGAATAATGGGAAAAGCGGCAAGAGGGCACGCAATGTATTTTATATTGTCTTGCGGTAATTATCCCTTTCCTCGCCTCTAGGTCCTTTGCGGGTGCTGATCATCATTGTACGGAGCATAGACATGGCCATTTGATGCTTTACGATGATGCTAACCAGGTTGAGGTGCGATATGTTATCTCCCTCGCGCACCATGACGTAAATATCTGTGGTGGTGAAGGGGAAATCCAGGAAGGCGAGCTGTGGCTGAAGAGAAATGCTATCTGTCTTTCACGACGACTGGAGTCTCTCGCAGATTTAGGGGGACCAACGCCCCCATTCTTTCTTTTCTCGGAAAATCTGTCCGAAAAGGAAGACTTCTATTTTGCTATGCTCCAGAACCAATCCAGGATGCGGAACTCGCCCGACGCCCCTCCCAAGCATCAGCCTTTCGATGTTAAGCATATCGTCACCCTTGTTCAACGATTGCATTCATCCGAAGAACAGCTGCAGACGCGGTGGATCAATGCGGTCCTTGGGAGGTTGTTTCTTGCCATGTATAGAACGCCGGAGATGGAGGAATTTATCCGAAAAAAGATCACCAAGAAAATCTCTCGGGTTAACAAGCCGAACTTCATCAGTAAAATTGGCCTACAAAGGATTGATATGGGCGAAGGGGCACCATTTATCATCAACCCAAGGCTCAAAGATCTAACTGTTGACGGGAATTGCTGTGTAGAGACAGACGTTCAGTATACTGGCAACTTTCGAGTGGAGATTTCGGCCACAGTGCGCATTGACCTTGGACCTCGTTTCAAGGCTAGGGAAGTAGACATTGTTCTTGCTGTGGTGTTGAAAAAACTCCATGGCCATCTGTTGATACGGTTCAAGCCTCCTCCGAGCAATCGAGCCTGGATCTCCTTCGAAACGATGCCAAGCATGGACATGGATATTCAACCCATTGTCAGTTCAAAGCAAATCACATACGGTATTATTCTACGCACTATTGAAAGTCGGATAAGAGAGGTTGTCGCAGAAAGCGTGGTTCAGCCATTTTGGGATGATATCCCCTTCTTAGACACCGCCACCCAGCGTTTCCGTGGAGGAATCTGGCAACGAGAAATCCCGACGCCGGATACGAAGGTCGACATACCAGACGAAAGTGGTGCTCAACCCCAGACAACAGGAGCGGAGAAAGGAGATTTTGTTGATATGCTAAAAACGAAAGACGAACGTACAATGAGCGCGCCTGTGCTTTCTGAGTCTATACCTATCACGATGAAATCACGCAAGGGCTCAAAAGGAGAGCTCGAAAGGAATAACTCAAGCGCGTCATACACTGCTAGTGAGAAATTCGGCAGCTCACCACCGCGGGCCATTCGATCCCAGACGTTCTCCAACGCTGCTGACCCCGTGCTTACAGCAGATAATGCAAAGATCGACAAAGTCGTGTATGACGGCAAAGACGCGGAAAAGAGCAGTGCTGCTAGTGCCATGATTGAAATATCAAACCGCTCTCCACCCGGGTCACCGAACAGATCACCCAGTGGCTCGCCGCCTACCGACAGTCATATGCCCCATGACAATGCGTCTCAGAGCCGAGATCCATCCATAGTAGATTCTATTGAGAGTGTTGGGGAATTTAGCACCGACTCTTCTGTTCATCCTTCTGCTGTTCATAAAACGAGTAGTTCGTCTCTTCGAAGTATGGCTGCCAGTTCCACCGCCTCACTGAATGGCAACAAACCCAGACGAAGCACACTCGAAACTCTGGCACGCTCAGTGACTTCTTCCACTACTGCGGAAAAGTCTCAGGTCTCTCTCTCATTGGGCACAGCAACTTCTGTTGCGAAGAGATGGGGCTGGAATATGTTCGGAAAGGGGGAGCATACCGTTACTCACGAGTCGTCCCGACCTGCAGGTACACCAGAGGAGCCGATAGGCCGAGGACATCCTCTTCCGCCCCCAGGAACCCCATTGCCACGCCCCGAATCGTTTGCTTTCAAGAGGAACACTGTTCCTGTAACCAAACGGAAACCTGTCCCGCATAATGCGTCTCCTGAGCTGCAGCCCAAAGGAGACGACAAGAGGCGTGTCTCAAAACCACCTCTGCCCAGAAGAAAGCCTATCTTCAGCTCAGGGGACTCGGAGAATCTTCCGGATGAGCTACTGGTTGTCGAAGCCCCTTACGACTCAGGCCCAAGTAGTCCGGTCGTTGATGTCGCCCCGGACAAAGCTTTGCCGGGGCCCAGTACACAGCGGGACTCACCCCCGTCCAATGTGGTTACGAAAAGGTCTAGTGATCTTTGGGAGAAAGCAAATGGACATGACCGATCCTCCCTGGTCGAGGGCACCGAGGCTGACAAACACGGAATGGCAATCTTATCAGCAACCGACGGCATTATTCCGTGAAGGGCGATGTGATTATAACTGGACGCTGTCCGGCATTGATGCGGACGGTTTCAACTTATGATGATCAATTTCCTTGCCCAACTTGCTAGTGTGGGTCCTATGCTCTTTTTTTTTCTCTTTCGCTTCCTCTTCTTCTTCGCGTTGCGACATGGCCGTTTATCCTATGTATACCCTCTGGCCAGTTATATGATCTGATCGGCATTATCAGATGGTGTTCAAGGAGCGATGATCAACTTGCGATTCTATCATAGTCCGGTGTTAACTTAGAGTGATGGTCCTGGGGATGGACATATGGGTGAATACATGGCTGTCTTGCACCTCTATTTTTTTCACTCCCTTTTCCTGATTAAAAAAAAGGGCTGCCTAGAGCAATATGCTAGGCATTGAAGTAGATCCTGTAGTGGCAAAGGGCGAGCGTCGTAGGATACTGCAAGTGTATCTATATATACGTCCAATCAGAGGGGGAGGGAACTCAGGAGGTGACGAAGCCGCGCCAAGACACGCGATGAACTGCAGGCGTCAGCTTTCCCGCCAAACGTCATTTATGCTCCTCGACAGATGCTTTTAAACCCTCCTCTACACTCCGTGTTATTATCATCCACCTCCTTCTCTTTTGTAATTCCACTGGCCTTTCAATCGCCCTTCGTTGTCGGTCCACGCAAGTTTCCCCCGCCCCCTCAGAGCACAATCGAATTGCGCTGTTCGGACTCGGGCCCACCGGCTCCCGCCGCACCTAGTTGTCCGCTCCCCTGATCCCCCGACAATCGACAGGTCTGCAGCTCGTCACAATGAGTCGGTAGGTGTTTTGGGACGCTTGGCAACGGGACTTGCAGCTCTACGATAACTAACTGATCTGAATCGCTAGCACGGAGGCAGATTTGGCGATTAACATTCGCAAAGCTACCAGCATCGGTAAGTTCATGCCCAAAGTATCTCTCCCACTTTGGTCCCTGGTTCCTGTGACTGACCTGAGCGCTATAACAGAGGAGACCGCTCCGAAACGTATGGATTGCCCTCCCTTATCGTCCTGTCTCTATTCAGTTTTATCCGCGCGCTCATGCTGTCACCTTACCTCCACTGATCCGTTCCACTAGGGAAACATGTCCGGAGCTGCATTGTGTATACATGGGACCACAAATCCTCTGCCGCCTTCTGGGCTGGCATGAAAGTGTATGTTTCTCAGTCACGACTTTGTACTTTATATCACCCCTGACCGCTCTCGATGCATCCAGTCAACCGGTCCTTGCAGACGAGGTACAGACGTTCAAAGCCCTCATAACGATACATAAGGTTCTGCAAGAGGGACATCCCATCGTGATTCGGGAGGCGCAGCAGCACGCCAATTGGATCGACAGTTTGATGCGCGGTGTAGGAGGCGATGGCATTCGCGGTACGCAAAGCTTGCAGGTTGTACGACGCACTCGAATTGGTTGATGTTGACAAGGAGCATAGGCTATGGTCCTCTTATCCGAGAATATGTTTTCTTCCTGGAGTCCAAGTTGGCGTTTCATCGGAATCATCCCGAATTTAACGGTATTTGACGGAACGAATTTCGAGTCATCCAGTCCATGACTAAGTCTTTGGCAGGTCTGTTTGAATATGAGGAGTACATCAGTCTAAAGACGATCAATGATCCGAATGAAGGGTAAGCACGCCCAATAACTCTCAATCCTACTCTCGCTGACTGTAATCTAGTTACGAAACTATCTCGGACCTCATGACTTTGCAAGACCAAATAGATGCGTTCCAGAAATTGATCTTTTCGCATTTCCAATCAGGTACAAATAACGAGTGTCGGATTTCTGCACTAGTGCCGCTGGTGCAGGAGAGCTACGGCATTTATAAATTCATTACCAGCATGCTGAGAGCTATGCATACGAGTAGGCGTTACCTTCCCTCTTTCTGTCTAGGTAAGCTGACTTTGGCATAGCCACTGGTGACGCCGAGGCCCTGGAACCTCTCCGTGGTCGTTATGACGCTCAGCACTTCCGACTTGTGCGGTTCTACTACGAGTGCTCGAACTTGCGCTATCTGACCAGCCTTATCACTATTCCTAAGCTTCCTCAAAACCCACCCAACCTGCTTGCCGACGATGATGAACGCCCCGCTTTACCCAGGCGACCGGCAAAAGAAGTCGAGCAGGAGCCCACTCCGCCGCCAAAGGCCGCACCCGCTGATCCCGAACCCATTAACGACTTTTGGACTACAGAAGCCAAGCGCCAGCAAGAGGAATTTGAAGCGGAGCAGCGGCGCCTGCAGCAGCAATGGGAGGAACAGCAGCGGCAGCAGATTCTCGCGCAACAGCAAGCCCAACACGATTTTGAGGAACAGCAACGTCTGCAGGCGGAGCAGCAACGGCTTGCGCAGGAGCAACTTCTACGCGACCAGTACCAAACACAGACTCAGGGTCGGCTGGCCGAGCTCGAGCAAGAGAACTTGAACGCGCGGGCCCAGTACGAACGGGATCAGCTTATGCTGCAGCAATACGATCGTCGTGTGAAAGACCTGGAAGAGCAGATGAACCAATTGACCTCGAACTTGAATATGCAAAGTGCCTCGAAAGATGAGCAAATTCGATCTCTCCAGGAGCAAGTCAACACATGGCGGTCCAAGTATGAGGCGCTGGCGAAGCTTTACTCTCAGCTCCGACAGGAGCACCTGGACCTCTTGCAGACAACCAAGAGCCTGAAGTTAAAGGCGGCGTCCGCACAGGAGGCGATCGAACGGCGCGAGAAGCTCGAAAGAGAGCTCAAAACGAAGAATTTAGAGCTAGCGGATATGATCCGGGAGCGGGACCGTGCGCTACACGACCGGGATCGCTTGACGGGAAATAACAAGGAAGAGCTGGAGAAGGTTAAGAGAGAGCTGCGCCTTGCAATCGAGCGGGCAGAGAATGCCGAACGCCAGAAAGGCACCGAGATCTCTACCCTGTTGTCCAAGTACAACCGGGAGATGGCCGATTTGGAAGAAGCCCTCAGAGTAAGTCTTGTCGCAGGGTAAGAAACAGAATTCCAGGCATTGACCAGAGATAGAACAAGAACCGTGCTCTCGAAGATGTCTCTTCTCGGAATGCAGACCGCCAGGGTGACCATGATGCTATGCTCCGCGAGAAGGATGAGGAGATCGAGGTCTACAAGTCCGGAATGGAACAAGCTCTTATGGAACTGGAGGAACTGAAAATGGTATGTACTTGAATGGGTAAATAGCGGGGACAGGAGGATGCGAGCTAACTGTTACCAGAACCAAGGCGATGTCGACAATGCGCTGGATTCGCAGATTGACACCGTTTTGCACAGCACCGTTGCCAAGATCAACGACATCATCGACTCTGTGCTCCAAGCTGGTGTGCAGCGGGTGGATGACGCCCTGTACGAGCTCGATTCCAGTATGCAAGCCGGTAACCAGAATGCGTCCCCACCATACGTGCTGTCTCAGATCGAGAAGGCCTCTGCATCCGCCACCGAGTTCTCTACAGCGTTCAACAACTTTATCGCCGACGGCCCGAATAGTACCCACGCAGAGATTATTCGGACGGTTTCTATCTTCTCCGGCTCGGTTGCCGATGTCCTTAGTAACACAAAGGGATTGACACGGTTCGCCAATGACGACAAGAGCGCAGACCAATTGATCAATGCTGCCCGCAAGTCCGCACAGGCCACGGTGCGGTTCTTCCGTGGACTCCAGTCTTTCCGGCTCGAGGGGTTGGAGGCTGATCACAAGACCGATGTGGTTATTAACAATAACCTTGAGGTGCAAAGAGACCTTCAGTCACTATCGAAACTTGCCGAAACTTTTGCGCCTAAGAGTACCAAGATCAGTACTAATGGCGACCTGGGCGACCTCGTAGATCAGGAACTGACTAAGGCGGCCGACGCTATCGACGCCGCGGCCGCTCGATTGGCCAAGCTCAAGAAAAAGCCCCGTGATGGCTTCTCGACATACGAGTTACGTATCAACGACGTGATTGTGGAGGCAGCTATTGCAGTTACTAATGCAATTGCGGAGCTGATTAAGGCCGCCACCGAGTCCCAGCAGGAGATTGTTCGCGAAGGCCGGGGTAGCTCATCGAAGACGGCGTTCTACAAGAAGAATAACCGCTGGACAGAGGGACTAATCTCCGCCGCCAAGGCTGTTGCTACCTCCACCAACACTCTTATCGAGACGGCCGACGGGGTCATTTCTGGTCGTAACTCGCCGGAACAACTGATCGTGGCCAGTAACGACGTGGCCGCTAGTACGGCACAGCTGGTGGCGGCCAGTCGCGTCAAAGCGTCGTTCATGAGCAAGACCCAAGATCGCTTAGAGGCAGCCAGTAAAGCTGTTGGCGCGGCATGTCGGGCTCTGGTCCGCCAGGTACAGGAAATCATTGCCGAGCGGAACCAGGATGGTTCGGAGAAGGTTGACTACGCCAAGCTTAGCTCGCACGAATTCAAGGTGCGCGAAATGGAGCAACAGGTACGTCTTGCTTTCCCCCCTCTCTCTAACCCTCCGCCGGGGGACCAATTCTCTACCTTCCTCCACGGATCGGTGTGGATGCTGACGGGTGTTGATTACAGGTTGAGATTCTCCAACTGGAGAATAGCCTTGCCCAGGCGCGGCAACGTCTGGGAGAGATGCGCAAGATCTCGTACCAGGAGGACTGAATGACAGGATATCCGAGGGGTTTGCCCCGCGTTGGACAAAGATGTCAAGCGGATATGGTGTGCTAGTGAGGCTACACAGATTCAAGAGTGGGGATGTATGTTGTGCGTGGCTGTCGCAGACGAAGCTTATCCTTTGTTGGGAGGCACGGGGTTGCACCGTTCCGTACCCCCTTGACCCCCTTTGTCTTAATCCTTTTTTTATAATTTTTACCCATTCTCCTTCGTTGTAGGCCATTTTTCTTGTGTCGGTTTTGGATAGTATATACCAGTAGAAGCAATCCACTTGAAGTTTCCTTTCCCCGCCCTACACCTTCCCTTGTAGGAAAAAGCGTAGCACATGGACCCCGACAAGAAAGAAATGCAAACGCCGCCACGGGATGACACCCAAGGAACACCAGTTCATGGCTGACTGATATGGTTTCATTCGAGGAAAGTCATCTTGGCAAATTGAGCCGGGGTCAAAACAACCGATCCGATTTCTTTGTTTCCGTTGTCTCCTCCATGGAACAAACTTCAACAGGAAGAAGCAAACGACAAATGACGTCCACCCGACGCTTCGGCTGCGGGTTCCGCCCACGGCCTAGTGGAAAACCTTAAGTTGGTTCTTTTTTTAAATTTGGATTTCTTTGTGTTGCACCATCTGTCCGTGCCTTCCGATTCGATCCCTTGGTGTTGTCTACAATCTAGACCGAATGGGGACCTTTTCTTCATTGTATGCTACCCAAATTCTACTCCTCGCTTCGGGGCTTTCTCTTTCTCTTTTATTTTTTTGTCTGAAGTGTACATATATCTGGTTCAGTGATCTAGTGATCTAAATACATGCAATTGGCCCGATCCGAAGCGAGCACCAAGTAAGCCGGTCAACGGCGTTTGCTGGGTGAAACCCTAATCAACCCCCGAACAAGCAAATTCCGGTGTTCGTTTCCCCGGACGTTCGCTAGGAACTTAATGAACAACGTAATGTAAAGAAACAGAAACAGAAAGCAGAATAAGAAAAGAAGAATTCAGAAATCAGTGGTAAAATACAATCTGTGAAGGAGTAAATTACAAGAAAAATGTTCAATGCAGGGGAAAACGGAGCAGTCAAGGAAAGTCGTGTCTGGTATCAAATCAAGATCATGCAAGGATATCAATCGTGGACTGGATATGTACGAACCGGGAAAGAGAAAGAAAATGAACAAAGACCTATGGGAGAGCAGTAAAAAAAAGCGTCGCCCATGAATGAAGGAACCGGAGGATGCGTCGAATGCTTGTCGCATTGCGGCTTTCTTCGCCACTACAACAAAGACCGCACCCACCTTCAATAGCATCGGTTCCTTGGACAGCTCTGGCTGATTGTAAGCGCCGTCGATGTGGAGGCTAAAGCAAATGCTGAATTTTAGGCCAAGGGTTCAGACCGTTTTGTCGTATTCGGGATGAGCTTAGGGACGTCTTCCTCGGTATGATAGTTAACGCATAGCTTAACAAGAGGAACGGTGAGTTTTTGGAATGCTTAATCGGATAATGTGGACATATTTGGAGCGTTTATTTCTTTTGTATTCGTATTGTTAGCATGCCTCTCAAATGTATTTTTCAGGAACTCCTACATTTCAGTCTCTCCAATAACGAGATGCAAGCTTTCATTGCATTATACGAGACGCGATTCTTCTCCAACCAGTTCCCTAATAGATGGTTAGAGGCTTAACAACAGCAATATCCGGGTGCTTACAAAAATTGTATGCATCCTCCACATTACAATCTGTAGCTTGTACCAGAGCTCGTTTTTCTGCGTCATTTAGGCGGAGGCGCGTCTCTATCGCTTCATAGCAGAGCTTCTGAATATGAACACGGTAGCCGTTGCCACGGGGGTCTGGTCTCCAGAAGTTGATATTTTCAACGACAGTCTTACTAGGAAAGTCAGCAATCACTGAATATACAAGAGAACTTAGACCTTACGTCATATAATATTCTTGTAGACCAGCCCGGAAAATGTAGTGGTAACCATAGTCCTCGGTGCACCGAATGAGGTCTTCATTTGCTTTTTTCTCCATAGAAAGAAGGTCCTCGTGAAGCTGGAATCGCTTTTCGCCAGGAAGGGAATTCTCTACCGCAGGATCCAGGATGCTAACGAGCTCGATAGGATGGCCTTCGAAGTCTGCTATCGTCGGGGCAATGCGAAAATCAGTCATGAGTGCCTGCAAATATTTGCCATGACGATGGGTAAGGGCCTTTGTATGTTCAGATACCCCAATAACTCGATAACAAGGACTAATAAATACTTCTCCTTTCATCAGACCAGAAACCTGAGCCATGAGTCGACAAGCATTCTTGTGGGAGAGGAATGAGAGACCAATATACATGGCCTGCTCCCTCTGCTCTGGAGAGAGGCTTGCATCATGAGCTATTGCTCCAAGGAGTCTAAGTAGGACTTTGCAAAGAGTGCCCATGGTTGAATGAGATATGATTCGTGGTCCTGGATGCTTAGATGATGTGGGTGTTTCGTGATTTGGTGGGTAGCTTGTAAACAAGGATAAACTTTGAGAGACAGATAAATGAATGTGATGATGGGTTCCAAGAGTATAACTGAAGAAAGGTGAATGAGGTGTTGTGTTTCCCTGGGTGACTATGAAATTAGGCGAGCCCCTGTAAGCTGAGACAAACACAAAGTGACTTCAGCATTCACCACCCACGACTAAATAGACAAAGAAACATGCCAGCCTCCCACCCTGAGGTGGAACACAACCTAATTCGCCATGTCCTACCGGTCCTCTTGCTTTCTTTTTCATTAGAATTATCCCACCTGTTCACTGTCCTAAGATACCTCCCCTTGCACCAGCTACTGCTTACTCTAAATGCTATCCACAATAGTTTCTCAAGGAGATGATTTTGGATCTTAGCGTCCCCATCACATCTTGAATAACTTATCCTTCGTTTCAGAAATCAAGAATGACGACAGTACCCATCGCCATGAAGACGACCGCGGAGTCGACGGACAAGCTTACAGAGCTGCTTTGGCAGGATGCTTTGCGTCACCTGGAGTCCACAAATAATGAGGTGCTTTTGCCGATTAATGTCACGGACATGATCGGTCAAAGCAATGTCGACAAGATCAGGACTCGTCTCGGGTAAGAAGTGTTCTCGGATTTTCTAAGAATACAAGCTTACACTTGGTGCTAGGGCTCTTATCGGTGCTCCTGTGGTGGCTTTTGTCGATGAGACAATCAATGCTCTCCGTGTAATGCGCACGCCTGCGTTTTCGGGCTCTGTTGTATCCGTCGCATCTCATGACAGAATTTCGAACTTGGAGAGGGAAATCACCGAAACATCTGGTAGAACACATGGCAAATCCGCACTACCAGCGAAGTTCATCAAAGTCCCTCGGCCACCAAATGCATTCATCCTTTATCGTCAGCATCACCATCCCAGAATCAAGGAAGCATATCCCGATTTCACCAATAACGAGATATGTAAGGTTTTCTTTCCATCTCTACTCAACTTCAAACAAGCTAATGACATCAGCAATTATCCTTGGAAAACAATGGAAGGCCGAGTCCGAAGAGGTCAAAATGCAATTCCGCAATATGGCGGAAGAACTTAAGAAAAAGCATGCAGAAGACCATCCCGATTACCATTATACTCCCCGCAAGCCATCCGAAAAGAAGCGCCGAGCTTCGTCCCGCCAGTACCCTAAGCCGACCAAACGACAGAAGTCACCGGCCTTGACAAATGATACCTCTGATAGTTCCACGCCGTCGATGTACTCCGGCATGCAGTTGGATAACATGCCTATGGATGCATCTTTAGATAATTTGGGTGATATCGACATCGTGCTCAGCCCTGATGAGCTTCCTGGAGATTACGGGCTGCAATTCGACTCGGGGGCCTTCGATACTTTTCTCCAGCAAGTACAGAGCGACTGTGGCAAGACAGCCGCTACTTTGTTCCCACAGTTCAACTTCACAGAAAGACCTGTGGGAGAGTCTTTCGAATTTTCGGATTTGATTGCTGACTGCTACTGAAGAACCATATTATGACACATGATTTGAAATTTCTTCCTTCTATTACTTCCTTTACCCTTGATTCTCTTTTTTATCTCACTTTATTTTCTCTGTTTGCGCTTATGCTAATTTTCCATGACTCTCAACATACATTTCCATTTTCTGTACACATATTGCATATTTTATACCTAACCTTGTGTTCATACTGTTTTCTCATCAACCTGGTGTATTTTACAACGGTTTTGTCCTACGATATCCTTTTCGGACGGATGGAGTTGATTATTTAAAGCATGACAAGCCCTCGGCATGATTTTGCTATTGCAGTTTAAATATTCAGATATTCGAGAATAGATGAATCAAATATATCGACCAAACCTCGACACTACATACGCAGATACTGCTGGACCAAATAAACACCAAAAGAGATCTAGCCACTTCCCCACATTGTACTCCAACTAGTGGTGCTCTGCTCCGCTTTGATAGTTGATATTTATACAGAAATAGTCTTTCACTATTGTCCTTAATATAACACAGGCACATAGCACCGGAAATGGTATCTCCAATGTAACTGTATCTTATGAGAGCGAGTAAACAACCGAATTGGTATCATACAAAAACTCCAAGCATCAAATTAAAGCGCATGAAGTAAGAAATCTTATGTCAGCGGTTCCAATCACTAGCCCAGATAAAAGTTGCACATCGCCACTGCGTTCCTTTTTCTTTATTTCCACTGGGTCCCAAGGGTCGTGGGCAGATCCAAAAGGACCGACCACAGTTAATACCGGGCTTTTTTGTTGACAGACTAATGCATGCTTCCTGGTGCCCTTCACACATTGGAACTGGTTTCTTTGCAAAGAGTTTCGACCAATCTTCCTTGCTGACAATGGGGTCAATGATTGTTTCGCTGTCCTGGCCCGCAGAGGATGCCGCTAACCCGGACGAGTCCATGTTGCTCCTTGGAGCGGCTGAACTGCTGCTTATGTTTTGTAAATCCTTCTGTTCCTCTGGCCGCGATATAGTCGAAGACATGGGAAGGGGGTCAAGCGAACGCTCCATAGCCTTCAGAGGCATATCCGGAGTTTCTGTTTCACCTGTTTGACTACTAATAGAATCTTTAGGCTTGAAGAAGCCCTTCAAAGTTCTCTGTGCAGAAACAGAAGTTGCTTTGGTCTGAGTGGGAAAAGATTTCGAACGCTTGACTGAGGGTGGGGGGTCGCTTTTCTCTGACCGTTTACGAACGATGCCTTTAGATGCTGGGTTGCCGTCAGCAATAGGGAGCGATGGGTTATTGGCTCCAAGAGAGTTCTCTATTGCATCATTTCCATGTACTTGGTCACGGGTTGGCGCACTTGTGGTCTTTACTGAAGTGATGGGCGGTTTCTGCGAGGTATTATTTGGTTTTCGCGAGAACATATCTTTGATACTTCTTCGCTTGTCAAACTCCGGTATTAAGCGCCCGGATGTAGGCAAGAGAAGTTTAGCCGTGTAATCCTGTCGCCGTTCACCATTGTCGAACATTCCGGGTGGGTTCATGATATCAAGCATGTTAACCTGTTGCCCATTTAAACACACGGAGCCATTGAAGGTGGCATATACCGGACAGTGATCCGATCCCTGTACCTTGGTCAGCCCTGGTATCCCCCAACAGCTTAGAACGACAACATACCATGAGCCCCTCTTGAATACCTGAATCACAGAACCAATCTTGCATATTCAAGCTGCACAAGACATAGTCTATCCTCGAGCCATAGTTACCAGGCCGAGCGTTGATCTTCTGCTCCCAACAAGTATACATGCCCCTGCGATTCGGGTGGAAGGACCTGCAAATATCAAAGAGAGCAGGTTGCTCCCTCCCTTTATCTCGCTCCCCGATGACCTTTCCATTATACAACAGTTGGTTGAACAAGCGCCGGGCTGGTGCGGATATAAACTCATCTTCTGTTATGGTGCCTTTACGAATGGCCTCGGACGCGTGTGCTGCATCGATTTCACCTCTTGAGATATTGAGGTCGCCAGTAACAAAAACCCGTTTTCCCATGGCGACGAGATTTCGAATCCGGGCATCCATTAAGTCAAGAAAGCCCTGGCGGAAACTGTCGCGGCTTTCATCTCGATTAGCAGGGCAATATAACCCAAATAGGACAAATGCTGGAAACTCGAGGATGACACAACGGCCCTCCGAGTCGAGTGTAACTGCATCCAACTCAAGTGTTGATAATTGCTCCATGGTTGGGTAGCCACCAATCTGCTGGTCATGAGGAAGATCCCGGAATGAGACGGACGAATTTGGCGGGCAAAGTACACCAGTAAGGCCCTCTTCCGCGCGGATTGGGGCACAAGTCGCATTGCGGGTGTATATAACTACGCCAGAGTAACCTGCGTAGTGTAAGAATTCAGTTAGTGGATGTGGCCGGGGAGAGACGAACCCTTTTTAAACCTAGGTAGACTGAAGTGGCAGTCCCATCCAGGCACCAGGACCATATCATCTCGGAGATCTTTTCGCTGAATCTTGGTTTCCTGAAGGACAACAATATCGGCCTCGAGGATCTCAAACATGGCCTTCTGCATTTCAGCCTACGCATCTAGACTCTTGCATGCTGGGAATGCATACCTCGAAAGTCCGCTTGCCTCTCCATGGCTCATAGGCAAAAGGATTTCTACAGAAGACTCAGTACAAAGCAGGTAGTAAGTATACGGAGAAGACTATAGGATACCGGATTCCATTGACTGTTCATGATTATCAGTTTCTTGAAACATTACTAGTATGGTCTTTCATAGCTAGTTTAAGCTTACCGTTCCACGTAGTAATGCGAAACCCCATTCTGACCGTTGTCGTCTAGAATCAACATGTCCACGGCAGACTCAGCGTGCACTCCAAAAGGGAGCTATGTGCGTAACCACCATAGATATGAGTCAAATTAAAGTACGGAGACAAGGCAAGGGCTGTGTCGTACTACCGGACATACATGTACGACGTCCAGTGGTATGAGACATATTCGGCATTATACCCGAATCGCACGTGACTTATACTATCGTGACATCACGCGGTGCTGACTAACAGCGACAGCGAATCACGGGGCCGCTAAACCTCGTCAACCGGAAGGCCCGACATCCGTATAATCCCACCGTCTGTTCAAACGCAGAAGACGTCCACCTTCGACCTGTCAGGCCGCAACCACCATGTTCCCTCAACGCAATATCCTTCGTCTGGCTCAGCGTTCTGCGCAGCAGCAGCGTTCCGCTCCGGTTCGCTCTGCCATTCAGCGCCGGTTCAACAGCACCGACTCCAAGCTTCCCTGGATGGTCGACAACGAATTCAACCGTGAGAGAGCGGCTGTCAAGCACCACGCTGCCTCCACCAGTGGTGCGTACATTCAATTGGCTCGCTGCCAAGCTCAACTTGATGTCTGTGGGGAGAATTTGCATAATACTAACACAATGCCTCTTTAGATCTCTGGCGCAAGCTCTCTATCTAGTGCGTATTGCCTGATCATTTTAAGCCCCTCTCGGGTCGCATACCAACCTATACTTACCATACCAGCGCCGTTATTCCTTGCCTCATCCTTGGCTCCCTCAATGCTTACAACCTCTGGGAAGAGCATTGGGAGCACTGGGAGCACATGCCTCCCCTTGAGGAGCGTGTGGAATACCCATACCAGAATATCCGTGTGAAGAACTTCCCCTTTGGAGATGGTGACAAGGTAAACTCCTTCCGTTCCATATAAATTTATCTGCTAACTCAAATGCTCCGTATAGACCATCTTGTAAGTTTCAGATACCTCTCATCCACTTTTTATCGTGGCGAACTACCTCGAGTATCAAATTCTTGATAGGCTCTGTCGTCGCAGGTAGAACTATGTCTTCTACGAACATGTGCTAACAATCGAATAGCTGGAACGACAGCGTCAACTACCACAACAAGGACAAGGCTACCTAAACCTTTGACGGGCGTTGTTACAGCCTTCAATCGGCGGTTTTCGGAACTTGCGACGATGAAGGAAGTGTATATTTACTGCAAGGAGCAGAAGATTGAACGGAGAGTGGTGGGAGCTGTTGACAATTAAAGAGTTTTGCCATAGTGCAGGTGTTGAATTAGTCGTTCTTGTCAGAAATCGAAGACATGTATCATTTGGGTTTTCAGGTCGTCTCGGCGGTAACCCCGAGCCGTCCAAACTAGCACTTCGTCACCTATCAGTACCATTGAGCCGCTGCAAATCTAGGTACTTCGCGGCATAATCATTCGCAAGAACCAAATCACCAGTCAAGTGCATAAGTGTAGCCTTTTTCGCCATCATCTCGCACTGCCCTTTGATATCCCCGATCTTTTCATATTGGTCGTAAGCGCAATCTAGGTATTCCAACGCTCGGTTCATGTACTCGACGTTTTGTCCCGATCCCTGGTTCCGGGCCTTCCCCGCAATGCCCATGTTTGCATCCACTAGAAGAGAGTATGCCCGGGCTGCCAGGACACAGTCGCTGGACTCAAGTATTTGAGGCATTATACTCTCCACCATTGCCGCGACCGCTTCAAATTCCCTCAGGCTGAGAAGGACTCCTGACAGAGCGCAAATAGCTTCCCAAAGGCCAGGGAGCAGTCTTGATCGGTAGGCAATGTTGGCAGCTCTCATTGCCAAGGAAAATCCACGTTGGGGCTGAGAGGTCTTCTCAAGTATACAAGCCTTTAGACACAATAGCTTGACTTGACAGTAGACGTCGAAGTTATCTCGGTGGATGGTTTGGGCTGTGCGTTCGACAATCTCCAATGCACGGGTGTAGTTGCCCTGTCGGATTAAGTACTCAACGTGGAGAAACCCCAGAAGGGCTGCTATATCATTATCCGGGAGTTGTATTGCTTGGAGCTGCGAGAGGAGATATTCTGTTGCCGTTTTGTCATTGCTGAGGGATATTAGAGATACGAAGGACAGTTATCAAGTCGACTAACATACCGATATATTTCTCGTTTAAGCTGCAACACTCCGGAAAAGAATGTCCAGTATTGACTTGCTTTCAATGAACGTAATTTGTCAGGCCCTATGTGATTCATACGAACCGAGGCCTCTTTGAAACGACCTTGTTGTGCGAGCTTCGGGGGGTCAGCAACGACAGTCACAAATGCAGGTGATATCTGCGTACCAATTGTGAGCTACGGAAGTTACTCTTCAGATAGTCTTCAAACGGTGCTTTACTTGCGTAACACTCCTGGAAAGTTTCACTGCTCAACCATGCCAGGTGTGTGATACCTGCTGACCATTAGCAAGAATTATGCTTTCATTTCAGAAGCAGTAGTACCGATCCTAGCATAAAGCGCAGTTTGTAATAACAACTGCGGTCCGGTTGAATTTATAAGGTTTTTTGCTACATTGAGGTGCGATGCTCGGATTATGTTCTCGATGGAAGAGGCAAGGCTCTCGCCCTAAGGCTAGTCAGGGGAGCTAACACACAAAGAGAGAGATAGAGAGAGAAAGAACATACATTTTGCAGTTCGAGTTTAGCTTCACTCAGTAGCGTTGTACTCAAGAGACTCCACATTTCTGTCTCCTTTGCTTTGGCCTTGAGAAAGGCTAGGCCTTCTTTCTCATTCCCAAGCATGCCCGTATTTTGAACGTCCTTCATCTGCTCTGGGAAAGCTTTTCCAAAGTGGTATAGCCAGCTCATGCAGAAGTTTAGGCAGTTCATATCGTGAGATTCTCGGGCAATCGAGACTGCCTCTTGCATCGCGGATACGGCCTCTCCATAACAGCCGAAGTCCGCTTGGAGGATAGCAAGATTTAGCAACGCGTACTGATATGAGCTCCGGTCTCTACTGTGCATTGTATAGTCGAAGTAACGATGGAGGTTGTCAAAGGATGATGGGTAATCGCCAGCCCTCCAAGCGTCCAAGAATCTAGACAATTAGTACCCATGACCGTTGAGCATGATGTAGTTCTCTCACCTTAAGTAGTGTATTAAATTTGGCAGTGTCACTCCAGATGTAATGATGCGTTCCAGGCATGCTTTCATGCCATCTGGCACTCTTCCTCCCATTCCTGGAATCGTTAGAAACGACTATCATTGGCAAAAAGGGATCGCATACTTTGCAACTCGCCTATTTGAAATTCCAGCAAGCGCTCTACATCTTTCGTACTGACATGGCTATCCTCCTTCAAGTCGTCCTCGATATTACCATACGCCACCTGAGCAAGTTGACTACCGGTGTCCAAGCCAAGCTCAAGTAAGTTGATATCAACCATGGCCTGCTCGCCAGACGGATTCCGTCTGGCCCAAGCGAGGTATGTGGGGAGGCGATACTTGACAAAGCCCTTCCAGAGCTTGACCGAGTCATGGAACTGCAGTCTTGTAAACTCGAGCTGGGCTCGCCTCACAAATGCACCCAGCGGTGAACACCGGGAAAGACGCATACATCCCAGCTCCGGAGCCAGGCCGTTATCCCTATCGCGAATCTGCTCCTCCCGAGATTTGACCAACAGATCTAACACATTAGAGAAGAATACTTCCAGTGCATCGCATGAATCAATAGACCAAACTTTTTTGAGAAACAAATCCCAGATTGAGCGTCCAGGGATTGAAGATGTATGTGTAGACAAAGCTCCTTCGAGGTCAGTTATGGATGCTGAGTATTGTGCCTCCCAGTGCTTGGGGGAGGCGCTTGGGTCAGTTTCCAGTGGACTTAAAGACGCGACCAAGAATGAGAGAACATGGACAGCAGATGAATTGGGGATGACCCCTTCCGTGTAGATGGAGATCAGACATAGCAATGCAACCTTGGATGGCGTGAGAAAGCGACTCATTGTGCGTATAAATGGTCCATTCCCTGTCCTGGTGACTGATATTGTCAACTTTGATGACAGGGTCAAACAACGAATGTGTACGGCGACGCGTCAGGACAACACCATCGGGCAACCTTGAAGTGCGATTATATGCCTGGAGACCGTGATGGATTAATCCAGTGACCCCACGGAATCGTTTGTTCCAAGCCGGACGCAGTGCTGGCTACGCGGTATGAAGAACGGCAGAGGAGAAGTAAAACGTGGGGAGCATAGTAGCTTTTCCGATAATATTTATAGTGGTACTTGATTATTCTTGTCTCCCTTTCAAGTACATACGACCACAGGGTGTGGAGAACAGGGCTTCCCGTCCGCTCAGCCGTACTTAAGCCACACGCCGGGAGGTTAGTAGTTGGGTGGGTGACCACCAGCGAATCCCTCCTGTTGTATGTTTTTTTTATTCTCTAAGAAAACGAATCTTACTCGAGAATATTCTCACATCTAACTAAACCTAGCCTCAACTTTACTTACTTACTCTCTGCGTAGTAGGGAGACTGTCGTCTTTGAATGTTTTTTTTCTATTCCTCCCCTTTATAATATGCCGGCCTTGTCCTTCTACACTATCACGGCTGTTCGTATTTTTAAGATGCAACGGCCCTAATGCTAGCTGCCACTTGCCAGATATGCTAATATGTACTAGATACATTAAAGACCGAACAGCTCCATTTGTGCCTTTGGTTCTCTATCGATAAAGATGACAGCATGAAAGGCATCTAAAGCTAATGGTAATACCTATTTACAAGCTCAGATGCTGAGTGGATCCATTCAAGTAACCCTCGGCTTCAGTTACTTCTTTTCAGAATACCCCTGGGGTGAAGTCAATGGCCTGTGCCTTCTCAATAACCCCAGCAAGGCTCTTAACGAATTCTTGATGAATAGGATCCTCCTTGACATAGTAGTCTCGGTCTGCGGCACTCGTAAACTCCACTACAAAGGCATGTGTGATGCCATGCTATCCTCGGCGAGGAGAATAGTAAGTGATTCAGAACCATGTATCAATGTAGGCCATTTATAGAATACACATGGGTAACATACCTGGATACCCTCAGGAGAATTATCTATGCCACCAAATGACGTCTTGATGTAGGGTTTGTTGGACGAAGGGTGAAGGCAGTTATCTTTTAGGGCCAACATTCGACTGCAAACCTGATTGAAGTCGTAGTTAGTATCTATATCACCATCCTGATATGCATACAACCATGGCCTCTTTAAATCTGTCAGAACTAACAGGGTATTCTGAACATACATCTTTGATAATTTCAGGGCTAATGCCCGCTTGAAACTGGAAGAGAACAATATGGGTGATCGACATCACGAGAGGCTGCTGTGCGGGCGTTGGATGGCTATCAAAAGCATCTGGAACAGTGGAATGAATACATGTAAAACAACGCAAAAGCGGGGTAATTAAAAGTGACGTCATTCGAACAGTGTTGTCTATAATGATCCCCGATTTTGAGCATCTCCTATACTAACTGCCTTTCAGTAGACGCGACAAGCAGCCTCTAAGATAGCTTACCAAATTTAAAGTATTTACACGCCATATACAATTACAGAAGGCAATAAAAGACTTCCGCAATGCACTAGATATTGATCTGAAGGAAACATCAGCCTAAGTCTTCCATCTTTAGATATTAGAGCAAAGGATGAGTATAGGAGCATTAAGAGGGCGTGCAATTTTGCCAGCACCGACCGTCCTAGCGGATAAAGGGACTTGATGAGGCTCTCAGCGTACAAGTGAACATCAATAAAGCTCTTATCACCAAGTCGTAGGCTACATACAAAATCATCTTGGAGGAGCTACCGAGCATCTATAACTGCCGTCCAGTATACTTCACTTGTGTATATCGAGGTTTTCTCCAATTAAATGCTCTACGATCTAATACAAAGGACATCAGCGAGACCATTTTACCACCCAAGGCCTACTGGGAACTCTATTTTGCTGTCAACCACCAATGGCACTATAAATTATCTTCTCAAGCCACCCGGACATTTTTAGGTAGTCGAATAGGATGACTCTTAGGTAGTAACGGTTTCTATACTCCAAGAGTCGACTAGTCACAAGTCACCAATGAGCGAAGGCGACAACACGACTGCATCTTCACGCATTATCCTGAGAAGACCAAGCTCTTGTTAGTACCTCAAGATAATATATGTCCCACTGGGTTATATTAGTTTGAGCGTAAACTTTCAATTCGTGGTTTTTGCTATACTGATCTTTTTCCCTTCCTAAGGTCTGAGAAAGACCCCTAGCAACGATTACTGCTACGTGTATGTTTCGCATAGTAAAATCCCCACATAAAATATCAATAATTTAGTGTTATTTCTAGGTTCTTTTACCCCTTGGTGCTCGTTAAGGAAAAATGCATTCCCGTCCCCAACAGATGAAGCGTTGTCGATCTTATAGACACTTTCTGATTCATCGACAGGTAATCAAAACCATGCGCTATACCCAATTTATAGGGTAATAACACTCCACTGGGCAACTCGACATACTATCTAAATTCAGGGTACGCTTGAGATGATGTACTAAGCTGGTAAATCTTCCAATCAAACCCAATGGCTATCAAATCATCAAGTCCAGGTTCGACTAGCCAGACAAGATGTTATTATACATCACATCTTCACTTGTATGATCGTCAAATAGAGTGGGAAATAAATGCATGGCAGACTTCATTAAATTGCTTGGAGATTAATCTTGAAAGCAAGAAAACCAACCAAGCTTCGGAAAAACCACGGACATCCTGTAGGTAGCATCAATCACTGTTCTAAGCATCGAGTTCTAAAATGGATGTTTCTTACTATTTGCGGGGAGCGTTCGTTGACTGCTTATGTCACTGCAAGTTACATTGCACACAGGCTATGGTAGCTCCGCGTGATTCCAGTCATGCAATACAAGGAGCCGATGAGTAGACTGTGATACACATGTAGAAATCACATCATTCCTAGTTGCCAACTACCACCACCCTCAAACCCTTCCTTTTGAAATTTCACCCTTATCTGGCTAGTCGACTGCTCCATTTCCATAGGACCTCCTGTTGAACATACCAAGTCTCGGGCTCGCTGGTCTAGTGTGGCACAAACCAGAGGCGTAGGCGACGATTTCCAGACATCAAACCCACCACTTTTTGTCTGAAGTGCAGTCATGCCAAGGAATACAGTTGTTGAAACTACCAGCAAAGCTGGGAGAGTAGCCCATGCCCATCGGACATGTATTTGGGTCTCCATCTTCCATGCCGTGCCATTTGCAGGGGTGTTATTATAGAGACGCACCCCCGTTGTGATTCCAAAGGCGAGTTTCTCAGAGAATTCTGGTGAACCATAGCGAATCATGGGGTATCTGAACTCGTCGTATGGTGTCTCAACTTTGTTACAACTTAGAGAGGGGCTTATATTTAGTTTTGAGTACATCCATGCCTTTATAAAGGGGATGCCAACCCAAACCTTGGCGCTCGTCAGATTACCTTGTGAAGGGACATGGAACGTAAAATTTGGTCCAAATCCTAGGGGCATTTCAAGGTGTTGCCAGGTATCGACCAATTTCTCCCATGGTTTGTTGTTATGCATGCCCGCTGTATATGTTTTCACACACCAGTACACAAGACAATGGTGAGCTGTCGCATTTGTTAAGTTGGTTCCAGACGCAATAGAAATTGAGGTAAAATTCGCAATTATCGGCGGAGCGAAGTATCCAACATGCGAGGAGATCTCACTTGCCACGTCTCCAGTGATGCCATTATACTCACTCACGTTGAGCGTCAAACCACTAGGGAGTGAATGCTGGCAGAAGGTGAGGTTGTCTTGGCACCAATCATCAATACAGCTCGTGCTGATTGAGTCTGTTAAATCAGTGCAGGTTGAACAAGCAGCCAACGACCTGAAAGGACTAATTTCGCATTCTCCGGTCGGGCAATCAGGAGCAATCGATAATTGCGTCAGGTTACCGTTGTCATTTGTCGTGCCTCCAAGAATGGCACTATATAATGCAGCAAGAAGCTCTTGTGGAAGGATCTGAGATCTATCCTGGTACCCAATGATTCCTAGAGAACGGGGTACAGTGGCAGGCTCAGCACTAAAGGCAATGCGATTTTCGACAGTCACCATCTGCTGAACAAAAGGACCTGTACCTATTGCCAGTATAGTAACAAGCGCACCCATGCAAGCCGAAGCCCTAAATCGACATGAATTCTTAGCAGACATTGATGGCTTTCATACCATAAATAGCAACGACAAACCTAAATCTGGAATGCCAGATCAATGAGATGCAACCAAAGGCGCCTCTACTAGCAAAATCGTATAGACTGATATCTGAAAGATGACAGCCAGTACTGCTCAGGTTATTCCAGCGAGCTTGGCCGAGACAAGCAGCGACAGGTTCCAACAGAAGTGCGGTAAAGATCTGCACAAGCCATGACAGTATCGAGTTTACTGTTATGCCGTATGGCCAGTCTGGAGAAGGCTTGCCATTATATGCGTTCAAGAATACAATGATTCCCACCAAAGCACCAGCGCTACCGCAGCATGAGGCTATCTCTAAGATCCAATAGTCGTTTGCCTTGCTTGATAGGGATCTTGGTGGATTAGTACTTGTCTTCTTAGAAGATGATACTGGAGGATGATAAGATGAAGGGCTCCTGTCTGCCAGAGTCCTATCTGATGGCGATGGGGAGGCTGATCTTCGTATGCTGTTCGCGCGGGTGTCTTCACTGAGATGTTCGTTCGGCAGTCGCCGTGCCTGAGTTGAACTATTCATCTGGGAATGCAGAAAAACTAGGAAAGAATAGAATTGACATCTATAAACAGAATGCTGTGGTAGCATACAGAGACGCTGAGAGTGTCTGCTATTTGTATTGAAGCGCCGGATGTGCCATATCTATGATTATCATTATCAGCGCTTAGAGCATGGGCATGATAGGATCGACGATTCCCCCGAGAACCGGGGATATGACTTAAAGATCATACTGGCGGCTATAATAATTCAAGGTCCTTTCACTGGCTGCATGTAAATTTTGGCGCTGGGTAGACATAAAAATAAACATGGGGTGCCGAAGTATCAATCTAGGCATTGCCGCCCACCATATGGGACCCTGAAAAGCTGGAACATGTCTAATTCCCACCCCTGTTATCGCTGTCTACAACGAATCATCTAGGGAATTTCAAAAGTAACATTCAAAGCTCTTACATGTCTTCGAATCGCTAAGGATTTCAACCGGTATGGTTCATGCCAGCTTCTAAATCAGGATGAGCTGAGAAAGCTGTCATACACATAAATCTACTATTACGGATTTGAGGAAACTTGAGCCCTTTCGAGTACAGGTAACTATATACCGGTAGGCCAGTGGATCAAGGACCACTACCCAAGACGAGTGGAGCACAGGTTTTTAAAAAGCTGAGAATATACTATAATTTATTCAATTTATCCAGGTAGTTGGAATAGTTCAAGCAGCTTAAGCAGTTTTATAGCTCTAAAGCTAGATCGTATATACTATGTCGACGCGGTCACGTGGCGTCAGTTTTGAGCGACCAATCGGAAGGCGAAGTCGGGAAAAAACGGGAGAAGTTGCTAGCACCTGAACAATAAAATTAACCTAACCAATTTCTGTGTCTTTTACCAGGTTGGTAGGGCTGAGCAACTTGGATTCGAAAGTAGCATGTCCCGTCTCCGTATTCCCGAACCCTGTCCGCCAGTATTCATACGATGGTGTCGTAAAGAATAGAACACCACTTCATCTTGTCATAGAAGCTTTACCAATACTATGGTGTTGGGCTCATCATTTGATATAGTCGTGTGGCTGGGGGAGAAACGTTACTGGTATATACCCGAAGAATGGCTGGGCAATAACCGGATCAATTTGCTTATGGATGTATATGGTAAACTTGATCTTTTAGGCCCAGGATAGCAAAGATGAGATTCACGGTATGTTTCTGGGAAACACTCCAAAAACCGACAGTATCGTAGGTATACGGTCTTCGCAAGAGGCCAATAGGAAATACTCAGTACGTTCCAGTGTCTTTCTTTAACATGAAGTATACCGCCCGTTCGAGTCCTCATCTCGATACTGGCTAAAGGACACATGCTACTACCCATACAGGAGGACGCTATAGGGTGGTGTGTTTCAATTCAAACCAATATGACATAGGGCTCCATCCTTTGCAACACACAGAATCAATTGTGCCCAGTGATTGCCAGGTATGGAATTTCTTATTCGGTACTTGTGTCTAGTGAGGGGGCAGGGAGGCTCTGCGAAGGAGAGAGAGAGGTCATTTCAATTGTTACTCCACCTATGAACACGAGGATTTATTAAGATTATGTGGAGTAACTTTAGGGTTTTAGTCTGGCCTCCTGTCTATTTATCATTCTAGGCATTTTGGAATGGATACATCGCCGATTTCAAATTGAGGATTTCTCATTCTCAAGAGGAAATGAAGACATCGATCTCACAATTCTCAGTTCTTGATGCCAAAAGTTAACATGGCCGCAAGGATATTTCCCTTCGGAGAGATTATGATCATGTTCTCCGGCTTGGTCGCATCCAGCTACGTACGTATATGTCCAATGGGTCAGTGCGTAAGGAACCAACTAAATTTAGAGAGGCATCATAACACGAAAAGATCATCGCACATTGACCCTTACAGTTGAAGTAAACTACCGGATATCAGGGCACTCATGCGTATCACGCCAATCAAATGAGGCGCCTGCGCGCTTCCAAGACGGCAACTTCGTATTCATGGCATTAGCCCCAATTTAGACCTCCGACGAGGTGAGTATACAGGCTTCCAATGCCCTGTTGAGTCCAGTACATCGTGTACCCAAAGTTAGTACCTGCAATGAAGACAAGTATGAATGGCGGGAGTGTTTAATTACCTCGTATTTGCTGATCATGAAGCCAGGGCCCAGGCTATCCAGCACATCGCATCGTATACATGATCTGTGAGCCATGATGCACATATAAGTATGTGTCTCCTCCCCTGACAGTCAATGCTGGTGTTTTTCTATCTTTACAAACCTCCGTCGCTCGCTGAATCTACACTATCCACTTTCAACACCATCAGTCGTTTCCAACCACCCAACAGAATGCAGAAGTTCCTCACCCTAGCTGCCCTCTTGGCAACCACCGCCCTCGCGGCGGATCGCACGCCAGCCCTGGTTGCCCGTCAGGTAGTTGAGCTTCCTTGCTCCTATCAAGGCGAAAAGGCCTGTGGAGATGGCTGCATTCCTCTCTCCTATACCTGCTGCCCCAATAACCTCGGTGGCTGCCCCCTGGGCTCCTATTGCGACGGTATCGGTTGCTGCCCTAATGGAGAGACCTGTACGGGTGGAGGAGGCGTTTCCACTCGCCCCGGATCGACTATCTCCATTACCAACACTCTGACCAATACGTTGACGTCCACAAGCACCTCCACCCACACTTTGACGTCCAGCGAGGTCGTGACCCCGACCTCCACCCCAACACCTAGCTCGAGCTCCTCGTCCTCCCGGAGCGTCATTCCTCCCAGTTCGAGTGCGGCGTCTCCCTCGTCATCGACGCCGGCCGTGTCGCCCACCTCTCCTCCGCTTCATACTGGTGCAGCTTCTCACTTGACCCCGGGCTTCTACGCTGCTGCCGGACTCATTGTCGGCGCTGCTATCCTTTAGACGGGTCTTGACTGATACTATTGTCGTGGTTCTGTGGATCCATGGCTTTACTCCTTGGCATATCCCATATGCTGGGGTATGCCTGCTGATTTGAAAGGATAATACAAGGTATAATAGGCAGGGTGTGTCTAGTTTAATGTCATATAATGTATTTACTTCTCTGTGTACCCTCTCCGATGCCATGTCGTTGTAACTATCGATGTGTAAGTCTTAGAGTACATGCTTGTGTGGAATCCAAAAATGCTGCTTGTTGCTGAAGAACATTTAACGTACGCCGCTTTCTCTTCTCGTGTAATGTTCTGCTTTGCTTGTGATTATATCAATTACTTGGTACAGAGCTCCAGGTGATATTTTATTCCACGTCTGATGCGTCGTTGACCAGGTTTGCTTGCTTCCAGCGGCCGAAGCAGTGTGCAAATGTCAACCAAAGTACAGGATGGAAGACGGATTAGTAGTCAAGATAGATTCGGAGTGTAGTAGGAGACAAAGATTCATGTTCAGCCTTTCACAGCATATAATGAGGATATATACCTAGCTAGGATAACCGACTTGCTCTCTAATACAGGCCAAACGGAGATAAACAAGGCAGGAAGGATATCATGCACCCAGCAAAAATCACAAAGTAGACCAAGAAAAAAAAAAAAAGGGAATATTGCACTGCACAAAAAGATATCGACAAAAGACAACAATATACCTCATTTAATGAAAATCAAGACAAAATGAAAAGAAGCTCCGGTTATAGCTACTTTTAGCATGACAAAAAGAAACGACCCAAGCTGGTATATAAATGAAATAAATACATTATAGCAGAATATTGAGCACCCATGTGCACCGCACTACTTTCCACCCACAACATCCCCGCTTGGTGACGTGATCTGAAATCGTTCAAAGTTCAAGGTGTAGTTTCCTTTGACACCCGAGTTGGCGAGATCGATAGTGTATTTGTCCTTCGAGCTAGGGTATGGACCAGTGAGGTATGTTTCAATCTTCTTCTCCGAGAGCATGGCCGCATCAAGCGTACCAGTCTTCTCCAAGATGTAGAGCACGGCGATTCGGGAGAAATCCAGAACCTCCGTGGAGACTGTGGCAGTTGGTGTGGGTGTGGCTGTGGTGGTCGAAGAAACTACGGAACTCTCCTTAGTTGTTGATGGTGTTGCGCTTGTCGGCGGTCCGTGGACCTCTGTTGGTTCTGAACCATCAAATATGATGCCGTCCATGGTTGAGGTAGAGCCTCGAGCAGCGAGGGCCCGCGTGGGGACATTTTCTGGGGTGGCGGTAGGTATCGATCCACCAATTTGGTCTTCCGGAAAGGGGGAGACTGGCAGATCAACGGGGAAAAAGCGCCGGGCTTTGTTGTCGGACACGGTTCGAAATGAGACCAGTGTGTTCTCTGTAGTACAGGAAACATTGTTTTGACTGAAGAGTGCCATAATGGTGAGCGGATCTAGCGGAATGCTATAGTTACTCTGAGAGTCTTCGAACAAGCGCGGGATTTCGCTCCCCATCGTGGCGTTCCTGGATTCGGAGCCGTCATTTATTTCGGTCGTGGTACAGCTGGCATCCCCGGCTATTGTACACCGGGAACCTGTATAGCCATTCGCGCAGACACAAGAGCAGATATCACCACTCGAGACACTAACACCGCCGTTCTCACATGGCGCAGTCTTCGCACACCCTGACTTGGCATTGGCTGCCTTATGCTTCGGTACGGCGACGACGAAAATAGGTACGAGAACAGCAACGAGAACAATGATGAGAAACACGACACAAAGAATAATGAACAGTCGAAGGGACATTCCGCAGCAACGACGGGGCCGTTTTTGTTCTTTCTCCTGGACCTCCCTAGGTCCCGAATCTCGGGAATTCAACTGATGCAATGTTGATCGCCTGAAGAAAAAAGGCCAAGACGAGTGGCCGTTCTCGGGCGTAGCAGCTGGTGGGGGAAACGAGGCAAGAATATCTTTGATAGATCCCGATCCACGATATTGGTGGCCTGGACATAAAGTTAGTTTGTAGAAGTGATTTACTACAGGACACGAAGTGCTTACCAAATGGGAATCTGGACGGTCCGCCACCGAGAAGATCATTCCGGCTTGCCGTTCTCCCATGCTCCAGATTTGTTGCAAGTTTTGTCGCACGCCGGATCAAGTCAGGCAAACTTGTAAGACTGCCTCGCTTCTCTGCGTCACGCACGGCACCCATATTCAGGGGAGGTGGTCTGCGGCCACCTGGCCTTTTGTCGCTCATCGTTGGTATGGCCCTCGGAAACCCTTCAATCTCTTTTGCGAGAGCTTCAGAGTTGACATGTTCCTGGTGCTGTTGGCCAACATCCAATACAAATGGGGCCTTGTCCAAATCAAAGTGAGACGAATCAGACGATGATGTCAGAAACGAGCCTCTCCTTGCCCTTCCAGTCGAAATGTCATTTGGGAACGACGGGTTTGGGACGTCCGAGGCGGCAGGTCTAGCTCTTGCAGGATCCTCTGGAGGTTGTACAGGTGACTCGGCAGTAGACCTTCGGATCATACACACCGAAGGTTGACCTCGTTTTCCTATGCTTGCCTGTCTCACTAGGGTAGAGCTGTTCCCATTAACAGCATGATTCGTCTCTCCATCATCATCTGAGACTCCATCAAGATAGGACCCCAAGATCTCTGATTCAGCCTTTGCCGAGGTCCATGACGGGATCGCCCTGTTCGATACATATGAACCTTTACTGTCGGATCGCTCCTCTGGAATAGGTGAAACAGAGGAGATGCGATTAACGACCTGCCGGCCTATAGGGGGAGGAGGGGCGAGATTTGATCCATTTCTCTGAGAGGGATCGGCTGGCAGACGTTGAGCGGGGAATGGGAAATCAGGGATCGATGCCATAGAGGCAGCCGAGGAAACTGTGGAGTGCCTCAGGAGATCCTCCGTCGCAACAGACACGCGAGGGGTTGAAGCTGCAACACTAACCCGAGGAGGCGATGAATGTGATAATGGCTGTGAGAACGATGGGACTGGTCGTTTGATGTGTAGAGGGCTCGGTGCCACATCTGGGACGCTTCTCTCTGAATACACTGATGGGGATGGCATGTCGGGCCGTGGGGGCCGCTGAGGTGGGGGCCCCCGGGGAGTGATATGTCTTACGTGCGAATCGACCATGTCCGTCTGCGAGTTCCCGGTTGGTAAAGGCCATTGTGCCATATGCGCGACATTTCCGAGAGGTGGCACTCCTGCGTCCGCCTGAGGTTCGTGACGTTTCCCAGCTTCCAGCATTTCCCTTGCCCGTCGAACAGATCCTTGTCTTTCCATCATGCAAGTTGAGCCTAGCGTAAGGATCCGAGCTGTGCTTAGAAGCGTGTGCTGCGAGGGTCAAATAATGGGGAGTTGACAATAGTCACGATGTGTTCCCGTATGATACAGCCTTTGTTAAACCATAAGAGATCACCGATGTTGCGGTGTTAGTATATTCCTGTCTGTTTGTGATAGTTGGAAGCCAGCTTGACACGCCAGTCAAGGACAAGTTTAATGAGTGAAATAAAAGGTTGGCGGAATAGTTTCTGAAAAATGGATTTCAAATGCTTCCTGCAGCGGTGGCTGTTGACTACGCTGTAAATGCGCAAAAAGCGAATAGTACTTGAGGAGCCTGTGCTCAAGTTTGATATAAAAGAAAAAGAGTGTGTTGATAGAAGTATTGCAATGGCACTCAATGCCGTTGCTGCGGTGAATATGATACGAAGTCAGCAAAGGCATAGTTCGGAATATGGTAAGGGTTGTATATGAGAGAGCAGTGTACCATGACTAGAAGAACATCTAGAGTAAGAAATGAATGACGGAGAGCAAAGTCCTGAAATTAACAAGCCATTGTAACCAACAAGACCAGTGTGATATCTTAATGGAACATTTGGCTGTTTAAAAAAAAACCCCTGAAGGCGTAGGCAAAAACAGGTGTTAGCCCCATCGAGTACGGAGTAACCCATGCGTTGATGCTGGTAGACTTACGGATGAAATAACAGGGGTCACGAAAAGAAAAGAAAACACAACGAGCCTCTAGCCCTTGTTGAGAAAAGACAGAAGGAGGAAGATGTAGAGAAGACAGGAAACAGCCTCCAGATGCGTATAGAGAAAGAAAGCACGTCGCAGGAATGAGTAATAAGAATCAGGGTTTTCCAGTACCCCGAGGATCTAAATCAAAATCAGGCGTTGTTGCTTGCTTTTCCGCGCTACGAAAGTATGCATGGGCACAGGATGAGAGAGGCGTGGATTGTTTTGGGACCCAGTCCATGCCAAAATGAAGTGGAGCACGTAGCGTGGGAGCGGACACGAAAGGGTCATTTGATAGCGTCGCAAGTGCGACAAAGGATCAATTGACCAAACAGGCAATATGCAACTGCCAGTCCTTGTTCATGTATGACAATCCCCATACTGCGTGTAACACCTTCGAGGGCGAAAAGAAAGACAGGCCCCCGTCGAGCCCGTTTCCTGTTGGATGTTTCTTTGTTCGCGATGAATTTTGGTGCCAGATTGTTGACGGAGTTCCATAAATCGCTGCAACATCAGGTTTAGAGTTGTATCTTAGGTGAGGACCGCGGATTGGCTCAACGAGTTTTAGGATCAGATCAACTTTTGGAAGCGAAGTGACTGGATTATTGGGTCTCCGGCCGTTCTCGAGCCCCATTGGCTCGGTGGAGACTCCAAGGTCGTTAGCGGTCGACGGTACGTCTCAAGTTGAGGAGAAGGTGCCACTTTGCGATTTCAACATGAAACCATCTCTCCCGTGTGCATGGTCCAATGGGCTTGGGAAGCGAAGGCTGGGACAAACGGCAGTCGCCGAGAGATCCGTCAAGACGTTGATCGATCCAAAGCTTGGAAATGGACAAAAGTACTAGCGATCGACAATTGTGAGAAGAGTACGGAGTAGTATAAAGGTAAAATGAAAGAACCAGCTCAGCTTCCAGAATATCTCCGATGGGGTTTCACAAAAGAGGACACTTTTAGCCGAATCAACTTCGTCTTCATTTCGGTTCATGAAGTTTAACTATTGACTGACTATTCGTTAGCTTGTTCGTTAACTCGTCAAAGCGGCTTGGGTCCTGCAAGGGTCAAAGTGAGACACCAAGACATCAACCACATGGTGCCACTAATACCTAAGATGATACTGAAAAGCGCCAATGAGAAAGTACCTTCGAAGTGCTAAGTACTAGATAGTTGCATGCAGGATGCAGAATCAGAAGGCGTTGGATGGAGATGGTACAACCATCTGGAGATACAGTAACAATGGTTACAGTAATCTATCAGTCTTTAGGTACTGTATGTATTAAAGATACGGTATTGAGCTACTGAAGAATTCCCACGCACATGGCACCGTTTATTTATTTATGATTTGTATATCCAACTCCATTTCTGGGCATTGAAAGCTTGCGGAGAAGTTATCCTAAGTATAGTAATTGATAGATTAAATATCGAGGCCACTATTAAAGGAATTGATTGCACAGATCCCACCTCTCCACTTGCCCATGGCTTGTGCTTCTAGGAAGGACCACACAGTACTCCGTACAAAGGATCGCACATGCCGAGCTTATAGTACCCATCTTTTGGACATGCTCAGTCTCTAAGTAACGCCGGATATAGTACTAGTAGACCACCGGACGCTTTGTTCAACTTCTAAAAATATTAGGCGATACCGGACCAAAATTTGACGCGGTTGAACCATAGTTATTTGCCTAACTAACTACTACAGTAAGTAGGCTTATCTAATTGCATTGACTCAACTTGGTTCCAGACCAAATGCATTGCACTTTTTCTGCATTCCTTACTTGAAGCGTCCAGGGTCTATACATATACACATACATATACATACATGCATACATTAGTACTATATATATATATTATGCGACGCATTAACAATCATGCTTGGTCTATCTTCTCGCGCACACGTTTCACTTCCTTTTCCACAGTCTGCATCTCGACTATCACACTCGCCAGCTCAGGCAAGGGACCCCCTACAGCCTCCGTGAAAGATTTTTGAGCACTACGGAGAAAAGGTGGCACCAAGATTCCGTACCATCTAATGGGGTCGGAAGAACGGGGCTTCTTCCCCGAAGATCTAGGCTTTGTCTCTGCCGGCTCTTGCGCCCCAGGGTTATCCGATGATGTTGTGGAATCCCCAGCCTTAGGGTCACGCTTCCTCTCAGGATCCTCACATTCCAGCGTGGACGCATTACTCGAGTGAGATTGGCTCTCTCCTCCAATCCACTCAGAGGGTTCCTCTGCACTACCACCTGTAGCTTGTTTTATAGTAAAGATGCGACTATAGTCGCCACGCTTGGTAAATTCATCGGACGATTCACCCACACTGGATGCCTCGACATCTTTGGTCGAGGATGGAGGGAGTTCTAGTTCCCTGATGACACCTCGTTCATTAGCGTTGAACGCCCTGAAAACCGACACAAATCGCGCAAGGCACAGCTCCAACTTACACCCTTCTTGTTGCTTTCATACGTTCATCGTAGTAGTCTGCTCCATATCTCCGGCCTGGGGGGCAAGTGTAGTTGGCTTGAGCGAGTGAGAGAAACCCCTAGTCTGGTATTAGCGATTTGTCCTTGTTGAGCCTTGTGTTTCCAAGGTTGTTGTACCGAAGATAGAGTTGTGGCAAGTTCGGCTTGTAATTTTTGATGACGATCTAAGAGATGGAGATACCGTTCGAGAAGAGCGTCCAGCGACCGCAATAAGCCTGAGGAGTCAACTCCCGGAGGCTGTTTGTACTCGGTTTCGGGTGATTCTGAACCATGGCGAGACGCAGGAGGAGTGGGAATTTGCGCCATTGGGGGAACAAGATGAAATAGGGACCAGAAAGGGCCCGACTTGACAGGAACCGACGCGAGGTTGTCAATTACGCAAGAGGGAAGCTTTAGATGATCTCCGAGTCGCTTCTCCAAATTTATGGGGATCGGCCGAGGAGTCCGATAACTCCGTCATCGCGCTTCCGGGAAAACCAAAAGAATTTCCCGCGAACAAGTCATTCATCACTTCTACCGTTTATCGACCCCCCATATCAGGAAGTGACTCCTGATTTACTCATCTTCGTCTGGTGGTACGAGTGTACTCTCCAAGCCCTGAATAGGAGCTATCCGGCTTTCATTTCCCGCGGAAAGTGTGACTTTCCTCTCAACGCCACCTCCGGTTGCGGTGTTCATGGTGCTCAACACCTTGTGAATAGCTTCTTGGAATTGATATTATCATTTCGTTATCGTTGCCTTGATAAATTCCTGGTTGATCGTATTGTGGTCAACAATCGAATTTATCCCCTTTCCAAAACCCCGAGTGTTAAGCCTCCGGGTTAGCGGCTTGAGGCGCTAAAGCCGAAGACAAATACGTCTTAGGATCTACCGAACACTATCCGATTGAGCTTGCGATCCTCGCTTCTGTGCTCGCTACTGTCGCTATACGTACAGCTTAACTGTTGTGGTTTCTTCCCCTCCACTCTTAGCGCTTTCAAGCCAGTCATCATGTCTGTACCAGCATTACAACGGGACACTGCCTTCCAGGTGCGATCCTTGGTATGTACTCCAGAACTATTCCCCTATCGTGGCGGGGTTGAACTGACCTTGTCGATTGATTTTGGGTATAGTTTCGCTCCTTGCTCCGTCAGTCGTCCCAGTTCTCCAATTACAACTTCCGCGAGTACGCCCGTCGGCGGACGAGGGATGCTTTCCGTGAACACCAACTTGAGACGGAGGATAGAAGGATACAAGAGTTGATCCAGGATGGTTTACAGAATCTGCGCATGATGAAGGTCAGTCATGGATATCTTTCTTGCGACAGCGTTCAGATACCCTACCGAATGTTGTGATGCGGCTTTGTACTCCGGAATCGCTGACACATATCTTAGAGGCAAACCGTCATCAGTCAGTTCTATCAAATGGACAGGCTGGTTGTTGAAGGCCAGAAGACGGTTAGTAGCGCTCATTGAGATATCACCAGTAGCCCGCCGGACGTGGAGCTCACGAACTCTTACAGGGCAAGCAAACTGGAAAAGAAGGGGATATTGTTCGTCAGAAGGATACTGGGTAAGATGAGTGTGAAGCTCTCGTATTACAGGCACACTAATATACGCTACAGTTGGGATTAATTGGAACCAAAGGATCACGAATGAATAAGCGGTTGACACACCACAGGAGGTTCGGAAAGAGGCTTGATTTTCCATTCCGATGGGGACCAAGGATGATGTGATCGATCCAATAGACTTGAGGTGTTTCTTGTATTATTAATGGAACAGTTACATTGTAGGTAGCGCAGTCTCTTATCATCAGAACGCCGATTCTTCTCTCATCCTGCTTGTCATGCAGATAATAATGTAGAGGTGTTGCCAATGTGAGTCTATTGTAGTTTGTGTCACGTGATGATATCGTTCCCTTTCCCGCGACTCCATCGCATCGCGACAGAGACCCCGACAACCCTTCCCAGTTGGGCTCATTAGCCAACGATCTCTTTCATTAGCTCCGCCTCTTTGCTTCATTCGCATAGCTAGCGATACTGGGGTGTTTGGCACGTTTCTTCTTTATCGCGTTGCGGAGGGAAGATCGCAAAACCGTTGTTCATCATGCCACCTACTGTAGGTTTCTCCGCGGTGACATCGCTATCGGCTACCCGAATCTTCGTCATATGCAACATTAGCGGAGACCATATACCAGGGATGACCACTGTACTGACAACTCCATAGTTCAGATCTTCACGCTCCGGTCGTCAATTCGGCGATGGCGCCAACCGCACTAGAACCGGCCAGATCGACCACGATGTCTTCGAAGGACTTCCGGTTCGACGATGGACGCGCCAGCTACAGACCGTCTCCCAAACCCCCAAGCTGGACGGACAGGAATCATTTGTAGAAGGCCCTGGCGGAAAGCAAACGATTCCAGAACACCCAATGCCCAAAGACAGCCATCTATTAACCCCGATGAGTAGAGCGCTCCTCCGTGCGGCCCGTGCAGGGTGCATATATATTCGCAAAGCCACAAAAGATGCAGAGGATGAAGAAAAGGAGGTTACAGATGTGGAAGAACAGCCAGCCTTGCAGACTACGGAGCGTAGCTTTGTTACGCGCAAGTGGAGCACGGTCCCCAGGCACTTGGAGAACTCAGAGGTCGAATTTCTTGCTAAGAGACGACCGGGCTTGCCGTCATTATATGGTGCTACAACCGCCGGTGCCAATGGCGCTGAGAATGGGTCTGCGCCAATGAGGAGGACCCGCTTCAAGAAGGTTGACCCGAACAGTGGAAACATCTCTGTCTACGAGGCCTGGGTGCCGGAAGGGCATAAGATTGAAGGGGAAATTACCAACGACTCTCAACTGGTACCAGAAAACAGCGAAACAATTGTAACACCCGAGGCGCCTGCTCCTGGAACAGTTATTGAAGGTGTTGGCGTGGTCAATGCAGAAGGCGTGGTTGTGGCAGATCCAGCCTCAGCGGCTGTCATGACTCCTCCGAAGAGGCGCCCCCCGCCTCCTAAGCGTAAGGCGAAGGGCTTCGGGAAAGGAAGGAGGAAGAAGGTCATGTTCGCTCCTGGTGAGGGAGCAGATGCAAACGCCGTACACGGAGCCGGCACTGGAGCTGGCGATGGCAGCGCCGAAACAGGTTATGGTAAAGAGGGTGCGGATAGGTCGCGGATTTCAGTCGACCAAAATGGCCAGGAAGAAGAAGAAGAAGATGCTGAGGAGGGCGAGGAAAGCGACGACGGCGATGAGTCTATGCTGGATGCTAAGACACCGGAGACCCCACTTCACCAACCAAGTGCAGAGCCGACAACTGATTCAGCATCTGGACCCGTGCCGGAAGTAGTTCCTACTTCTACTGCACCCGCTACTGAAGCCGTGGTTGCTTCACAACCGCCAGCTCCAAATCCTCCAGCCGTCGCGTCAGAATTACCTGCGCAGGCACTCCCACAGCCACCTGCAGTACCCACTGTATCATTCGCACCACAGCAACCCTTCCAGCCTGTTCGGCCCAGTACTGATCTACCAAGCTCTACCATTCCTCCCGCAAAGCCAACACAAGTGACACCTGCTGAGGATGTGGAGATGACCGGTGTCAGCCCCGAGTTCCCCGCTGACGATGCTGCATCCCTACCCCAGACAACACTGAATACTCAACAGCAGACAGCCCCCGAGACCATTGAAGCACCGACTGAGACAGCCACAGATGCAGTCCCCACACAGCTTCAACACATCCCGCAGGTCACTGCACCGGACTCATTCCCTGTCGCGAAGAGTGAAGATCCAACTGGGAAGCCATTGGAAGCTCCTTCGATGGGACAGACTGACTCGGTAGCCGAAGTAGGCATCGTGGACGAGAATGTGAAATTGGAACCGCCGACTAGCCTTCCACAGATGCCGCCACCAGAACAAGCTCCTCAGCCAGAGCAGGCACTCCAGCCACAACAGACTGCCCAGCCAGTACAAACTCCCCACCCACAACCGACCCATCAGTTAGAAGACACCCCCCAGTCAGAACAAACTGCCCAACCAAAACAAGCTCCCCAGTCGGAACAGATCCTCAAATCAGAGCCAGATTCGTATCCCGAGCCGGCTTTACAGCAGCTCGCCGCCCAGCCAGCTGAGGATATTGTAGAGAACAATGGTTCCAGTCTCTTGGACAGTTTAGAAGCAAGTTTAGGACATGCTCCTGACGTCGAGAAAGGGGGCGAGGTTCAGTTTGGTGATCAAACAGAAGCTCTATCTGACCACAATGCTGGTCATATCAGTACGGAGACAACCCAGCAACCTACATCTATGGAGATAGACGTTGACACCATGGACCGGTACACTGAGCCAACCTTGCAATCAGCAGCAACACAACCTGCAGAGCCCATTGAGCCGGTGGCTGACCAACCACCTACACACACCCCAGAAATTGCTACCGAAAACAGCGCAGAGCAAGCCACAGAACCCCCTACGGAACAGCAGATGCAGCCCACGACGGAGACACCGATAGAGCCATCAATAGAGCCTGCTACTCAAGAATTCACGCAAGCTTCTGTTGAGCAGCTAGTCGAACCTACCGTGGAACAGACTGAGCCGAAAGCGGAGGAGCTGGCCCCAGTGCAGGTGGAAGAACCACATGGAGAGCCCCAAGGAGTACAACCACCTGAAGCACAGCCAGAACCGATTCCACAACAGAGCTCAGCACAAGAAAAAGAACCTTCCCCGGCTAGTAATTCAGAAGCACCTGCAGCGTCACTCCCAGAACTGCCGCAAGAAACACCTATCGAGCAGATTCCACAGCCTACGGAGCAAGCAGTAGCGCATCCTTACCTGGAAGCACCGGTGAAGCCGTCAATGGAACAAGTAGAGGAGCGACCCGATGCTTCTCAACCAGAGACGACACAGCCTCTCCAAGAGGATGAGCCTCTGCCACCACAGCAACCGGTTGAACTCCAGTCACCCCGGATTGCGACTCCACCTGCACCAGCCAGTACAGAAGACGTCCAGCCCAGACCCATCGAGAACAGTGAAACCAGTGAAACCCACGAGTTAACTGCACCAAATTTCTCTCCAATCTCTGACTTGAATCCTGAGCTTGAAAAAAAGGAGGAAACAGAAACACAGCCAAAAGCAGGGGAGACAGCACCAGCACCAGCACCGGGACCTGACACTGTTCAAGACCCATCGAGCTAATCTGCACATAGTATATAGTATTTGTTTGGGGGCAAAGGGTCGCTTGATTGAACTGGGACCAGGCGTATATCGGTGTACGGCGTTGTATTGTGCTGGAAAGGGGATTCTGGATTTTAGGACCAGGCATATTTGGATCGATCGCATGTTGTATCATAGGAGTATCCACAAGTCAGAACGTCATACAAAGCTCACACCTTTTGTTCTCATGATAACCCGCAAAAGACAGGAGAGTCGCGTATCGCAGAGGCCGAGAGCGATTGAAAACAAACCATGGCATGCTAATCTCTTCTGTACGTTATGAAATGGTTCCAGCGTTCAAGTGATTCTAAACTAGCTGTCGAGCCTGAATAGGTACATACATGTCAGCCAGAACTAGGACTGTAAAATTCTGTATGCAGGCACCTTGAGTGTCCGGGCATTTCCAGGTAGTCGAATGGAGTGATTTTTCAGTCAATGATATGTGGATCCTCTTGACTAGGTTTCTTCACCGAATGGCTACCTGCCGGGTCAAGTGACTGTGACTATCGAAGGAGGGTGTGAGTCGATGTGAGAATTATTCACCTTCCTCATTTCCCCCGTCGGTGTAAATGTGATATTGTATTCTACTTAGATTCGTCGAACTTGCCTCAATATGGAAAGGGACTGGTAGAAAGGATTTGCCATAGTATACTAAATATATACGAGTGCAACGCGCACTTGCATATCTCTCTCTCCACTGCAATAATACAGAAATTGAGGATCTCATTAGCAAAGTCAAAATTGATTCAGTTAATTAAACCAGCTAGTGATAGACAACATCGACCTAGACAACTGAACTTATATCCTGTCGACTAACCAGCCAGGAAGAAAGTAGTAACATTACAGCAATAACACCGCCTCTGCAAGTCAGATCTCGTAACACAGCAAACATCAAAACCAGTGAACAGGAGTGTTGGACACAAGAAGAAAGATAGAATACCGTCAGACCATACCAACATCGGACCCAAGGTTGATCGATGACGACGCACAAGGTGTAGTGGAAGCAAAAATAAAACATTAGGCCAAAATACAAGGGTAACTTATCATCAAGAGGGAAAGAACGAGCAGGAATTGTCAGTAAAGAAAGAGATAAGAAAAATGAGAGAAATGGAGCAAGCTCCCCAAGAAGTTGGAAGAAAAAGATAGCCGTGGACGAAGCAGTATTCACACAGTAGATCGGCCCAGGATGAAGCACCTGAGGTATTCTTATGGAGCCAACATGCCCAAATTGATCATGCCTTGGGGTTCTTAGCAGCCTTGCTTGCTGTCTTCCCGCGAGGAGTACTCTCCTTGACTTTAGAAGTACGCTTGGCAGGACTCTTGGTCTTAGTGTCTTTCTTCTTCACTGTACGTTTGCGAGTGTTCGTCCCCTTAGCAGCCTGGAGAATCTTCGCTTTAGTCTTCTCGGATGGACGGCTTAGTTTAGATGTTGATGGCGCCGGCTGGGTTTTGGTTGTCTGCATCGGTTTCCTGGCTTTAGTCTTTGTGGTTTTGACCTTCGGCAGTTTAACTTCCTTCTTGGATCTGGCATTATCTTTCTTCACTTGTCGCCGTGCTGGGGTTGCGATGGCTTTCTTGCTTGTCGTCTTGGTGGCTTTTGTGCTGACACTCGTTTTCGAACTAGTTTTCGATGTTGTAGTTGCTTTGGAAGCAGAAGAACGTGCTTTGGAAACAACCTTCTTCACACCAGACTTGATGGACTTCGAACCAAGAAGCTGTCGCTTATTGACGCGCGAAGTAGATCCACTCAACACCTTCTGCTTGGTGATGCTGGCTTTTTTATTGTTATTCTTCGAACTAGATTTCTTCTCGTTTTCAGCCCTCAGTTCCTTCTCCTTTGAACGCTGCTCTTTCTCCCGCGGTCGTGGTCCAAGGATACCACGGCACCTGTCTGATCCACATCGGCATTGCTGAACGTTTTTCTGAGAATAGGGGCTACAAGTAGCAGGTCAGCATCGACAATCCCAAGTTATATGGTAAGGTAACCTTACTCAAAGTTATAGTCATAGGTCAGTTCGTCCCCGGTCATGATTCCGCGATCACCAGCAAAAAGCGCCATACGCGGTTTTCCCGCGACTGTCCATTTTTCCATCCGACAGTTGGGCTCGCAAGAATGGTTTACAAAACGAGCGATAGAGCCCCTGGTAGCATCGATGATCATGTTCTGATCGAAGTACATTAGGTAGTAGCACTGATAGCAGTCAATACGTCGCCCATCCACCAGAGCAAGGGGGGAAAGGATGCATACCTCGTTTTTTTTATAAATCGTCCTCATGCGTTTCTCACATTCCGCTTGCGTTATGATCTCTCCTGTGTATTCCACGATGACCTGGTTAGGCTCGAAGGTGCGGTTGCTACGAACGCCATATCCTCGATCTTCCGTCTTGATGACTTCAACACCGATATTGTATTTCCCGCCCACTTTGGTTCTCTGCTTCAGTTCCTCGAAATTCCGATTTCCACACTCGGGGCCCACACCACAATTGCTGTCATCACATTCATAGAACATGTAACGGTTCTGACATTCCTCGTCACAGCCAGTTTCTTCCGCGCACATGCACTTGGATAGCTCCAATGGCTTGTTTGCTCGCCATATGCTGGATGCTTCCCCTACAAAGACATCTAATTCCGCAAGTTAGCCATCATCGCGAGTGTCTGCTACTGGTAATCATACTCTTGTTTGTCTTTCTCCACTCATTGGGCTTGGGTTGACCCGAAGGAAGCGGAGAAAATATATCGAAGGGGAGTTCAAAATCTCTTCCCTGTTTCAATAGTCGATCTCCTGCAAACATTGGCATCGGAAGCAGTCTGCGTTGTGTGGGACCTTGGCTTCTGCGCTTTGCATTTCTGTTCCTACTCTGCAGGGGCCGAGACTCTGTGTATTCCTGGCCTGTGTACAATCCATGAGCTAACCAGCGCTTTGTCTTGGATCGAGTCACAGGCTTGGGAGCCTCCTGCTCGGTGTCTTCATTTTCCTGGATTTTGGCAGGGAGATCGCTTTCAGAAACACGCCTCTTTTTCGCCGCAGGAGCCTCGCTGGCAGCCTTGACCGGGTCCTCCTTGGGAGCAGTAATTCGAGGTCGTAAACTAGCACGCCGGCCAAGTTCTTTACCCTTTCCCACCACGTCACGCGAGCGTTTGCCCAAAACGCTGCTAGCCCGGCCAACAAGGTCTGAAGCCTTCTCTAACAGACTCAAACGAGACGAGCGTCTTACTGGCGACTTGGTTTCCTTAGCCGTTTCAGTAATTTTGCCCTTATTGCTGCCCCCTTCCTCAGTCAGGATCCGCTCTACGCGCTTCCGTAAAGTGCGTTGTTGCAGTGACGTGCCCATGTCACTGGCCTGCAGCTCTTGCGAGGACTTAGAAACTGGAGTATCTGGAGCCATTGGGTGGTCCCCTTCGGTCTCCATATTGTCTTGTGCGAGCGTTGCCTCACTCCAGGACTCCATGACCGCTATGCTGTGGCGCAGGTGGGAGGCCTGGGACCTCTTCCCGCCCTCAGCTTTATCGAGCAGAGCCTCCTCCGAGACCGCGGGGTCATTTTCGCCAGCCGTAGACAAGGTCCCTTGGTTATCTATCTCCATGTCGCCGTCGAGTTGTGCCTCCCCCCGTAAAGAGGCGCGTGTTACACGTGTAGATCTTCGCCGTGCAGTCGGCTTTTCCTCGGTAGACGCGTTTTCATTGTTACTGGAAGTCTCCGAGCGACTGTTCTCGGGGGTGAGGAGTTGTTCTGAATACTCAAAGGCCATTGTGTCGTCCGCGGGCTCGTGAGCGTGCTTATTGAGGTCTGAAAGGGTTGCGGGAGTCGCGGGAGGCGCGCCGGCTGAACTAAGTTGACTTTCCATCCCAAGGGTCTCGGGACTGATTTGCGGTGAGTATTTGGGACTGCAGGGGAAGGGAGACCGCCCGGAAGGGTGAAACGATAGTGCCTTTGAGGGGTTTATGCGTCAAATAAAGAGGGGGACTGAGGTCCGGCTGAGCTGACCTGATTTCCCAGGTACGGGGGTCGAGGTGGCTGCCTCTTATCAGGAGTGACTGTGTTAGGGCCTACACTTTGGGGATCATATTAGAAGCTCAAAAGAGAGGTCTCTGACACGCAACTTCCGACGGGCAAATGGCAGCGAGAAGGCTGGCTTGAGGGGCACGGGCGTGGTATGGAGAGGGAATGGGGGAGAAGAAGAAGAGATGCGGAGAGGGTTGAAGAAGTCCGTATCGAAGGCACGGCGGAATGCAGAACCACCAGGGAAGCGAGACAACCACCAGGCCAGACATTCGGCCCCACGCATAAATCCCCCCTGAGGGTAAGCAAGAGTAACACTCCATGTAATTGGAGCCCAATTGTTTGGTCTCAGACCAGTGCATACGCCACCGCACTATCTACACCCTCCCCATCCATTCCATCCTGATATTGTCCCATTCCCATCCATGGGCGCTCACCATCAGCTGTCATGACGCTACATGCCCTGCGATCTACTACATACCATTTCGGATCTGGATGGATTATTCATAGTCTATCTGCAGGTTGGGGTTTCGATATCATACAAAATATCCCTCGTATAACGTAATATCAGAGTCCAAAACCAAGAGTTGCCTCGCAGCAGATTCGTCGAGGTAAACAGAAGGAAAAAAGGAACCGAGGCACAAGAAGGAGAGTGTGAGGAAAAGTACAAATAAACAAATCAAAGACGCTTGGCTCAACGTGTATATAAATTGCCTTGACAGATTGGTATGGGCAGAAGAAAGTGAAGATATGCCTATTCATGCATTGAGGAGGCAAGATGAACCCCAAACAATAAACGAAAGAAAATAATAAAGGACCGTAAAACCATTATTACTGGAACGTATCTTTAGAAGAGAAAGAGAGAAACTAAAGATGGCTGATGCCTGAGAAAGGTAGAAGAAGAGCCCTATCTATAAAAATAGTGTCTGGTGGGCGCCCCATATTTTGAGAGTATCGTTAGAGAACTCAGTCCTGCGGCTGACCAGAAGGGACATGCTGCATCTCTATGCCTGCTTGAGCTTCAACGTCTCGTGGAAGGTATTTTCGTTTCACCATGCTTAAGCGCTGGTCACCCTCGTGATATGACTTCTTGAATTGCATATATGTCGGGGGCCGAGGTCGCCCAAAGACGGATATCCAATTCTTCAGGATATTTCCTTGAGTAAAGGGCCGATGACGGTCCGCTTTCACAAACTTGTGGGAATTTAGATATTCCCTAGTAGTCTCTCCCCGAGCAACCAGGAATAGGTGGTAGGCCCAGAGGGAGGCTGGGTACGGAGCCGCAACGGCTCCATAGAGGACCATAGCCCAAGGCACCCTCCATTTATCGATCGCATTATTGAAAGAAACGCCCTCTCGTGATCGATATACGAGGATATGTGCCAGACTTGCGCCGATTAAAAACAACGCGAGGAGTGTGGACGAGCCCACAAAAGTGAAGAAATACCGATAGTTGCGACGGCCGACACAGTTGTTAAGCCAGACGCAATGATGATCAAGTGTTTCGATACAATTGTCGCAGACACGACAATGATAGCAACGCGGAGGTCGCCATATATTGCAGGTTTTGCAGAATTTCACTGGCACGTCCATAGCTGCAACCTCAGAGGTCGCCAACTTAACCATAACCCAGTCATTCGTTGGCGGACCGATCGCTAGCGGATCATCTGATGGATCTGGCGGCGGCATCGAGTGAAGATTACGAGGAATGATCTGACATAGGGGAATTAGCGACAAAGACGTCGTGCCTTATACTGGAGCTCTTTCTTACCCCGGGGTCAACGACAGAGGCGTGCAAAAACGAGGAAAAGCATAGATAGAAGAGATAAGCGAACAATATAGGAATAGCGGGTGAGATATTGTGCCAAAGCCAAGGTGCCCTGCGCAAGGTCAGCAGTGATTTTTTTTTCGAGCAGATCGACTCATATAGGGAAGGTATCTTACGAGAACCCAAAGAATAAAGCTGATGGCACAACTACCAATACTCCGGTTGCAACATTGACGGGCTTGTCCCGAGAATTTTGAAACCTCCCACCACCACAGAAAATAGTGTTGCCAAGGAAATATTCATAGTTCTTGCCCAGATGGCTTTTGCTTACCGCCCGACTCTGTTTCTCAATGGATCCTGGAGACGAACCGGCAGATGACAGCCGCTCGTGATTCCGACTATCGCGATGCTCTTGGCCACCGTTTCTATTTGGTGGAGATAAGAAGGTAAGAGGAGATCTTTGGGAAATGTCATGACCGCCTGGACTAGCAACACCCACGCTCAAGTTGAGGTGAGGCTGAGAAGGTTGGTTCTGTCTTTCTTTGTCGCGTAGAAGCATAGCACTTTCGCCTATACTTCGCGCTGTTGTATTACCAATGGGACTGGCGTTTGATGTGTTTCGGTCAGGGAGGATGGGGTCTGTGAATTCCGTGCCTCGAGACGGAGGAACGTCCTGCTCCTGTGGAATGGAGCTCTGAGCAAGCGTGCTATTGGATATTAAACTGCGCCTATTTTGACTTGCGTGATCACCCCAGTCGTCCGATGATTCTGTCCCTTTCGTCATAGGACGGCCTCGATGGGCTTGGAGTCGCTGAGAAGATAACGGCCGAAAAAAGCCTTGCGCTGTCAATGAAGGAATGTGGCTCCGGCTCAGTCTGCTATTCGAGCTTCCTGGTCGGGTTGCTGGTTGGCTGGTAACAGAACTCCTCACAGGGGGAGGACCGGGCCTACTAGACACGGATGGCCGTGACCGGTGCGGTGCGTACGAGGAGATTCCGGTATTTGATTGTGACTGATCCCCATCTTCAGAAGTCATATCCTCCGTTACTCGAGACGAGATACCTCCCACGGAAGGCGGACGAGGAATACCCAGCGCATGTTGCGTGGGCCCTGGAGGTGGCGCATCACTTGCTTCTGAGTTGACTGGTGAGAATGCCATGATGTTCTAAATAGGTAGTTGCTATGCTGCTAGCAATTAATGTTGACTATCATGTTGTGGCTAGACGAAGGAGAGGGATATTGAGCGTGATATCAGCCAAGGGTCGCTGTAATCGAATGCGCGAAGAACAGAACTGGGATAGGAGTTGATCAAGGAGCGACAGCTACGACGAAAGAGCAAAAGAAAGAGAAAAAAGCCGAAAGTATGATCAAGTTAAAGAATGTAAGCAACCTATGCATCAGGACTGTCAGTAAGCCCTGTGCGATTTCGATGTCAAAAACGCGGCGCCGAAGATAGCCTCCCCCTATACGATTCGACAATAGGGATTCCGAACAGCACGAACCTTTAAATAGAGTTGCGATCGACTGCAAAGCAGCTAACAAGCCAGTTACATCACGACAGCGACGCGAGCTGCATGCTGTGCAAGTCCAGGAAAGCTGAAGGCAGGAACAGCAAAAAGACACCCCTCGCCCGTCCAACGGCGTGCACGAGCATTATCGCATTCGATGTAATCCCCTACTTGGCCCAACCCCAATCCGGTTAGGGCCAGCTGGCTAGCCGGTCCTGACTAAGCCTCGGGAGCTGATGGGCCAACGAAATGTCACCTGATGTGATGCGCCGGCAACATCATCGTCCGACACCCACGCATTCTCCCACCTCTCTAAAGAGATCTCCGGTTTACCTCACCACCTTCTATACCTCGCAACTACCAAAATGTCGTCAATTGCCGCCATGGCCTCCCGCCGGGCCTTTGCCCGCCAGTCTGCCTTCCGTGCCCCCGCTCGCCGTTTCTACAGCTCCAAGTTGGAGGAGGCCAGCCTCGACAAGGCTCCTCGTCGTGACCCTGAGCTTTACGTACGCAGCTACTTTCGTCTGATCAATTGGGCTGATGGAATTGAACTCTAATCTTCTATAGGTCCTGCTCGGTGTCATGTCCGGTGCTTTCCTTGCTGCTGGATGGTGAATATCCTTCCCCGTACCCACTTTTACAACCCGCGACCGGCCGCAAAAATTCCCCAATTGCATGTGGAAGCCAAACAGAATATTAACAACTCTTTCCTCATGACAGGTACTTCGGCAAGAAGCCCACCTCCGTGAACTCCGAGAGTAACGTGCGCATTGGCGAGAGCGCCATGCCTTGGGAGCGTGAGGACGACGGCAAGGTCTACAAGTACCAGTACCACCCTCACGGTGACAAGAGCCAGCCCCTCAGAAACGCCCCCAGCGCTCTGAACACTGTTATTGTGCCCAATGTTACTCTGCCGGCTGTATGTTCAATCCCCACCTTGCTTCAGGATGCATTTTTATATATCGGCTTTCGCGATGTTCGAGAGAGAATAGCTACTAAGATAATCCCTCAGGATCTCCACGAGCGCTACAACAAGTACGGCAAGGAGGAGTGGGATTACTAAATGGTCATACAGCTACATAGAGGGTTATTAGGGGTTTGGTTGAGAGGCATCTCAACACTGGTCGCTGTATACTAAAATTGCTGTGAAGAGTAGAGAAGCGTTGTGCATAGTACATCTTGACGGGAATCAATTGGAGACTGCTTTTGTGCATTACAAGGAGCTTCTAAGTGAACAGTGGTATACGTTTAGGCGGTCGACCCAGTGGGAAGTAGTCATGTACAAAGTCACATTTCGTTAGATCAAAGAGGGATAAAAAAAAATTAGTCTCTGGAAAGGAAGTACAAGAGAAGAGGATGGTCAAGATTGACGATTGTTGAAACAAAAGGAAAGGAAGAAAATTCGCGGTAGCAGAATGCAAAAACCCAAGATGCCTCGTTTCCGTTCACTCCAGGAGATTAGTTAGTCGCCTCGTTCCCTTCGCTGGCGGGCTTTGCTTCGGGAGGATTAGGCTCTGCAGCAGAGCTTCCCCCCGCAGCGGAGGCGGGGCCATCATGTGCAGCTTGTTTTTGCTTCCCAATAGTCTCGGGATTCTGACCCTCGACGTCTGGATGCGGTGGGGCTACTTGGCCATTGATCATTTCGACCTCATGGCCGTGTTCCAAGCGAGTGCGAGTTTCATGGCGAGTCTCGAAGGATACTTTACCCTCTTTGGCAAGGGCGGCAACAAGGTTCTCGTCTAAAATATTGCCGTCCTGATCACGGTATTCAACTCGTGCCTTAGCAACAGGCGGCTGGGGCTCCGGGGTAACACTGGCATCTTCTGCTTCTTCCTGGAGGATTTGTTGGTCTTGCTGTGGTGGAGGGACTACAGGGACCTCGGGGGGAGGTGCCTGTGTTGTTGGTACAGCAACATTGGTATTTGTAAAGTGGGTCACATATTGGCCAAGCTAATGTTTCCTTGTCAGCCGTCGTGATGCGACACGCCTAGTAGCCTCGTCGGGGAGGTTGCCATTTCGGAACACTTACGTCAGTATGGAAAGTGTTGCAGTCGAAGTCCCAGGTATCCAAAAGTTTCACCTTGCGGCAAGCGTCTTGAGTCCAGGGGTTGCCATAGACCAAAGGAGAATAGAGAGTGAAAGTGAAGATGCTCAGTGCGAGGAAAATACCAGCCAATGCCTTGCCAATGGCGGGCTTGGATGCTAGTCCAAGAGCATGGATACGGTTGGCGAGGAAGTCAAATTCTTGACACAAGGTGATAATGGCAAAGTAAAGCGCTGGAAGATAATGATGGAGAAAGAGCTGCCGAGCCATGAGGTAGAAGGGGAAATAGTGGAAGGCCCATCCCAGGACACTTGTGCCAACCTCGTAGTCAAATCTTTTGAAATTGACGTTGCGGTAGTCGGCACAATTACGTTGCCAGCGAAGAATGGAGATTCCCTTGAACAGTACATAGATGCCAATTGCCAATGTCGAGGACCACCAGATAAGTGGGTTGCCAAGGAGGTAAATCTGGCGATGATCTGTGCCCCAGAAATTGATGCCACGGAGCAGCGTTGGCCACGACGGGGGTCGCGAATCCCAAGCGTGAGACTCCGTCAATCCCGCATTGGTCGTCCACATCACCTTCTGGAGCTCCCAAAACTTGCCCAAAAACCCGGGATTTCGGTAATTAACCTTCTCTGCATCCACCGGCAGCATTGGGTGGCTGTTAGACTCGATGTACCAGACACTGTTGGGCAAAGTGCCTCCCTTCGCGCAGGTCACCTCCTGCTGCTCCCAACCCCAGTCGGGAAGTTTGACTTTGTGAGAGAATAGGACACAACCGGTCATGACATGCACTAACTTGAATTTGGACTGGATGGTCCTCAAGCGCTTCTTTGCTTCTTCACCCTCTGACATCGATTTGACGATCTCTACGCGGAACATGTCATTTGCATCACCAGCAAAGCCCTCGAACCCATAGGCGGATACTTCATATTGCCAATCCGCCTCAGTGACAGGTGGGCGCTCGTCGTGCGAATGGACTCTCCTCTGAGTCATCAAGTGGTTCAATCTAATGATAGCACCATCTTCAATATACTCGGCGGTAATATTATCCCAGGCAAAAGGACCCGCGATTTCTCCGTCGGGACCAAGAGGTTGAGTCTGGTTCTCCGCAATGAAGATGTTGTTCTCGTCCTTGTGCGGATAGAGCGTGATCTGCTGTTGTTTGCTTCCCGTGGGGTACATGTGGTTGTGAGAATGAAGGTAGCCACCCTGCGTATTAAGGTGGCGGAGACTGATACGGGAGCCGAAAACAACGTCAGCGGGGACATCTTGCATTGCCTTCGAATTCAATGTAGCCTGGAACTCAGACGACATAAACCCATCGCCCTCACCCGGATTTACCAGGCACAGGAAATGGATTGCAAACATTCCACAGTAGAAGCCCAATGGAATCACGATGAGGCAGAAGAACCGAGCAAAGAAATGCTTAAACCACAAGCGCTACAAGGACATCAGCTAACAATTAGACAAGGTTCTAACCCTAGAGCACATACCGGAGTGACATTTTTTGTATCCCCGAGGAGAACCCATAGTTGAATGATGGTGAGAGAGCCAACCCAAGCCACCGTGAAAAGGCCAACCCATTTGACACTTAAAGTAGCACCAAGACATAGACCAGTAGCAGCTAACCAAAACCACCAGGGTCCACGGAAGGCGTGCGATGGGCCTAGTTCTTGCTGGTTCGTGAAAGATGTGAAGGACATGGCCGTAAGCGCAGTAAAGAACACCAGCGGCGAGTCTAAGAGGATTAGACGAGACTGGGTGACCAGGGCATTCTCTGTTAGGTGGTTAGCGCGTGTGGGTATCCAGACCAAGAAAATAGATCAACTCACCAAATATCACCACACCAGCACCCAGCACGGCAGTCGTGGTGCGGCATCCCGATGCTTTCAACGTCAAGAACATCAAGGACACCGTAAGCACACCCATAATAGCTGGGAGCATTCGCATTGCCACATATGGGACGTTTGCTTCCAGATAGTCCTTGCCGATTTCCTTGAAATCGAAATCGCCATTGAATCCAGCCAACCAACCAGCAAGTGTAAGGAGAAGTTTAGCAAGTGGTGGGTGAACATCCATGAAAAAGCGGCCCTTGATATATTTCGATGCAAAACCACCAAAACTGTGGGTATATTAATTAGCCCAATGCGGGTCGTCTCGCGCAATTACAGAGATATTAGGACATACTGGACTTCGTCGAAGACAACGCTTGTCGGCTGATAGATTCTAAAAAGACGGACAGCGGCAGCGACCAAGGTGACGAGAACTAGGGCCTTGTAGTCGGAAGTAGGAAGGCTGAAGATACTGTTGTCCTTAACTCCATCCGAGCCATAATTCAACGTCTCTGCGGCTGCCTTCTTGCGATTTTTCGGTCTCGGGGAGCGGCTTGAGGAGCGGCTTGCCTTTGTCGGAGGCTGGACCTCCAGGGCGTTCTTGGATCTGGGCGGCATTTTGGCGCCAATGAGGTTAAATAGACTAAAGATCGGAAGAAAGGGACGGTATCAAAGGATATTAAAAAGGAACGAAGACCATCAAGAGATATCACAGATACGCGAAGAGGGTAAGCACGAGGTATGGAGGGCTCCGACTCCAGATGGAGCTTTCAACAACCCCACGCCGAGCAATGGAACCAAATAAGAAATGAGGGCAATCAATCAACGAGAGTAGTAGGTTAAAAGACTATACGCCATGACAGAACAAGAAGAAGAAAACAACTAGAAAAGATACATCGACCGTTGGTGAGGAAGACAACACGTGTGGGACAAATTAGGGAGACGAATGAAAGCGGTGTTCCGGTTTAAGGCCAGATCGTCGGCGGACAAGGAGTTTGAGGTTGGAGTTGACTAGCAAAGGAAGCTAAGTCACGACGGAGAGTAGTCCCGGTGGCAGCGGTGGTTTGGCATTCCCCATGAGAACAGCCCCTAAATCAAACAAGACAGAAGAACACAAACCCTTTGTCCAATGCGTCGAAATTAATAGAAATTATTCACCTACGTTGTATATTATGCCATGTAATTTTAAGTGCATTATTTCCAACGGGCATTCTAAGCAATTACTCGCTCATCCTAAGTCTCCACCAATACTTCAAGTTGACTAGCGCGCGGCTAGTTCAACCGCCGTGAGCCCCAGTAGCCGCGCCCAAGATGAGGTAAGGCAAGCCAAAGAAGAACGCTTGTCACTGCTTTTCCACCCCCTCCAGTTATCACTTACATCCCCACCCGCCATCGGCTTGACCTGTGTCTCGAACATGGCGTCGATAAGCAATGGAAACACGCCAACTTTGCCGGAGGAGGTAGGCAAACCCCCGGAGGGTGTCGTCTTGCCACCCAAAGATATTCGAGGTAAGTTTCAGCTTTCAGCTTTCTCAATTGAGAAAAAAACCATTACTCACATATGCACAGCGATCGTGGAGAAGACCGCAGGTTATGTTGCAAGGAACGGTATCGTCTTCGAAGGTGAGTTACCAAATGTGCCAGGAGCCTTTCCTGGGTTGGAAAACTGACCAACAATGGGCAGATCGCGTACGCGAGAAGGAGCGCAATAACCCGAAATTCTCATTCCTCAACCCAAACGATCCTTATGCGAGCTTCTATCAGTGGCGGCTTACGGAAATCAAGGAGGGTAGGGGAACTTCTGTCTCTGCAGGGCGACCGGGCGAGCTAGCTGCAGTTCCTGAACCGGAGCAACCAACGGGTCCCGAACCGCCAACAGAATTTCACTTTTCAGCGCGGATGCCGATAATCAACGCGCAAGATCTGGAGGTCGTTAAACTTACCGCTCTATTTGTGGCGAAGAGGGGGAAATCGTTCATGACAGCCTTATCCCAGCGAGAAGCCAGGAATTTCCAGTTCGAGTTTTTGCGCCCGCAACATAGTCTCTATCAGTTTTTCACACGATTGGTCGACCAATACATCATATTGCTACGATCGGAAGGACTTGACCAGGCGACGTCCGAAAAGACCCGTCTAACGGAGCTCGAGCATAATGTGCAAAACAAGTATCATGTTTTGGATCGCGCTAAGAAGCGCGCCGAGTGGGTGAAGTACCAGGAACAGCAGAAGCAAAAGAAGGAAGAGGAGGAAGAACAAGAACGCATCTCTTACGCGCAGATTGACTGGCATGACTTCGTGGTTGTCGAAACCGTGCTATTCACAGAAGCCGATGACCAGGTTGACCTTCCCCCGCCCGCCTCCCTCAACGATCTTCAGTCTGCTTCGTTGGAGCAAAAAGCTATGATGTCCCTAAACCCTCTTCGCATCGAAGAAGCCATGCCGACAGAGGAGGAAACGCCGACATATTATAACGCCTACCCGGTCCAACCAGAGCTGGTGCCCCAGCCGGTCGCCCAGCCGGCCGGACCAGCATTCCCTCCTCAAGTACAACCTCCCCAACCCGTTCCAGTTGCTGCTGCCGCGGCGCAGGAGGAGGAGCAGCGTATTCGCGAGCGGATGGAAGCTCGCGATCGTGCCGCTGCAACTCAAGCGGCCGCCAAAGCCGCCCCAGGTCAACAGCCGATGCGTATTCGCTCAGACTATGTCCCACGTGCGCAGGCGCGCCGTCTCAACCAGTCTGGCGCAACAGCACTCTGTCCCAACTGTCACCAGCAGATCCCAGTTGCCGAACTGGATCAGCACATGCGTATCGAATTGCTCGATCCTCGCTGGAAAGAGCAGCGTGCCAAGGCCGAATCCCGCAGTGCTACAACCAACCTGTCAACCGCCGACGTGGTCAACAACCTCAAACGTCTCGCCAGCCAGCGCAGCGACGTCTTCGATTCTACAGTGCTCCCGGGCGCCCCCGATCCAGAAGAAGAAGCGAGGAAAAAGCGCATGGCGTTCGAGAATGCCCCCGGCGCAGGACCGACGCCGCCGATGGTCGGTCCTGCCGGTGGCCCACCCAATCCTCAAAACATGAATATCGAAGAACAGATCAGACACCTTCACGAGCGTTACCGGCAATGATCGAATATCCGTTGGGTCTTTTGGTGATTGGACCGTTCATCGGCGTTTTTCATCTGGAGTTATCGGCCTTCTTTCAAACCATTGTTTTCCTATTGACGTACGTCTTACGCAGATGTAAAATATCCTTTCTGCCTTCTTATATCTGACGATTGTTTTATTAAATCTCGCTCCAATATTTCCAGGCGGGAACTCCACAGAAGTAGATATTTATACCAAAATGCCAGCCCGCAGTATGAGTTCAAACACCTGATCCCACGGCCTGTATTTAGACGGCTCTAATCTAGCCAGTTGGAAAGCACTGCCTTGAAAAAACAGTTCCTTGTAACCTTCCGCAGCCAGACTGGATTCTGGCTACTATACTCCCTAGATGAAATCTCAAAACGTGTGTATTATCAGAACCTCTATACCTTATGTGCATATATAATAGCCATAGGCCGACATGCTCCTGCATCATCCCGTACATTAGAAACGTGGACCTTTTCCATCGCCATGTATATCGCATGAAAGCAATACCCGTGAAGCAACCAGTAAAAAAGAAAACACCCGAATGAGACGCCAGCGAGAAAGGAAGAAACGGCACAAGATGAAAAATGACCAGTGGACCCCGTCTGTCCATCTGGGTCACTGTTGATGCTTGAAACACAGAATGACCATTGCGGTCTAGTGGCGCTCAAAAGCAGAACAGACCAAACTAAGTGGGAAAAATGAGGGGGAAAAAAAAAAGAGAAGGAAAAAAAAAAAGCACGACGATAAGCTTAAGTGTATAACAAAAAAGGGACAATGAGAAAGGGGACATTAAGTACATATTATCAATAATAATACAAGTCTCAAGAGTAATTCAATACAGCTCCGTGAGTGGTCAAAATAAAAACCAGTGAAGAATTAGGTATCGGTTGGAAGAGAATCGGTATCAAAGGTAATATAGAGAGAAAGATGATGGGGGTGTCGTGTGGAGAAGGGAACAAAAAGTCATCGTCTTCTAGATGACCTTGGCGCTGGCGGTTTTCAGCTGCTGAACTTGCGCATCATCTTTTTCGCAGCTGGTGACAACAGCCTGGCTGACGACTGATTCATCAGGCTGAAGCATGATTTTGTCGTTCTCGCCAGGGTTGGCAATCACGCAGACATTTACTTGCTCAATGGGCTGTTCAGAAATCTCGTCTTTGCCATAATTCTGAGCTTCGCTGCTATCGTACGGCGCTGAGACTGCCGTGCTGCTAACCGGAGATGTTGAGGCAGCGGACTCAAAAGGATCATCACTCAAAGACGCTCTGCGTGGGTCGTGATCGTTCAATTCATCGTCATTATTGCTATTCGTGACTAGGACTTCTTTGGCCTCACGGGAGACATCGCCTTGGATTTCGATGTGATCATCAGTCAGAGGCTCTGGCTCCTGCTCATTGGTACACGAATGACTTTCCATGCTACTGGTTTGTGTGAAAATGGGGACGACACCACCCCCAATGCGGGACCAGAACATTCTCTCCCTTAAGCGAACTGTTTCTTCCCAGGCATCCTTTTCATCTTCCGTGTCGCCAACGCGGATATGCGAGTCAAGGATAAGACGGAGATAGCCAGTGAATTCGCAGGAAGAACGAACCTTCTCTAGGCAGAGGACACACAGGGGGTACCGTTGAGCCGTCTCATTCTCGGACGTCCGAAAACGGTGGGTTCTCTCATTGACGGGACCCGTTCTGCGCTCACCACACAGTGAGCAAGGAAATTCGTATTTCTTCGCCGATGCTGGCATGGGCTCAACCACAAGACTTCCGTCACAAATACCACTCAGGACCGAACGACGTGTGAGCCACGAAATCCCAGGGGCTGCATCAAGTCTGAGTGTTGGCTCGATGTCTTCATTCAGCACACGCTTGTAGAAACGCGTCTCCTTCAGAGGAATATGCGAGTTCGCTGGTTGCGGCGAGGAGATACTTCCATTAGGAGAGTGAGTTTGAGACTTAGCGGGTGACGACGACGCAGATCCAAATCCACCACTGCTGAAACCCGCGGCTAAGCTCATAACATTTAAGCCGGTATACGTTCCACTTGTGGCACGACTGGGCGGTTTGGAGACACTGGGCAAGGTGAATAATTCCTTGAACTCTTCGAATGCATGGATATCTGTTCGGCATATAGGCCGAATCAGATGAGGAAAACTAGTGGATGGACCTGGGGCTAATTCTTCCCGGATGGGAGCCGGTTCGGAAAGCACGGGTGTTTCCGCACTTTGTTTAACGATTGTTGGAGTCTGCTGCTGCTGTTTCGCCGGAGATGCCGGTGCGGTAGACGCAATCGTACCCGCTTCGGTGTCATCTTTGGTAATGTTCATCTCCTGCAAAACAGACTTAAGCTCTGCCAGTTGTTCTTGGTGTGACGCAAGTAAAGATTCAGTATCCTTCACTTGTGCACGCAACTGTTCGTTTTTCTTCTCTACCGCCTCACGCTCAAGCTTAGCGGCGGCGACCATCTGTAGAGAAACGAAGTTAGTCCTTTGCTCATGCTAGAAAATAGGACGATCATCAGATAATTTACCTTGTTAGCTTCTTCAAAGAGGGCAGCGGTAAGCGTCTCCAGCTCTTGTTCAATACCCTTCTTCTCCTTCTCGATAAGGGCGCGCTGTGCCTTTTCGTCTGCCAATGCAGCCTTTAGTCGTAAGATTTCATAGTCTACATCGGCTTTCTTGATTAAGACTTCCTGATCGATATCCTGTCGATATTTCTCGTTCTCAGACTCCAAAGCTCGGATCTTGGTCTGAGCTTGTTCGAGTTCCTGACGGGTGGCAACCAAGGTATCGTCCAGAGTCGTTTGATTGTTGATTGCTTGGACCAGTTTTACGCTCAAGGCAGCAACTTCGTTACTCAGGTCCGGGTGATGAGATGGTGGTCCCGATGGCTCTGTCTCTACTGAGCTGCTCAAGAGTCTCGGGTCTTTCAGGGTGCTGAATCCACTCTCGGGAAAGTTCCCAACACTTGTTGAGCGTACTGTTGGTACAGGTTTACCGGTTGCGATTCCGGAGAGATCATTCGCCGACCTGGCTTTCGTAAGGGTCCTATCGGGAGAAAGAGCCCTGCTCTCGGAGGAATTGGATCGCTTGTGGTTGTTGGTACGCGGGATCATTGTCGACGGGGAGAGGAAGCTATGGCGTGAATAGTAGGAATGAAAAGCAATTAGACTGTTCACAAGATTTAGCTACTAGATCTATACTTGGAGGAATGGCATCAACGTACTCGGCCATGGTGGTGAACGGTCGGGTTAAAGTTTTAAAATGATATGGAAAGCACGGAGACCGGATGTAGGTGTCACAACCACGAAAAATTCAGTTGGTCCGTCTTTCGCATCTGGAATGTACCGGGCAAAGTGAAAAGAGAGCGTCGGGATGGTCCTGCATGTAGCAGTGGCAGTAGGGGGGTGTCACGGTAACGCAATCCCCGCCAGCGCGCAGACTGGAGCGTGATCAACTGGTCGGCATACGAAGCATTGGGTTTGATAAAGGATCGGGACGGCGATCGGAAAGAGAACGGAGAGTATTGGCGGAGAATGAAAGAGAGTGAGGGTTGTAAAGGATAGACTGGAAGGGGAGAGGGGGGAAGATATTAGGACGGCAATCTAGTGGGTATGAATAGTGACGAAAGAAGGGTGTCGTCGGAGAAGGAAAGAAGGAACCCCTCTTTTTGAACGATTGAAGGAAATCGATCGCAAGTTGAGAGCAGACGGATCGCAGCAGCTTTAGTTTTAGTCCGCCGGGGTCACTAGTAGTCGTTAGAGAGGAATTTGGAAAGATGGTTGGTTCAATTCACTTGCAGAGGCAAATCACGCCGGGGCTTAGTCACCTGCGATCCGGATTGGGCCAAGCCGATCGCCTCGGTCACGTCCCCTCCGTCACGGGCAGAGTTGCCTGAATGACGACGATCAGGTGCAAAAGTTGGATCCCTGCATCTCACTGCAAGCCAGTCTTGGTCAGGTGTTTCCTGGCTGATAGTCCGGGAGTACCTAGGTACATACATACTACTACTACGTATAGTAGTAGGTACTCTCAGTACAACCAACTACGTGCCACGTTCCCATCCAATCTCTCGGTTCATCCTCCCCGGGTAGCTTTCCAGCCGTGCGCGAGATCTAACGCGTCAGTCTTTTCTTTTCTTTTTTCTTTTTATTCATCGAATTAATTAATTAAAACCCACACAATTCCACTTACAAACGACAAAAAAAAACTTACCGCAAATTGGGACCTCCGGAAATGAATTATTGACAATACGAAACTACCAATGCTGGTAATTACACGAACCGGCCCATTTTCTCCGACTAATATTAATAGTCAATACTTAAGTAGGCACTTATATTTAGTTTGACGATCGGACATAGTCTAGTCTCGCCATCTATCGGGAGTGGATAAGGACGACTCAGTTCTTGGCGGAAAGCGATGACGACACATGCAGCAATCAAGGGGAACATCTGTATGAAGTCTGAGACAGCGAAGCCGCAGTCAATCAATGGGCAGATTTATCACAAGTCGCAATTGCGGTGTAACTCTTGTACAGTGTCTATCCCAGTTCGTAGTAGGAGGTTTCTGTACGGAGTATGTACACCAAACTTAGTCCATGCTGTAGTTGGGCATTAGTACAGAGTACCTAATGTGTACAAGATACCGAGATACAGAGATAGCACATACGCGCGCTAGTCTATCTTCTCTCCGTGAGTCCCGCCATTTCCTGATTTTACCTCTTTGGGTAAACACCCTCATGGCGCCCCACATCCGTCCGGAACCGAACCCCAACTGGCCTGAGTGCCTCAGGCTGTGGCAAAGGTGGGGTTGGAAACTCTTCTCCAACAAATCCACACTGTCAAGTGAAGTGTGGACTTACAGTATAGTCCTTGCAGTCATACCATAACGATCCCTGGAAGTGTTCTAGACTATCCACGGCCTTTTGTGTCTAACCCAACTGTGTCCATCACCTTGTACTATAATCACCTAACTAGTCAATAAAGAACCATGGCCGACGCAGAGCTGGAAGAGGTGCGTTCCTAAAATTTTGTAGCGCTGCTATCCTGATCTTGCATGGCCGCATCAGACGATGATCAAGCTTGCGAACCATCTGCTGACTCCCAAGCTAGATCAGGAGAGCCCGTCTGGCACAGCTTCAGCAGCAGCAGGGAGGTGGACCACGAGGTGGTGCCGTTCCAGACGGCCAGGATGATCAGAGGAAGTAAGTTTCTTTTTCCCCTTGTCTTGAATTTTACGTGCTATTCGAAGAAAAAGCATTCGCTTTGGACTTGCATAGCGCAAAAGATTACATAGGACTAATGCGTTACTTTACAGACAAGCAGAAGGTATGCTATCTCCTACGCACCCTCCACGACCCCGCGAGAAAGTGAGAGGGGCATGATATGAGCCGTTGTAGCTTCACTTTGGCCCCAGGATTTATATCTAACAATGTATCTATCAGCCGAACGTCGCTCGGCGATTCTGAACCAGATCCTCGAACCCGAAGCCGCCGACCGCCTAGGCCGCATTCGCCTCGTGAAAGAGTCGCGCGCCGCCGATATTGAGAACCGGCTGCTCATGTTGGCACAGACAGGCCAATTGCGACAAAAGGTTTCGGAGGATCAGCTCAAGCAGCTCCTGAATGCTGTGGCTGAGAACCAGCGCAAGGATGAGGAAGAGCATAAGGTTGTATTCAATCGGCGTAAAGGAGGCTGGGATGACGATGATGATTTGTTGGATTTGTGAAAAGTCGAATTGCAAAACAGCGAATGTTGCTTAAACCTGTAAGAAACTTCTTACGGGTCTCCTCTTGATACCTTCATCCCTTATATTCATGCGCTATGAAACAGAAACAAACTGGTCCTAGGCGTTTGCGGTCGGTATATGGTGCAATTCTTCGACAGCACTCTACCCCATTAATACTCAACCATATATTAACACCTTGCTTAATTGACAAAAGGATTGGTTTCCCCCTAGCAATTGTGATACCAATCAACCCGCTTGCAACAATACTTCTAACGTGCGTTAAGATGAAGGGAAGAGTTCATGACTGTATCGAATACACGGCTACCGGAGGCCATCTAATAATAAATAATATACACATTAACAACCCCTCAAGACCAAAACTATGGACTCTGCTGCAACCTCTCCTTCTCCCGCTTTTTCTGCTCCCGAATCATGCGCCTGATCTCCCTCATGTCGGGGGGCTTCTCAATACCCAACTCACTCCGTAACTCATCCACATCCTTCTCCAAAATCTTCTCCCAATAAACATTAATCAACTCCTTACTCTTAAGCCCACTCTTGACCGCCCACGGTAACCACAATGCAAAAAACCGCTCCCGTTCCGCAGGCTTCAATCTCACAGCAGCAAACATACTCAACCCGGTCATGGGAATAAGAGTATTTAGAAACTCGAACGCCTTCAGCGCTATCTCCCCCTCAACGAAGGTTGGCAGGCCCGTCACTGCGTGATAGAAGTCGTGGCACTCCCGGTAGCGCTGCATAACGTATGCGCATTCCTCGTCGTCAATGTACTGGACGTTGTCGCGGGTATCGGGGGAGACGCCTTCGCGGTCGAGCCAGGCGGCATAGGTGCGACCGACGGAGTTCTCGGGGAGAGAGCGGAGGTATGGTAGGCGGAGGGTTTCGGAGGTGATGCGCGGACGTTCGCGGAGGATCTGACGGCCGGTTGGGTCCGAGAGCATGGCGTCACGGAGACGGTAGATGAAGTAGGGAGTTGCGGTTGCTTCGCCGCAGGCTGCGATAAGATCTATATAATTCCGGGGTGTTGGTGTTAGCCAGTATGGTTGTCTTATGGTTCATCAATTTTGTAGGTTCGATGCGAATTATAGAATTGGTTGTTATGGGAATTTGAAGGAAATAAGAAAGCTTCTCACCTGCTCTCCGAGGATTCAGCAAAGCTCCTACAGCAGACCCAACAGCTAGAGCACCACGCTCGACGAAGTTCAATGGGACATGGCCGGGATACTTTGGCGGCGGGCGATTGTTCACGGAGAAAGACCGCGTGCAACAGCTTACTACCGTAACAGGTGTTGACAAGGTCAATTCGCGTAGGTTCAGAGCTCCGCGCCTCCCAAGAACCGACATTTTAAGCGCAGAAGGCGACATGTCTCTATGGACATGACCCTTTGAAAGAATGCGACACTAAAGGTTGTAGAGTGGTACGATGCCCGGGGAAGATCTCCGGTTGGCGTTGCTGGTGCCTGTGCGACGCCGTACAACTGATAAAGATCGATAAGCAATTTATCGCCCAGCCCTATCATGTTGCTTTTTACGGCCTCATTCGACCACTAGATGAATATGAGCCTTCGGCCTTGTGACTAGCCTCAGGAGGAATATTTCAGTAGCTGCTTCTCAATGAGAGATTGAAGTATTGACTCTATCTTCTGAACAAATTTACTTCCTCTTTTTGTCTTTCACACCTTTTTCATTTCTTTTTTCTTCCGTACTAGCTATACTTCCCCACTAAGAACTCAAAATCCCGCAACAATGAAGCCAGACTGGTGGCCTGGAGAGGAACATGAGCAGTTCACAGAATGGGCCATTTCGCAAGGGATTATTGCGAATGGAGTCGGGCCTGCTCGGTTTCCAGGTCGCGGTTTAGGAATGATAGCCACGCGAAATATAGAAGTATGCGATTACTCCTCAGCTATCAGCGTCATTATATGTCGCATCAATGTAATCTAACCCTGAGCTAGGAAGACGAAGCCATTGTGATTGTACCACTGAAAGCAATGCTAACCGCGGAGCGGATTCCATCTTCTTTTACGGGCAAATTCCCCGACGGGACACCCACCCATGCGCTATACGCTGCATTTCTCACGAATGGCGATCTAGAAGACCTGGAAGAGTTCAAGGCCTGGAGAAAGACCTGGCCTAGTCGCCAAGACTTCGAAGACAGTATACCCATGTTGTGGTCAGAGTCTCTGCGGAACTGCCTGCCACCGTCAATCTCGAGCCATTGGCATAGTATACAAAGCCGAGACAAGCTCCAGTACGAGACATCCCATCAGAATCTTCTTGCCCAGCAAGAACAAAGACTACGCACAGCATGGGATATCGTCGTATCTGTTTTCCCGGATATCGATTGGGAGATGTTCTCGTACCATTGGCTTATAGTGAATACGAGAAGCTTTTTCTACTTGATGCCAGGCCAGGAGCCGCCGGAAGATCGAAATGACGCCATGGCGCTGCTGCCGTTTGCTGATTATTTTAATCATTCTGATGTTGCGGTATGTGGATTCAACCATACAGGGTGGTGTCTTCAACACCGACTTACCTTGTTTGGGGTTATAGTGCAATGTTAAATTCGATGGAGAGAAATATGTTTTCCGAGCTACTAAACAATATGGTATGTGTTGCAGCTGAACTTGCTTCTCTTGTCGGGACCTTCTGACCATGTGCCACAGATGAAGGAGAAGAAATATACATGAGTTATGGGCCTCATCCGAATGATTTCTTGTTTGCTGAATGTTTGTCACAACCCGTGCTCTTTTGCTTTCTCGCCGCGGGCTAACCACAGCAGATGGCTTCTATCTCGATGAGAATGAGTCGGAAACCTTATACTTAGATGATATAATATTAAAGGACCTTGGCCCATCGCTACAAGAGGAATTAGAGTTCCAGCAGTACTATGGGTATGTTTCAAAATTCCGGTGTTTCTCTCTAATTGATCACTTTTGCCTCAGGCAACTTCGTCAATGTCTAACCTATACGCGCAGTAACTACCAGTTAACGGCCACCGGCGTGTGCTACCGTACCGAGATTGCCGCGTGCATAAACTATATGTCACTGGAAGACTGGCGGAAGTATGTACTTGGTTATTCCACCAAGGGTGCCGATGAGAAGAAATCGGAGGCTATCATCCAAGGGTGGATCAGAGCGTATTCGAATGAAGCAGACATAGTAATCACCACCTTGGAGGGAAAGGGATCTAGTCAAACAGACCAGAAAGATCAGCAAAGGGCAAAGATGCTGAAGAAACGATGGACACAGATTAGAGACCTCTGTGCTAAGGCCTCCAAAGCTGTATCTGGTTAAATCGATAGGCTTCATAAGTGGAATTGCTTGCACATGGTATCACAAAAGTCGAATTCATTATATTGTACAGGTGTGAGAGCATGTTCATATTTTGGGCTCTCGGAGCAGATCAATCGGAATAGCACCCGACTCTACCTGCTTCGTTTGGAGGCGTTTGGCGAGAACCAGGTGCTGCATCATATAATTCACCACACACTTGATACCGAGTTCCTCGCCCCTACGTACGATGTAACCATTCAAGTATTCGATTTCCGTAGGGTTTCTCGCCAGTATATCCTGCAACATCGAACTATGATTCTTGGCTGTCTTGTTAGCCAGCTGCACGATCATCATCCGCAGTCGCTCGGGAGAAAACCGGCTTTCAATTCCAGGAATGCCTTGTAATTCGGGCAAAGCGCAGATGACACTTGAGATCTCAATGAGGAGCAACCGCATGATACGTGTGAAGCTATAGTTGTAGAGGAGTTCTCCGTTCTTGCAGTTCATTATCGCTGTCAACGGATTGATCACACAGTTCATCGCGAGCTTCTCAAGCTGGTATAGCATCAAGGAGGATGGAGTTTCCGCAACAGCAACAAGCGGTGGTGTGAGCGTCAGTGTACGCAACAGATATTTGGTACTAGGGGCCCAATCAACATCCCCTTGATTTGCTGGGGAAACGGCATCTGCCGGTGGAACACAACCCAAGATAGTTGTGCCAACGCCTGTGTGGCTGACTTGGAATGGTTCTTTCCTTCGCGCTAAACCGTGGGAGATAACACCAGACATGTAGTGTGGACGTCGTTGAGGGTCTCGGAAAACTTTCTCATTCAGCTCATCGATGGTGCCCATTCCGTTTTGGAGGAACAGGACCGTTGAATCAGGCGTCAGGCGGCGCTTGACAGAGTCCATCGCTGCCACGGTCACAGGTGCTTTAACAGCAACGATCAGACATTCAATAGGCTCGTCGGCAGGCTGCGCGAAGAGTTCCTCATTATCGACCTCTTCAGTATATCCGTCAATGCTAACGTTTCCATTCTCTGCTGTGCCATCCTTATTCCAGTATGGTACTGAGTACCATGTCTTGTCATTCAGCACATTGACATCAAATCCCGTTTTTACATCATCCAGGCCATTAGTATTGATCGCTAGACATTTCTTTCTCTCTAACCAGGACCTATAAATATTGGGAGTGTGCATCAGAAGCGTGATAGGAGGTGGAGACGGCCGGCTGGCCAGAGAGTGAGCGACGAATGTTCCAACATTCCCAAGGCCCAGGATATGTATGCGGCCCGAAAGCCGGCGGTTGCCGCTATCTCTCGACGCTTCCTCGGCGTCCTGATGCCATGTTGCCATATAACGAACGGTAAAACCGCACTGAGCATCGCCTGCCGCAGAAAGGCAGAATTTGGAAATGCCAGTCCGCAAACGCGGACGGCGTACTAGTATGGACAACACTTTGGAGGAATGGCGTGATATACAGACCAGATTGGTCTTCGGGATGCTCAAAACCTAAGCAACGGTCATAGAATTGACTAGCTGTGCATTACAAGACAACAAGTCCTCTATGAGTGACACAAAAACAACAGAAAAAAATTAGTATAACTGTCTGCGAGGCTGCCAGGACCAAAGTCGACGACGGCCGAACTCCGCGATAAGATTAAGACTGAGCTACTGACCGCCCTATACACCGCCTGTAGATAAAAAATTGATATAATCCGTGAACTAATTCTCAGTGCCGACAATCATCATTCAGAAGATGGACGCAACCGATTTATTGCCGCTGCTTGAGCAGCTGGACGATCATGTCGATGATCTGGAAGAAGCTCTGGGGCCTGTCCTGAATAGTGCCATTACTGACACGTCAAAAAAACTTCCTGTATTGGACAAGGCAAAGTTTCACGTTCTGATTACTTACGCCTTGGAATCTCTGATATTCTGTACGGCAATCACGATCCTGACACTCCCTCATTGACATGCTAACGTGTTCGCAGCTTATTTACGTCTCCATGGCGTCAATGCTAAAGAGCATCCTGTGTTCCGAGAACTAACCAGAGTGAAGCAATACTTTGAGAAAATTAAGGCGCTGGAAGCAGAGCCAGAGCAGCGGACATTGACACTTGACAAGCAGGCTGCAAGTCGCTTCATCAAGCATGGTCTTGTATGTCCTTTTTACTTCATCATGTATACTCTAGTGCTAACGTTACAAGGCCGGGAATGACAAATTCGATATGGAGCGCAAAGAACAACAAGCGAAGGAGAAGGCGCGTGCCCAGTTGAAGGCTTCCTTATTAGCCAAGAAGGCAGCAGCAGCAGCACCTGAGACCTCGTCGAAGAAGTCTGGGACCGATTCTGAATCTGGTTCAGACAGTGAGTCCGATAGTGAAAAAGCGAAGGCAACAACACATTCCGGAGATTCGGCGAAGAAGAGCAAAGAGACGAAAGTAGACAACACCGTTAAACGTACATCTGCCAAGAACAAGAAAAAGCGCAGTAAGGACAATCTCAAAGACGAGAAGAAGGACCGGAGAAAGAAGAAGCAAGAATCCCGGAAAGCAAGGAAGGCACAATGAACAACTTCGAACGCTGCACCATATCGTCTGACAGGGCCGAAGAGGAACATGTTGTGTCTTAGGTGTGATCGGCTGGTTCCGATCTTTGAGTTTGCATTGGAGTCTCGATGAGCCTTCACTTTCGCAAAATGCGTGCATCCCAGCACTGCTGTGCTTCTCTCCAGGTATATGTTGAAGGCGCTTCTATTGTATCTAACGATGGCTGCCTCATCCCTTTATAGCACTTGGGGCACTCTGTTGCGATATACGTATCTACATGTACGAACTATGTGGATGCCCCAGACACCGCGCACACGAGCCACAGGATGAACCCTGGCCCGTGTAGCGAATGATCTAAAAATGGTCTATTGATAATCTGCCTGGACTGGCTTTTTTCATGGGATCAATCTCCAGAGAAACTACTTAGTTGACTAAATAGATTAAGTGGCAAGTCGCATTTCTGAATCTATTGAGCTATCTTTTCAATGCCGTAAGCTTAAATCATAGGAGCGACTCAGCCTCCAATTTGTGGGTCAGATAGAGAGATATAAACATGAGTCATAAACGACTGCTATGTCTATCGAAGTCATGACTACATACTAGAAGTGTGAAATATTCCAGTATGTTCCGTATATATGAAGAGTCATCCAATGTAAAAATAGGTCCCTAAAGTCCGGCGGACTTTAGGCAAGAGGGAAGAGCAGCGGTATCGCCAGTACATCAGTTACTCGTACACTCTGAAGGAACAGGGCGCTACCCGCAATACTGTTTGTAATACCAATACCGCACATGGTTTTTGCCGTCCCGGAGACCCCTGCGATCGTCGGGCCAATCGGGAGAGAGGAAATAGCGATCGGACTTTTCGACAACTTCTCCGCCGACGTTCGAGTCTCTTCTTTTATATACCCGTCCGTTTGCCGTCAAACAGCTCTCTATCCCCACTCATCAACATCTTTTTGTTTTTCCAACTCCTAGAACCACATCTACACTAATCAACATGCCTCGTCAACGCCGTGGTGCCGCTCCTACCCCTGCGCGCAGCGCTCCCACCAGGCCTACCGCCGCTCCTGCCAGACCCGCCGCTGCTCCCTCGGCCCAGCAGTCCCAGCCTCACTCGACTGCTGCTCACCCGCAGTCGACTCCCCAGCAGGCCTATCCTCACCCTCCTCCCCAGGCTGCTCCTGTCCAGCAGAGCGCCGGGCCTGGTCTGTTCGGCCAGATGGCCTCTACCGCTGCGTAAGTTCCCCTCGGACTTTTCTATAAGAACAACGTCTCTGGCGGAGGATCGTAAAAACACAACACAACCGGCTAGACCACAAAACAGCATTCCCTTCACACAAAGAGAATGAAGGCATCAAAGAAAAGAAAAGACTAACATCAACTAGTGGTGTCGCAGTCGGCTCCTCCATCGGCCACGCCATCGGTGGTTTCTTCAGCGGCGGTTCCAGCGCCCCCGCCGAGGCCCAACAGGCCGCTCCTGCCCAGGCCCAGCCCATGGACACTGGCCTGTGGCAGAGCAACACCGCCAACAGCTCCTATGGCAACCCTGCCTGCGAGACGGACGTTCGCAACTTCCGCCAGTGCATGGACGAGAACCAGGGCAACATCAGCATTTGCGGATGGTACCTGGACCAGCTTGTATGTTTCTCCTTTGAATGCCGAGATATGGTGGTTATCACGGGTGCTAACTGGTATTACAGAAAGCTTGCCAGGCCGCTGCTAAGCCCTACTAAAGTTAATGTATTATGTTTCGCGCTGGGGAATATATTAAGGACGGGAATTCTGGATTTGAACCGGTTCAGTTTGCGGACTTGATCGGAACGGTGCGATGATTGGATTGGATATGGACTGTGTTTGCATAGCGGCGTAATATTCCTCTACTGTATACCACTTCCGTCGGGGTTGACCTGATGACTTTTTTCTTTGTTTTACCTTATATTTACTCACTTCCATCTGCTCGAAAGATAGAGCCAGATGAATATCTAAAGACAACTATTCCACTCTTCCATGGTTTGGGCTGTCCTGAAAGTATTGAAGATGCCTGCATTGCGCAGAAAACGAGCACAGCTTTAGTCCAGTTTACATACTCGTCCCTCACAGTTGATAGCGAAGGATGACACGTCCCTTGCTATTATTACTAAAAGAGCCCGTGCAACGTTATAGCTGTCAAAGCAACAGACGAACCCGGCCACAGCATCAATTAAGCAAGAACCGTAAACACCGTAGGCTTAATTTACACTAACTAGTCCCTATTACCGATCTGGTTACCTGCCGGGGTCTTGTCGAGGCTCGAAGTTAAGCTATGCAAGTCAGTGGATCCACCTACGTTATGACTTTAGACTAGCCGCGCTGTTTTAATTACGTACCTGGTTTCCATTGTAAAATTGGCTATCGTTCTGTTCATTGCGCTGGTCTCTCAGTGTCCGGATGATAGGACCTCTCGATGCAGGCGGCCGTGGCCTGGATGCGCTATCGCTAGACGGAGACGGGGAGGATGTGCTGGCTTGGGGGGTCGCAGACGGAGTCGAAGCTGGTTGACCATAGCCGAAGAAGGAGCCTACGAGACCCGTGGCGGTGCCAACCGCAGAGGAAACAAGTTCATATGCAGACGATACAGCCCGGGCTGGTAAGCTGGAACCAGTGGCCGAATAGGCTTCCGCATATGTATTGATTGGAACCATGACCAAATTCGCCGTGGAGCCCAGGCCGAGCTCCGCGAGCGTCTGTTCTTCCTCGGCGATAGTAAGCGTCCGATTCGGCAGGGGAGTAAGGATGTGTTTGAGATTATATGGGCGTTTTTCATCGCCAGGCTGGCTGTCAATCCAGGGACGGACATCTCCGCGGATGGTTTGCGAAGGTGAAAAGCTGGACCGGATGGAACTTCCATCGAACAGACGGACTTGAAGCCGATATTGTTTGGGCGGTGTTGGTGTTTGTGGTTTGCGCTCCTCCGCGGGCGTGTTGGTGATTTTGACGGATGCGCTGTTGTTCGTAGCCTTTGTTTCTGGCTCCTTCTGCTTTTTTGTGCTATCCTTGGGCTTCCCTATTCCTTGCGATTTCGGCGTTTCTTGCTTCTTCGGCTGAGATTTCTGTGTCTGGCTAGGTGTTTCAACTCTATACGTCCTCCCGCCGGCACGTAGGCTATTACATTCCTGTTGACCTTGTTGTCTTTGTGATCCACTTCCTTGCGGCTCAGTTGGAGCGGGCGCTGGCGCTGGAACAGCAGCGGCAGGAGCTGGTGAGGGCTCAGGCTGCGGTGCAGTCGCGGGCGCGGTATGAGAACTGGCGGATGGACTCGTAGTATGGCCCTGGGCACCTTGAGCCGGTGAGTTCGGACTGAGCTGATCAGTCGGTTTACTGTCCTCTAGAGCAGCCTTTAACCGACTATGAAAGTCATCCTTCGTGATATCCGGCACAAGATATTCCCGCAGCATTCCATTCCTACACAACCGTCAATCAGAAACCCAATAACCCCAAGGCCTGGGAAGGTCTTCACACATACTTGATTACCACAACAGCCGGAAACTTCGTTACGGGACAAAAGGACGTCAAGAATGTAGCCTCCTGGGAATCCTTAGTGAGGCGCAACAGGACAGATCTCGATTCGAGTAGTTGCGCGAACTATGTCCCACCGGCGATTAGCGATCACGTACGAAGGAAAACTAGAAGGGGAGCTGAGGCAAATACATACATCCTTGTCAGCGAAATAATCATCTTCCCAGACGTTACTTGTTTGATCATTATCTGTTGAAATGCATCCAGCTGGTTAGCAAGTGGGTAACGGTGGAGCTCATCTGATGTATGTATCGATGTATGCGTTTGGAGAAATCGCAGCGGACACACCTCGAACAAAGCATATTACCGCTTTAGCTTGCGAGACCGCTAAAGCGATACCTTCCTGCAGGGTTCCAGAGAAAAACATTGTAACCTAGCGCTGTTAAGACCGATGTATGAAGTATGGAGCGTAAGTAAAGCGATAGCTTTAACTCCGTCGGGGAAAAGAAGGCCGTTGCCGATCACGAGCCCCTCGGGATTCAATTCGATCTCAGTTCGAACGCTTGAATCGTTCTTTTTCTAACACGCTTTCCGCCGCCCAGACTCAAACAGCAATTGGCTCTGCGATAAGGGCAAGTAAAGCCCCTCGTCCGAATTGACCATGCGGTCGATCTTTTCGGTCCTGCAACGGACTGCAGCAACCTCATGGCAGCCGCCAATCGCCGCGTCGATTCGGGGTCCCCGGATGGCGTTCAAGCTGGATTCGATTTGCGCCAGATGTCGCCGTCAACAGATTCGGTTCTATAACAAGCAGCTGGCCGATGATCCGCGATGGCTGTCAGTTGTGGATCAACCTGCGCAAATTGTTCGTACCGGGCGAAAACACGGACCGGGTTTGATCATCTTAGGTATGATACAACCATAGACATAGCTGCTGGTAAAGGCTGGTGGGACACTAATGAAATATATTCTCATTACAGCTCTAATTCCTATCATCTCGTTCGCGCTCGGCACTTGGCAAATCCAACGTCTCGATTGGAAGACCAAGCTGATCGCAAAATATGAAGACCGACTCGTCAAACCTCCTCTTCCGCTGCCTCCACAGATCGACCCAGACGCCATTTCCGAATTTGATTATCGACGGGTCTACACTACGGGACGCCTCCAACATGACCAAGAGATGCTCGTTGGTCCTCGCATGCGCGAGGGTGAGGATGGTTTTATCGTTGTAACGCCGCTGGAGAGAGGGGAGGGAGAAAGCACTGTCCTGATAAACAGAGGCTGGATCTCGAAGAAAATGAAGGATCAGAAGGACAGGCCCGAGGGTCTCCCCCAGGGAGAGGTCACAGTCGAAGGCTTGCTACGGGAACCTTGGAAGAAGAACATGTTTACACCGGACAATAAGCCCGAGGACGGAAAATTCTACTTCCCTGACGTTGAACAGATGGCTGAGCTTACTGGTAGCCAGCCGGTATGGATTGAAGAGACTATGAGTGAGCCTGCCTCTAGCACGAAGATTGACATGACCGATACTAACTTCTTTAGTTGCGGACATGGTTGAATGGTATAACAGAAGTGGCAAGGGTATCCCTATCGCTCGCGGCGCCGAAGTGAATTTGCGAAACAACCACAGCCAGTACATCTTCACATGGCAGGTTTCCCATGAATGTCCGAATATCCTACTAGCGGAAACTGTGACTGACCTTAAGTAGGTACGGGCTGTGCTTCGCAACATCAATCATGTTGTGGATGATCATACGTAAAAGGCCCAATGAGGCGACTCGTCGTGTTCGCCAAAATGTAAATTGGTGATATCCCTTGGCATCTTTCGTGTTTGCAACTATTGGTGGCGTTCAGTGTGTTTGTTACGGAATCCGTACCATGTATATTATTCATGGAGGCATTGACAATCTCATGTCCTGCAGCAGTTCCCTCGGTAAATGCTTTGATGCCAGAGAGAAAACACTCGTAGAGTTGTTAATATGGCGTTGTCTAGAAAGTTGACGAGTCAGCATAGCTTAGGTAGAAGGGTTTGTCCCAGCTCACCGTCTCATCAAAGTAATAACATCACTCTCATCAATCGTCTTCCGCCCCGCATGTTTGGAATATGCCGCTAGATCTTCGGCGACCTGCTCAAAATACCATGATGACGCTTGTTCAATAGCAGCTAAGGTGGACTTGCTGATCTTAGCTTTAGAACCAGCCCTCGCTGGCGCAAATCGCGTAGCCAACTTTCGAATCACCCCTGACGGCATGTTGGGAACAGGGATGCCGTATCGGGAGAGCTTCTTTTGCTTTCCCTTCACTATAACAGTGTCTTCGTCACGCAATCCTCCTCCGACGATACCAGGGCTTTCGCTTAGAGAGACGCGAGATGGCATGTGGAGATCCAGGCCGAATTCACCGGCTCCGGCGGCAGCAGCATCATCATCACTGTCGTCAGACACTGGGGCTGTGTCCTGGGGCAGATCAACGGGTGGAAGCTCGAACCCTTCATCATCGTTGAGGGGTCCGTCCATGTCATCGGCCGGAGGTGGAGGCGGGGATGGGAAGTTGAAGTCAAAATTGAATCTCCCGAGGTCTTCCGTCTCTCCTCTTTATCTATATTAGCCATTATAGTCCAATCCGTCGGGAGAATACCACCCACCCTCTATCAAAAGCACCTTGACTCATGACAGTTTCGTCCTCATTCACTCGGTCTTCATCATGCTCGATACCTGTGTCGTCACCATTCTCCGAGTCGCTTTCCAACCGGGTCGCATCACCAAAGTTCTCACTCAGCCGAGGGTTACCGAAACTCATCATAGATAATCTTGCTCTATCGTGTTCGCTCGTAGCCCGTCGGGGGTATTCGACCGTGATATCCTCTTCTTCAAAGGCCAAGGAGAGCCTGGGTGGACGTGGCTCGGGACTCGCCTCCTCCTGCTCCTCTTCTTCCTCTAACGGCAAGGACAATCGGGGGCGTTCAATCTCCGGTTCGTTGTCGAGCTCTTCGATCTCATCCTTCTCCGGTTCCGGCTCTGGTTCTGGTTTTTCTTGCGGCGATGAACGAATAGGCTGGGACACAGGCGCAAGAGCTAATACGTGGATTTAGTATGCATTTTGATACACTCATAGCACGCAAATCGCACGCATATGATATGAGCTCATTTGGCTCACATACCTCTACCGAGATTCCGTAGAATATCAAATGTCGTTTCCCTCTGCATCCGTCCACTTTTCCTACGATCACGCGCGGGCGTATTTGCCGCTCGGCGCTGCATCGCCCGTAATCCATATGGCGTTGATGGCGCTGCAGCAGCTCTGTTGCGTGGCGTTCGTCGCGACGGCGTTCCTGATGCTGCTAACCGGCCGGGGGTGAGGGGGTATCTGGTATGGATGGGAAGACGCTGAAGCTGCAGCCGTCCACTGATTAGTATATACAAGTTTAATTACAATCGGACCCAGTGTGCTCACCCCCGTAAGTGTGGTATCTCCTACAGGAGTGAAGGATTCGGAGATGTCGGACTTTCGCGGTGACCGGCGGCCACGCGGTTTAGGGGTCGTCGACATTTGTATTGCTATGAGATTATATGAAACAATTGCTTCCTAAATTATTATGACAGATAGTCGCACAGGATTGGACATGTCATTGAGAGAGTCTGAAGATGATTAGGCAACGGCGCATGTCCCAAATTCGCAAGAGGGGCTTGTTGTTCTTCGGTGGGAGGCGCGTTGTCGATGACATGGAGTTGGAGTATCATTGGCCGTGGCTTATCGATAAGCCAGCTGACTCAGCATAAAAAAAGTTGCTGCGGATCTGGAAGTCTTACTATGATACTCGAATTCTAACCATTGAATGTTTTGTGCCTTTCACTCTTTGGAAATATATAGAGATACTAAGGCACAATGTCTGCAGAAACGGCAAATCCATCCGGCCTCTCGGCCAAGATCAACAACAAGCGCAAGAGGCAAGCTGAGGAATCCTCGAAACAGACCGAGGCGGCTGCTGGCAATGCAGACGGTCCGAGTAACAAGAAAAGCAAGAAGGGCAAATCTAGGCCAAAGAAGGGCGGGAAAGACAAGAAGGATAAGCCCCAGCAAGATGCATCGGAGAAGGAGCAGAGAGACACCAAGCAAACCGAGACCAAAGGCGGTTGTGATGAAGCTATTGGCAAGATGGACGGCCGCCTGTTGGCAGATCATTTCATGCAGAAGGCTAAGCGCCACAATAAGGAGCTGACTGCAGTCGAATTGAGTGATCTTAGTGTTCCGGGTATGTTATTGCCAAACTCAAGGACACTTCTTAGTGCTAACGATCCAAGAATCATCATTCCTCGACACATCATCGTTTGACTCGGCCAGACAACTGGAGAAGCTACCAGCTTTTTTGAAGGCTTTCAGCCCTAAAGGATCTGATCTCTCGAGGCCGTCAGAGGAGAAAGGCACACCGCACACCCTGGTTGTCTCTCCATCTGGACTCCGAGCAGCTGATGCAGTGAGGTGGGTTACAGCCAATGAGCGCTCTATCTACCGAATGGATCCGTGCTGACCATCTTGTTGCAGAGCCCTCCGTACATTCCAAACCAAGGAATCTCCAATTGGTAAGCTGTTTGCAAAGCATATCAAGCTGGAAGAAGCCAAGAAGTTTCTGGAGCGATCACGGTATGTTTTGCACCCGTTTAATTCCCTTGTACTTCAACTGACTTTCCTCAAGCATTGCCATTGGAGGCGGAACACCCGCTCGTATCTCCGACCTGATCGATGCTGGTATGGTTACCTCACATTTGAGTGTTTAAAGTAGGCTGGACCTGAGCTGACTTCTATAGGCTCCCTCAAACTTGGCGAACTACAGCGTATCGTGATTGACGGATCCTATGTTGATCAGAAACAGCGTGGTATCTTCGACATGAAAGAAACCCATCTTCCACTTTTGAAGTTGCTCACGCGGCCCGAGTTTCGTGAACGGTATGGGGCGGAGGAGAAGCGGATCCAGATCCTCGTCTTTTAGCTTCATCCAATGATGTATAATGTGGTTGGCGTTAATCAAGGCTGGGTGTTCGATCTTTTTGTTGTCTGTTCTTATTCCGGGTAGTGATACCCTACATGCATCCTTTTGCCCATTGGTATATTTGCATCGTATGACTCTTTTCTTTTATACTTGGACAAATATGAACTGTTTAGTTTCAACCATTTTTGTTTATCTTGAGCGGTCAGTTTAAGCCTATGATCAATCTCATGAACTGCAAATATAGGCAAGTCAGCTGTCTCCGTCTACCAAATTACTCGTTCGGATTGCAATCAACTTTTGTTCTACACCAGCTCCAGGTTCGTTGGTCTTTGTGATCCTTGTATTCATAAGATGATGCTATTGTTCAGACTATATGCTAAATATGCGAACCCATATGCTATGACCCGCCCACCCAATATACGCCAGACCTTCTCTATATACAAATCTCATGGTATAAAATGAGGGCTTGTAACAAGCGCATGTTGCTGCCAGATATATCGCCATAAAGCATAGTCACAATGCTTGGAATAGATAAGAAAGAAACAAAGCAAAAGAAAAAGATATCACACATGCAAATAGACCCTAGTAACGGAACATGACAGAACTGGATGTGTGCTTGAGCCAAATGGTACGATCGTGTTGCAAGGTCAGCGAGGCAAAGTTATATGCAGAGGGAGATGGTATCAAGCGGTGAACAGAAACAACACAGGAACCAGAAGAAAGGAAATTATGTACGGGGATATAAGAGGATGGCTATAGACCAGAGACGTAGGCGGTAGAGAGAATCTAAGCCCGAACTCGCCTGGCATCGAAATATTTGAGGCTCACAGCGGTATCATTCACCCCTACAATAGGTGCGGCATCTTCAAGGAGCTCCCAAGGACGTACCGGGTAAGGTCCCATAACACGACCCCGATATTGGAGACGAAGATGGCTGGCAACGCAATTAATGCCTTCTGAAAGACTAGCGGAGGAGCCTGCAGGAGTCACGGCAGGGGTTTGTGGGTTAGATGGAGCGCCCGGCAGGGCGCCCGACGGTGTTGGTGTTGGAGTAGAACCACCGGCGGCAGGTGATGGAAGAGAAGCAGCCTGCAGGCTATTCGGTGCTGCTGCATCGCTCATGGGACCGAGAAGGTAGATAAATCTCGAATCATTTTGATACTGAAGGAAGGGTGGACACTTTTCTTTGAGGAAACGGGCGCAATGTTGCCGAGCCTCATCTGGGAACGTGTCGATCAGTGAGGCTGCGACGTCTAATGCATGAGTCTGAAGCAGAATTCCGGGACAAGCACGGTAGCCCTGGGACGGTATTGGGTGAGGGAAATAGTCAGTCACCGGGAAAAGACGTATGACGCTGTCTGGAAGGCGTGCAAGAGATATGCAAAGAATCGAGATCAGCAAACGCGACTGTTCCTGCAGGCCGTTGGGCTTGGGCGCTGGAGATGGCATAGTGAACGCAGAACGATGAATCACAATCATCCGCAGAAAGGCAGAGAACCAGAAAGCGAGAGCCTTCTCGAAGTTTGAGCGAGACTGAAGAATTTGAGTCGTAGCCGCGCTGTGTCTATTCGCGGTGACATTATTGAAATTGGTTTGCATGGTAACAAGCCTGTGGAGAAGTAGATCCATCTTCTCGATGAGAACGGGAGCCACCGACTGTACACCAGCTTCAGGCACACTGTAAGCAAGCTTCTCAATTATTGTCAGGTACAGCTTTGCTGTCTCCAGGGACTTGGCTGTGTCCGAGGGTCCATGGGCTTCAAGATGCTCTTCGAATAGTGGGATAGAAAAGAGAGCTCTTTCAGCTCGCTCCCGGATCTAAAAGAAGAAAGTTAACTTAGGAGGAAAACGTTGTAGTGACAATGGTCCTTTCGTACCTGTCTTATTACATCTTGGCTCATGAGACCCACGAAACCAACCCAATTCGATCCTTTTGAGCGTGTATCTTCCACAGCAGCCTTGAACATCACGTCAACAATACCATTACCCACATTACGGCCAGATTCTGCGTTGAAAAGCATTTGGAGTTTCAACTGGCAAAAAGGAAGGGAGAAGTCGTCAGTCATGCGGACAACCTTCTCTGCTTCGGACATAGCAGGTGGACCTTGGAGGTATGGTTAGCAATATGAGCAACTGTCGGGATTCGCTTTACTAACCAGTGAGCGAGTCAAAGCCCAACAGGTTATCCAGAGCCCTTTGCAGGACGGTTGTTGACGTAGAATGTTTTCCAATAAAGCCTTGCAGACAGTATTGGACTGTAACTTCAGGATTCTGTGTAAGAAGGATATCGAGTAACTCTATTGCAGAGCCTGCGATGTTGGGCTGTCTTGAATCGAGTCCAGCCCCCGAGTCAACCAACGCAACTGCATCGCAAATTATATCGAGGGTCTCCTGAGGGTGCTTCACGAAAAACTCTTGTTGTGCAACATGAAAACGATATGTGACCTGAACAAACAAGTTTAGTGCTGCGTTCGAGGAAAATATGGTAGTTGACGTACCAAATCAGCATATTTACTTTTCCCTGATAGTAGAGGAACAATAAGCTGAAGCAGTTCCACCCGCAATCCAGTCAGGTTGGGAATTACAGCAGCCACCTTTTCCGACTGCAAAAGCTTTTTCACCAAAAACACAAAAGCATGTATGGTGACGCAGCCAACTCCGATGAGAGGAGGGAGGATTCGAGACATTGACGGGGTAGAGGACTTCAAAAGCCCACATATCCAACGAATCAGCATAGCATCGAAATGCTTTGGTTGGAACGGCCGCAGATAAGCCAGATACCTAGCAGTTTCATTTGCCGACAGTTTGGCAGGACTGCCGCTACCTTCTAGTATATGTATAAGCGAATAGAACACCGTATCCATCGTGGACTCGTCCATGCCACCCCCAGACGAGAGAAGCTGGTTTAACTTTGCTTGAAATGAAGGATCAACATCACTGAGTGCTAAGGGAATACTATCCGAAAGCGGGGACGGCGCTGCTAAAGCTGACTTGCTCTCTAAGCGAGTAAGGTCCTGACGCAAGAGAGCAACGGTGTTGAATTCACTGGGTATTCGGAGTCCTAACTCGATGAGTGAAAACAACAGGTCTAAACTTGCATTGCCTAGGCGTTTGAGACGAGCATACGACTCAACGAGGCCCCTAAAAAGATCAGCCGTAGCGCCAATTACACAGAAGCAGTCAAAATGGCAATTGACCGTATCGGCAACGGAAGCCAGGACAACATCGTCATCACAGCGAGTAGCTTGTTTTAGTATGTCTGCTAGCATCGAGAGATCACCGAAAGTCTCTAAGATCTCCCTGACACTGTAGAATTCGTCGGGAGTAAGGGCGGATACGCCTGGGTCCACCGTCACAGAGACCACAGAGAGTTTCCTATAGTTGTTAGCCGGGGCAGTACTCCTAGAGAGCCGAGAAGCGTACCTAGGTGAGTCGCGGCAATGCCCAGCAACTCCACGGCGGAGCCACTGTCCGATTTCAGATTTGACAGCCCAAGTAGGATTGGCCTGTGATGGCTCGATGGACATTGCACTCCCCATCTCAGCGCCGAAGATATTGGGCAGTCGTTGAGCAATTGATACCTTGAGCTCTGCAATGGCAGAGTCCTCCTCCATCGCCGGGATTCCAGCACGGTAAAGGAGCGTATTGCGAAGATTCCGCACATGCTCTGGGAGGCGATTGACCGGCAGTTGCTTTAGGAGGCAGAGGTCACTCGATACCGGCTGAGACGTATTTGTGACACCTTTCGCCATCAGCCATTGCAGATACCTACCTACAGAGAATGTCTGAGATCTGACTAGCTCCGAAATAATATGGTAGATGTTTTCCATGTTTAGTGCGCTAGTCACTCGAACATCAGCGAGGAACGAAAGGATAAATGAATCAACGTCGATCCCAGACATCTTCCACTTGCGCAGAAGACGGACGCCAGTATATACACGGCAGAGACCATAACGGAACGGTGTAGCTGTCCACTCGAGGAGTTTGGAAATGAGAACAGCTTTATTCTCTAGCGTTTTCAGGCATGCAGCCGAGGCGGAAGAAATATCATGCGCGGAGCGGATGGAGTCGAATAACTGAATGACACGCTGTTGTGGCGACCGTTCAGCTGTCCCTTGGTGGTTCTTGGGTAGCTGCAACCGCGAATTGCGCTCGCAGACGTTCTGGTAAATCGTTTTATGGACATTGTCCTTGAGGTTTAAGCAGGAAGATACAAGCTCCTTGTGCCTTTCCCATGAGCCTGGAAGAACCACAGATGAGGTATGCTCGAGAACAAGCCTCCTGACATACAGAGATAATCGATCTACGAGGGGCTGTAATGGACCAACCTTTTCTGGCTGGGTGACCTGCTGTCTCATTAATAGGATATTAACCATCAATGCCAGCGCACGTACCTGACGCAACTTCTCAAGCAGCAATTCGGCTAACCGCCGCCCACGCTTCCGATATCGCATGATATTATCCCAATAGATACCAAGCATCAGCAGCCAAACGGGAACAGTATTAACCGGCGCGGCTTCTAGCGAGGACAAGAACCATCCAAGGTACTGGTCGTGGTCAAGCAGGCGCTCAAAGAACAAGCGAGCAGTTAAGCTCACCCTAGGAACTGTTAGCAATCGAATTACACGAATACCAGGCTAAATACATACGCATATGTCATCTTCATTTTCCATTGCGCAGAGCCGCAGGCACCTAACACTCCTTCTAAGAACTGCTGAACAGTTGCTGTCCAGTCACGGACCCATTTTGCTTCCAAGCCCAGCGCTAATGTGCCACTCGTTCCTTTCCTCTTGAAGGCACGAATCTCGTTTGCACCGACACACTTTGCAAGCCACACAGCACGGCTAACGGGGATACCTTTGTTTAAGCATTGGTCCAGGAGTGCCTTTCCCCGGATACCATGAGGAATCGTTCGGCTCAACTTGCGCAGAGGAACAGACGGGTTAGCTAGGTCACGGAGCCAGGCCTCGCGTTTATTATCCGTTAGGGTTACTCGCGGAGGTGGCTTAAAGGTCGACGGCGCAGTCACCAAGCTATGGTTTTGTCTCTTTTCCAGAGCCGCGGCAAAAACGGAAGAGAGCATCTGCAGACCGGAGCGGTGCTTCAACTGTGCATATAAGGAGGGTCGTGCGGTGTTTGACTCGTTCTGAGACACCTGAGTACGGTCGTAGTGTCCCTGCTTTGCCGTTTGTTCGTTTAGAACATCTTCCGGGTGGTTCCCAGTCCATGGAGAGAAATCCGCAACCTCTAACGTTGTGGTTACCGGTCAAAGGTGTCCATTGATTTGTATAGGCGTCTGGAGGGAATAACTTACTTTCTCCTTTGAGGACCGGTGC